TAGAGAGTTACATTTCATGAACAATGTTTACAGTGTTACGAAAGCAACAGTGGAAAACAATAAACCTGGTGCCAAAACTAAATTTAACCGCAATCTGAACAAATTCCGTGAGCTATTTTTAACTGAAACATGAAAATTTGGTTTCAGTTTGGTTGTGGCAGCATCAAGCGGGCCAGATTGAATTACCCGCCGGGCCGGATTTGGCCCGCAGGTCGTACTTTGCCCATGTCTGTTTTAGCGGCTTCTCGTTCTGAGCGAAAAGTGCAACTGTGCAAGTACTCATCTTCTAAATTCCAAAATGTAGGCCTATTCTTTGTTTGTCGTTTTCTTCAACAACTCTTACAGTGTGATTTCGAAATTGAGAGATCTCATATCTTTACTCAGATATTTAGCTTGAAAGGCAGCGTATTGATACGCCACCGACTTATGGCATCATGCGTCATCTATTAGTTTTGTACAATAGAATGGCTACGTAAAATAGCATTATGTCATGCCAACAAGATCAATGCATATCATTACGTTGTGTACGTCAATGTTGGTGTTATAATGAGGTAATTTAGTTCAGAAGCAAGCGCTTGTTCACAACAAAATGGATTTGATTAGGAGATAAAAGGAATTTTGAGCTCAGATACAAATCAAAGTTAGTGAATTGTATCCAAATTCACTTCAACTTTCCGTGGCTATTAGTAAAAGTTAGTTATAAAATTAATCTATCCAATACGGTTGACTAGTACAAGGAAATCGTATTAATAAAACTCGCTCTCTGCACGATATTTTTATCTCTACCCTTATCACCGATGCTGTACTACACCGGCCAGCCTGTTGTCGAGTAGAAAATCCCCGTCGACGAGAAAAGGTAATTCCCCCGAAATGAAACAGCGGGTTCGATCGTTTTGCCAAAATATATCCGCGTTTAGGCGTCTAGATGTTGTTCAGGCGGTATACGGTAATGTGTTTGTTTCGGGCAGATTTGTATTCCGTTGGTTACTTAGTTTAGGTCTATATTTCGATAAAGGCTATAGGTTTAAAGATATGTAGTGAGCTCACTTCACGGGTATAAAGAACCATTCATATATGTTCCTTTATTGTCCAAAGAATAAGGCAGCTAGGACTGTAGGACAGAACAGATTTTCCATTGGATATAAACTTATATTAATAGCAGGTACAATTTCTAGGTCTCATGTAGTTTCGTACCTAACATACTTCTAGTGGGCGTAGCATGACAATTTTTTCACGTATCAATCCTAACCCCCACCTGACGACACCATTCAAAAATTACAGCAATACGACGTCACAGTGACGTAATACAGACCGGGTCTCGTGTAGTTTCGTACCTAACGTACTTCTAGTGCAGTAGTGGGCGTAGCATAACAATTTTTTGATATGTCAATCCTAACCCCCATCTGACTACGCCATCCAAAAATTACTTCACTACGACATCACAATCACGTCATAGAGCTTGCCAAATATATGTACGATCACCCGAAATGGCATTGGCGCCGACGATAAAGAACTGACTGACGTTATCGATTTCTCTGCTATTGGAATCGTTGCGATGAGAAAACGAGAGAAATAACTGTTCGATTTCGGGTGCTCGTTTGCGCGTCTTGGATGGCAGTTTGTATAGTTTGAAGGGCTCTATTACGTCACTGTGACGTCGCAATGATGTGATTTTAGGATGGTGTAGTCAGGTGACGTTTAGGATTGATACGTGAAAAAATTGTCATGCTACGCCCACTAGAAGTATGTTAGGTACGAAACTACACGAGACCCGTCAAACTATACGAACTGCCATCCAAGACGCAAACGAGCACCCAAAATCAAACAGGTATTTCTATCGTTTTCTCGTCGCAACGATTCCAATAGGAGAGAGATCGATAACGTCTGACAGTTCTTTATCGTCGGCGCCAATGCCATTTCGGGCGATTGTACGTATATATTTGGCAAGCTCTAGGATGTGATTGTGATGTCGTAGTGACGTAATTTTTGGATGGCGTGGTCAGATGGGATTTAGGATTGACATATCAAAAAATGATTATGCTACAACCACTAAAAGTACGTTAGGTAAAAAACTACACTAGACCCCAATTTCTAATACCGTACAATTTTTTCAAAAAATGATCAGTTGTTTGCTAATTTATCTCTCGCGGCGTTCAATTCAAAAGGATATCACTAATTTAATTGGTAAGCACCAAAAATTATATAGGGAAATAATTGAAGTATTAGTAGTGCTGATTATGAAAATTTGACAATAATAAGTTCAGAATCAGTTTTCGATCAGAATATAATGTTTACGATTTTATACCAAGAGCGTCTATTCAATGGGCATTCGGTTGCAGGGATATTAGCATACTGACACGATAAAGTATTTTTACTGAAATTCCAAGCCCAAATAATTACAAAACAATCATTTAATCTTGTGCTACTGTCAACATACTTATCAGTTCGAAATTGTCTAATTTAGTAAAATTTGATGAAAACATGCTGAAATTGGATTTGGAGAACTCTTTGGTTCTGGAATTAGATAAGATTAGAAGATATTTAGTCTAGACCAGACTGCCAGGGGTGTGCAACCTTTAATACAGAAAAGCCACATACAATTATCCGGGTTAAACCGCGAGCCGCACCTCAACATAGGCTTTCTAGTAGTTGCAGGCAGAAAATGATGATTAATTATTTGGGTAATGATTTTATGAGATGCATTGTTCACTTCACACAAGCTAGCTGTTAGGGCATTGTTAATTCATAGGATTCATAGGCATATATAATAAATTGAACTCAGGTTTAGCCTTGCAAAGCAAAGGTATTGGGATTACTCACACGTACCAGATTAAACTAAATTTAAAACTCATTTTGTGCGCTGCACACCATTCAAAATTGCTACTTCTCCGCTGGCTAACAAATTTTTCTTATGGGCCTGCATACCTTTGGTCTAAAAATCTATAATAGCCACACAAGTTTCAATACATCTCCGATTTGATACAGTCATAGTATTTTTTCAGTATAGGGACTAAAATTCGGCTGTCACGCTTCAGTGCTTTTCATTTTATATTGAATTATATGTAAGTGCCCTTGGTTAGTTCAATGCAGTTAGATTAGGGAGGGGGGGAGGGGCAAGATTTTTGGACCAAAGGTCGAAAATATTCCCCATTTAGACTGGCGAGCCATGTAAGTGTAGCGTAAAGTTACATTTTACGAACATTATTTACAGTCTTACAAATGCAAAAGTGAAAAACAATAAGCCTCGTGCTAAAACTAAGTTTAATAACAATATCAACAAATTCCTTGAGCTATTTTTTAGCTGAAACAGGTTGAATTTGGCTCGCTGGCCGTAGTTTGACAATGTTAGAGTTAGATGATGGCTAAAAGGCGCAGCTCACAACATGTCCATTTTTTGAATCAATGATTTTTTTAGGATGAATGTATATGTGTTTTGCTCCAAACAAGACTCTGAACAAGCAGTCACTGCTGGGTGAGAAGTTACTATAGAATAGAATGACCGGTTTCTTCTTTGTCACCCAATTTATTACAACCTGGGTGAGGTGGTGCGCACGGTGGCATAGCTACTCAAAGATACCTCCTACTCAAGATACGCTACCTTTATATGATCTTTATAAATAAAGCTGATAGAATTCCAAGTGGACAAAATGTCAAAACATAATCTAATTGAAACGAGAGCAATGGTCAAATACTCGTATATGGACACAAACCTAACATATCGATATGATAAAGTCTTAGTACAGCACCCAGTTTGCTGGAAAGATTGGCAGAAAAGCAAAAAGAGGCGGAAAATGGAAATAGAATAAATTGTTCAAATATTTCATAAAAAGTGTTCCCATTAATTAAAATATATTAGCGGACCATTGGGTGAAATTTTTTTCCTCATATCACTCAAAATAAATATGAAAATTATAAAAGTAGCCTTCGTGCAACTTCAACCATTTTTAATAGTCGCTCAAAGCAGGGGTGTACAACCTGCAGCCCACAAAGAAAAATTACGGCCTGCGGAGACATGCCAATTTTGAATTTTGTGCGGCCCGCAGAAGAAATTCTAATTTACCGGTAGTTTAATCTGGTATGTGTGAGTAATCTCAATCCACTTGCGTTGCAAAGCCTATACCTGAGTCCAATTTTTATGTCATTACAATGCCCTAGCAGCTGGCTAGTGTGAAGCCAAAATTTTTGTTTGTGCAAGTACGGTACTTGGAAGCAAATGTTAAAAAAGATGCGGCCCACGGTTTCTTTCAGTTATTTGAATGTGGCCCTTCTGTATTAAAGGTTGCGCACTCATAAACTTGAAAGAATTTAAGTGATTGAAATTTCTGTTTTTTTTTTCTATAATTTTATCCGTATTCGAATAATTTATTATTTTAGCACTCTTCTTGGATTTCAAATAGTCTACTCAACTAATTAAAAAAAAAAAAAATTTTTAATTAGACGAATTTTGACAAGTTTTACTATACTTTATACTTATACTACTGGATACCTATTTTTTATGCAACATATTCATACATCTTTTTCTTTGAACAAGTTTTGCACAAGCACCTTATTTCTTGTTTCAGCAATGCCCACCTAGTTTACTACATACAGCCTTGGCGAGGGGGAGGCCGTGGGATTTGAATCCAAGATTTTAACTTGTGATCCCAATATGGTAAAGTGTAACACCTATTACCATATTTCCTGGCTAATAAGCTGACTCATTAAACAAGTTGAGGCTAATTTTTAGCACTAATAATAAAAATCAGAGATATTCCGAATTTGCAGTATAAAAACGCCTGCCTATTCATGAAAACTGAAGGGTAAGGCATGTTATCATCCTCTTTTTTCATTTTTTGGTCCATAACTGATAATAAATCGACTCCAGAGAAAATAGGATAAGCCAAGCCATCTAATAAGCCAAACCCCGAAAATTGGCCTATTAGCTGCCGGAAATATGATACATAGAATACTTACATAATCCATTTCATAATTTCATTTCCTGTTACCCATTTTACAGATGTAATAAGAGTTATGGAAAACAGAACAGTACATGTTACTGGTTTTCCCTCTTCGGTTAATAAAGTGAAATTAAAATTGTTTGTTGAAAACAACATAGGACCTAATATAATAGAAGATGTAGAGAAAAGAGCAGATGTTGCGGTGTTCATTTTTAAACATCCTCGTGGTAATTGTTGTTTTTGAGTAATTTTTTATTATTAAGTAATAAATTTGAGTAATTATTTGAAAATTTGTTTAGAAGTTCTCTAATCTTGTTTTGTGAGTTCCCGATGTTTTTTTTTGATTCGTTCGTCATATTTTCACTTCATGAAAGGCTCTGGTTTAGCAGCCACTAATACATTGGAACATCATTTTCTATATTGACATTCTCTTCCAAAATTATTACACCATTACCGTAGTGGTGGACAAGAAATATGTTTGACATATTTACTAATCTGTGACACCAGAATAATGAGGCTTTTATTCACATTTCTGCATATTGATTTTTGATAGAAAAAATGTAATTTTAATTTCTAAAAATGTTTAATAAAACTCAAAACTGTGATGACATGCAGGATAATCAGCATTACCATTGCTAGCATGCTTAGAACTTTCAGTACTGGTGAAAACTATCAAATCTTCCATTTTATCTTGTCTTATTTCCGACCGCTCGTCTTAGTCTATGAATTATTTTGACGTTGGTTAGTGGGTATGCAGGTTAAAATCTCGAGGGAAATAATTATGATCAAAAAGATTGCTTGACTTCTCGCGGGCATAGTTTATCGCCTCCTCTACCATCAAAACCATGCTTCTAAAAAAAATAGCTGGTTATCTATTCTTATACACGGCATGGACTGGTAATTGGAAGCGAGGCCATAGTTATTCATATGATTAAGGCATCTTATCTATTTATTATTTGCACCATAGGTAACAATTTATTTGTTTCTAACATTTTTGATATTTATTTAGGTTTGCAAAAATTTCTTAATGCTGGTCTAAATGAATATACCTTTGGAAATGAAAACTACAAGCTTACAGTAATACAGCAACTTACAGAACAACATCAAGGATATGACACAGGTATGGGGTTCAAAAAATTATTTATATTTCAAAAGTGAAAAAAACACACAGCATTAGCATGATTATACCAAATTTTGGGATTGAAATGCTGTAATAAGATAAAGTAAATAAATAATATTAAAATGACAACATACAGTAATACAGTATGGAAAGTTCTATATTTCATATGGGAATGGAAAGACAGGACTCAAAAGTGCTCCATAGGAGTGCTAGATCTCCCCTTATAACTTGAATATAAATGAAAAAATATATGTACCCTGGGGCTCGTCAAAGATCGTGATAATTCACGAATGCGGTAAAATTGGGTGAAATTCTGGAATACCAATATTGCCAAGCGGGAAATATATATAAACTGTTAAAGTGTCAATCATTATTGTATTTTTTATACGGGGCTTATTTTTTTTGTTTTTTCGAACAAGGCCCGCCTTATACAAGGTGCCACGGATAAATAAAGACATAAATAAACTGCTGGTATTGGAAGGAGCCAGGGCCTTCCTGGTTCGGCATTGCTAATTTATTATATCCTTGGTCCAATGGCGGCATGACATTTGGTATCCAGGCTGGATCAGGATTGCCATATTGGCTTTTTTAACGCCAAATTTGCCATTTTTTACTTTTTTCAAACGCGTTTGGCGTCAGAATTTTCGTTTGGCTTTTTGGCGTTTTTTTGGCTTTTTTCAAGTCTGTTCTAGCGTCTATTATTAAAATCATATGAAATTAATGCGGTCGCCATTATGACAGTCGCTCACTTGATTACGTCGCTATTATGAAGTTTCCATTATGACAGTCGATGTCCTGACAGTCGCTATTTGGAACCCGAGCCATGAGATTTGAATATAGGAGGAACCTCTGTCAGGTCTAATGGCTCAACTGCTAGTCCATCGCACTCGCAAATTTATATCAGGAATGAAAGAATTTCAGGGATCAAAATTGTGCATTTAAAAGATTTAAGAATTCAATCAAGAGTGAATTGTGTTCTAGCATCAGTGTAATAAATTTATTCCAAACACAAATTTATATTATAATGATCACAGGACCCAGACATCAACAAAGGAATCAAAGATACGGTCCAAGAAATGAGGGTTTTAGAAATGAAAGACCTAACCAACCATATCGACAGAATCCAGGCTTTGAAGGAGGTAATGCAAGATATGGAGCAAGAGACGATGGTTATGTATACGCAAGAACTAATCAACCGTATCTACAGAATCCAGGATTCCAAATAGGTGATCCAAGATATGGAGCAAGGGACAATAATTATGGAAACGAAAGAACTAATCAACCATATCGACAGAATCCAGGATTTGGAGGCAGGGACAATAATTATGGAAACGAGAGAACCGATCAACCATATCGACAGAATCCCGGATTTGGAGGCAGGGACAATAATTATGGAAACGATAGAACCGATCAACCATATCGACAGAATCCAGGATTTGGAGGCAGGGACAATAAATATGGAAACGAAAGAACCGATCAACCGCATAGACAGAATCCAAGATTTGACAGAGGCGATGCAGATCAATGGAGGAGAATTTTATATGTCACTCAGATACCACAGCATTTGTGCAATCATCTAGCTTTCAGTTTACATTTCCAAAGGTAGGACGCTTCTCAGTTTATGAACTTGAACTTTTTTTGCACACACTGTTTATCTTTGATAAATAAAATAAGATTTTTATATTTGTCATGGCGGAGATGAAAGTTAATGAGAAGGCCTATTATAAGGTGACTATGGTCACTCATTTGGTTACCAATTTATATTGGGTATAGGAATAGTTTACCAGAAATTTATTTTAGAAGCATAAAAATATGAGGATAAATGCAAGATTACACCACAACCTTTGATCCTTATTTGTACACAAGATTTCATTTATTATTTTTTCCCAAGGCAAGGTCACGAGAACTCACTCAGAAATCAAAGGTGGTTTTTCTGAGCAAAGCTACAGGCAAAGCTACCAAAAGCTTCTGACACTACATATTACCTCCCAATACCACTCCTAGTCAGAAGATAAATTCATAAATCAAGTTTGAAAAATTTGTTAGTGTATAAAAATGATTTTTTTTTTTTGGTTATTTCTGGTTTTTAAACCTCCACCTGTGTTCCACGCCTACCATACTGTGTCATCATTTTTTTAGGTTTGGACCTCTCGAACATTGCTTGTTCAAACCAAACAGGAAGAATCCTGGATTTCATGGATATGTTACATTTAGAAATCATGTGAGTATTATCTCTGTCTAAGGTGTTTCTTTGCCAAAAACAAGGCTCCAAGCAAGCCATAAATAAGGATCTAGGCAAGGTGTGAATGTTATTCTCAGAGCTTCTGGGCTTTTGAGAGAAAAGGGCCATCTTTATAGGAAATGAATTGCACAGGGCCGTGGGCTGCACTTTTATCATAGCCTTTCTAGTAGTTGCAGGCATGAAAAATCATTGTAACGTCATGAGCATAGATAATAAAATGGACGCTGGGTAAAGGGAATGGAATTACTCGCATGTACCAGAAACTAAATTTAAAACTTGATTCGTGGGCTATGCATCATTCAAAATAGTCCCTTCTCCGTGGGCCGCACAATTATTTCTTGGTGTACGCATTTGGACCGCAGGTTGCACACCCCTGGTTTAGAATACTGGTATCTAATTGATGAATTTTGTTCAGAATGATGCTTGCCGAGCAAGGCATGAAGGAGTAAATGCTGGACCAATGAGTAATCTGAGTATACAATGGGCTGATAGTGAAGGTGATTAGATTGATAATTGTTTTCTAAATTAAGATTATTTTTATATTGCCACTGTAGAACCAAATAAGCTTGTGTCAAAATTTAGATTTTGAGAAATTTGTATTTTTGTTATAATTCGGTTCCAAAATAAAAATGGACATAGGGCATCACCTGCAATCAAACGTAAAACAGGTACAGCTTTGAAACTTATACCAAAAGATTGCCGCTTTTCCATTATGACAGAAATTCAAAAAAGCCACATTTTGGTTTTGAAAAAGTCACATGTTTATAATTTTGGTTTCAGCATCCAACTATAAAAATTAGAAATTACCTAAAATCAAAAGTGAAACAGGTACAGCTTTGCGTAGTATGCATATCAAGATGGCGGCCACCAGAACGTAGTATGTGTACCAGGTTAGGGTTAGGCCATAATTTTATTCCAATTTACTATATTTTAGTTCTATTACGAGTTCAGGGACTAGCCAAGAAACTCCTGTAGTATTTGCTCCTTAAATTATGGCCTAACCCTAACCTGGTACACATACTACAGTGCGGTGTCAACCAACTTGGTACACATACTTCAGGAGTACCCAGCTTTGAAGACTAGACCAAAATATTGGTGTTTATCCCTAATGACAGTAGATTAAAAAAGTCCATTTCTGAAAAATGTGACATAAGCTAATTTGGTTTTACTCTGGCGATCTGAGTTTTATTATTATTGTTCTCTAAAAAAAGAGTCAGATGTAGGACTTATCAATGTTTAAGTTAAAATACTTTAAATTACATGTAAATTGAAATTAGTGAGAGTAGGCCAAAATCATTGCACAAATCATCTCATGATGCAGTGCTTTTGTTCCAAACAATGTAAACTGGTGGCCTTGGATTTTGAACCCAAGATTTGAAATCTATGATGCCAACTTATTTAAGCCCTATTAATTATTACTATAATTGATCACTATTCTTTCTCTTTTCTTATGCAGGTCCCAAACCTACCCCAAACTTTAATGAACCTGGTCCTGGGCCTCGACGCTCATCAGCCACTTCTGATGATAGCGGTTACTCAACACCAGGCAATCGTGGTCGAAGAAAAAGAAGGCCGAATGCTAACTCTGCTGGAATATCAAGAATGGGCAAAGCACCATCTATGCCAGACTTACGCCCTCCAACACCAAGTAGACCTTTGAATGAAGGCCCTCAACACGCTGTACTTGATCCGATTCAAGAAGAACTTTTCACTGAAACTCATTACTGGAATACATTAAAGAAGATGCCTGAAACTGAAGGATCTATGTGAGTCTTTATTAGAGATTTTATAATATGAAATTTGATTAAGGCAAAATTCAAATTTGATGCAAAAAAGATTTATACTGAAGGATTTAGAATATGAAAGTATTTGTTTTCTATTGAAAGTTTCAATTTTTGATGTGAAGGTAAAACATTGATTGGCACATGACAAATTTTGATTTTAAACCAGTCACAATGACCCGGATTCAGGTTTATTATATTGCATAGTGATATATAACTGTACTCAAAATTCCAGTGTATGACATAATATTATTTTAAATTGAGTCTTCTTTTATTTTTGTTATACATAATTTAGGTTTCACTTTCATGGCATATCCTAATACGAAATCAAATATGGGTAGCATATGGCAGCATATTTACTTATACTGGTTGTTCATAAAGTCACATTATATATCTTAGTCATATTTGTTTCATTCTAAAATATTTTACTTCATTTAATACACCTTTAGGGGCCAATAAACTATACATAGTATCTATAAATGAACAGTATAAATGAATCTAAAATATTTTATAAAATTATGGAATTCGAATAAGCATTTGTAAAATTTCCCGATAATGATACTATAGTTTCACAAGAGTCTTTATTTGCCAAACTATCTTATGACTCATGTATAAATACAGTTTATTCAAACATAAATCAGCTGGTTTTGTTTACTGTGTGATAACAGCAAGCATAGCCAGCGTTGTGTGTTTGTTCATTACACTGAGTCTTTGTTTAACACCCACGCTTCAGAAATAATTAATAGAACTCAATACTTTATGTCTAGCAAATGAAGGATTAATATTTTTATATCTCGCTTATTCAGGTCTTTTGCTCTGAATAAAGAATTAATTAAACAGCCACTGACTGTTATCTAACAATCTTCTATTTTTTGAAACAAATCACAATCTTTTCATTTTTGGCATTTTTCACCCAATTTATTACACCGGGGGTGGGGTCGGAACATGGAATTTGGAAATTAAAATTGGGATGTGTAATCTGCTATGCAAAAACATTTAAGTCTATAACCGCTGGGGTATCACACCCTATTTTATGTTTTGTCATGTGTCCCTGAAATCTCTATACCTTTGTTTGTGGTTATATGTGTATATATAATGTTGCCTTTTGTGTTGGCCAGTGAGTCAAAATTATCAGTAACCATGCCAAATCTATTTGAATCTGTATAACTGAGCCATAACAATGAAATGAATATTTGAAAAAACCACATTACATGAAAATTCAATTTGAATGAGGAAACGTCCAAAGTGATCTTTTATTTATTACTGAGTAGTACTAGGCAGAATATATAAAACTAAATTTTCCATTTTGAACAAATTATTTGATGGTTTATACTTGATATGGGTAAATTACTATTTGATAAAATGTATCTGTCTGTCTGTCTGTTAGATGCACGCGATATCTCACGAAAACGAGATTAAATCTGCTCCAGATTTTTCATGTGCATTCATCATATCTCGGACGAGAAGCCTATTGATTTTGGGCGAATTATGTCGTATAATTAGCGAGTTATTAATTAATTAGTGATGGGACACAAGGTGTCACTATGGAGTAAGAGCGCTGTTTTGGGGGATCCCCTAACTTTTGATCGATAAGTCCTCGGTCTCTAACCGATATTCTCGTTTATTACATTATTCAATTTAATTTCAATAAATATTCAAAAGGCCTTGCTGTAAAATTTACAAATCCATGTCATAAACTTTCTTTTGATTTTTGTCTCATCTCGAATTTCCCTCTTGTTTTAGTCGTGTCAGTCGTGACATCTTCATATGTAATCGCAATTAACTTACTCACATTCTAAAATATGGTAAATAAAAACATTAGGACGTAACATTAACATATTAAGATAAAGAAATCCTATAAGACTGCCCAATCCTACACCATATGACAGGCTGTGACCTCTTGTCTGGTTCCCTTTCAAGATAGTCAGCTCAGTTAAGTAATAGTTGCCCATTTAGTCATTTCGATGTGCAGAATTCTGGGAGATAAACATATTTTTATATACGATGTATTTATATGCTCTCCTTGCTCTGTATAACCAGCCACTGCTTGGTATGAGAGCAAGGGAGAAAAATCAAGACGAAGGATAAAGTTTTTTTTATAGTATTTGAATGACTTTTGTTCTGAAGAACACTTTGAACAAGCAGTTAACTGATAGTTAACGAACTATTGTAGTTTGGAAGAACCAGAATCATTCCAGTTTGGCATTGCCTACCCAATTTATCGTACAGTGAATGGATTTTTTTAATCAGCGATGCCAACATAGTTAATGCAAATGCTTCAACCACAGAGCCATATTGTCCATAGTATAATTTTTTATCTCTTATTTCCTCTATTATCTATTTCACAGATGTGTTCTTGCTCAAAACATTGATCCATCCAAGCACATTGATACAGTGAAAATGCATTTTGAAAATAAGAAACGTTCGAACGGCGGGCCTGTGAAAAGTGTTATCAGAATGATTGATGGATTGCTCATTGTATTTGAGAGTAAAGAAGGTATGTTGATAATTGTGAAATAGAAATATTTATATTTGAAAATATCTTTGCAAACACTTATTATTTTATGATAGACAATAAAATAGTTACCGTATATTCTCACATATACGCCGATCGCGCATATGAGCAGACTCCCTAAAAATGGTCTTTAAACGGCGATTTCATAATCATTCGCATATAAGCAGACCTTACGAAGCGTAACACGCCGTACGCACCTATCACAGTCAGGATATCAAAATAGTAAAAAAATAGTTAACTTCTGACAGAATAAAATAGTGAATACTAATTTTAAGAATGTTTATCTCAATTTTTCTGTATTTTTAGTTTTTCCGAATTTACAACAGTCAGACAAGCCCAATAAGACAGTCTAATCATGTGATGAGTCACGGCCTCTTATCCAGTTACCAATCCTTGTCAGGTGTAGGAATAATTTCACTGTTTTTTTTTCAGATACATAAAATTAAAATCTGTTATATTCTTTCAATTTTTTATATCTTGTTTCAGATTGTGAGTCATGTTCAGGAAAACAAGATCAAAAGTTTGATGGAAAAGACATTTCTGTATTTCCTAAATCAATTCCTTCATATTTTGAGCAAACCTTTATGATCGAGGTAGCACTATTTTGAATCATCAGATTTACGGTATATGTATTTCTGTTCAATGTGCAACGCTATCACAGTCAGGATGAGATTTTTTATACTTATCCCAGGGGGAGGGGAGAGAGGAAAAGATGGCTTAATCATATGGCCGCCTCTCGTCCAGTTAACAGTCCATGTCGAGTATGAAATTAGTTAGCCAGTCATTTCAGATGCATAGACAGGATGTTGGAAAAAGCCAACGCAAAAAGCCAGCGGTTACTCAAACTGCTCTACAACAACAAGGAGTAGTCCTCTTGCACATAATTATCCTCTGTGGGATGCACAGGGTCATCAGAGGTATTATAGAAATCGTATTCCTATAGCTCATTACATTGCACCCCATTCAATGTTCTAATTGCTGGAACACAATTTCCACAAATACCATATAGTGGAATGTTTTTATAAATTTTTTCTTATCGCAACTATGCTTATTTCAATTATCCTGCTATACCAAATTCAATACTTCTTTTGAACATGGCCCAACCAACACTGATCTTTGACCCCAGATGTATTATTCTACTACTTTACCATTTCACAAAATTTTTTGATACTCATTTCGAAAGTGTTATAGCGAGTTGGGGCTTACAAACTGCTTTATATGCTTCATAACTAATATTTTGATTCAAATTATTTCATTTCAAAGTTCCAATTCTAGCCTAATCTTTCGCAGGTTTTTTGAGACTAATTTTTGATTACCTACAACTACACTTAAAATCCTTAGTCGACAAATTGACCAATGAGAAATTCATATCAAAATTTCAAAACAGATACAGTAATACAAAATAATATTAAATTATACACGACTCTCATTAAAGTTTTCCATTCATACTATTTACAGGGAGTTGGAGAAGCAACAACACAAGATACTTTGACAATGTACCTTGAAACTAGCTCTACTAATGAAGCGTCGCCTGTATCTTTGAAAAAACAAGATATACAGGGCGTTTATCTCGTAGAATATGGAGATGATTTTGGTGGGTTCAGATTCTCATTTTCAATAAAAATTCACCACATTTTTCGGCAAAAACAAAATAAAATGTTGGCCTAACCCTAACCTGGTACACATACTAGGGGAGTACCTATTTTTCTTGCTATACCTGGTTATGAATATATAGAATAAAATTTTACTATATAGTCCATATCGTTAAATATTATGTAGGCTATTATTTGGGGATAGGATTTTCATATTTATACTTAATTATACAACCTTCTCATTAGCTTACAATTTAGGTCGGGTTCGAGAATAGTTAACCAATTCTTCCAGTTATTCAAGGAGTTTACCATTTCAGAAATACATTTTTGGGTACTCCTGTAGTATGTGTACCATGTTAGGATTAGGCCGTAATTTTATCCTGTTTTTCCTTATTGTAGTTCTATTACGAGTTTGGGGACTGTCTGTGTTAGCTAATTGAATATACCCCCTTCCAATAGGCTTCTGTTCATTTACAAATCTTGATGAAAAGTAGGCGAAAAAAATTAGTTACCACCATATTGGTACATATATTTCTGGAGCGCCCATTTTTGAGTGACACCTTGTGAGTCTGGAAAATTTGCGCACTCAGAATATTTTTTAAAACAGCTAAAATCCAGAAAAAGTACAATATTTTTTGCATTCCTGAGAAATACCCAAACTCCTTTACACCTAATACTTATTATAACTTTCATACAGATATCAGTGAAAGAGATTCATTTTTGGAAAAAATTAGGAAGAAACCTTTGGAAGACCGGACTTTGAAAGTAAGCTGAAGTTCTTGCATCAATTATTGTTTTATTGATACTGGTATCAAACGATTTTGTTCAGTGTGACTACAGTTGGCATGGTAGCCAGTAAGCAAATGTTTCATTTTCAATGATTGTGAAAGTCGTACAAACCACTTTCCAGCAATCCTTCTCACGAAATCATCAAGCATAGGATTCAAAGCAGCGCGTCAGCATGTGAAAATAATGTACCACATACTCAATTGGTATATACTAGTGACTCAAACTAATCTCAAATTATAGTCAATTTACTTTAAATTACTGTAGTCATCACAAATGGTACCTAGTCATTGCTAGTAGCGCCCAGATAATTACTCTGTGTCGACACAGTGGGGCCAAGGTCCCACTTTAAGAAACTTTGGTCTGTGCAGTGGCTGAAATATTCCTAAATTTGAACTTTCTTTTATTTTTCAGGCTTCAAGGCTTTTAAGAACTGATTGCCTAAAAGCATCAGGAATCCCAGATTCAGTAACAAATGATACAATCAGACTTACGTTTGAAAGTAAGAAAAGAACTGATGGTGGGCCTGTGACAAGAATTGATAGAATTGAAAATCAAATTACTTTGGTCTACTTTGCATCCTATATTGGTAAGTATTGAAATTTAGTGCATCATACTTTTTTCCAATTACCAGATTCGGTATAGGAATAGTGTTTTTTCCAATCTTTTTTTTTTCGAGAATTTGCTAAAACCACAGTCAGATGTGCTCATTCAAAACTAGAAGAGACTGATCTCAGAGTAAAGTTATGGACGGCCACTAAAATGATACGTGCAAGACTTTTATCCAGTTGGTATAGTTTTTTCTCCAAGGGAATTTGCTAAAACCACAGTCCGGTGTACTCATTCAGAACTAGAGGAGACTGGTTTCTGAGCAAAGTCACAGGCAGCCACCTAAAATGACCATAGCTACTGAAACTGTATAAACTCAAGGTGGTGTGATATGGGCCAGACTTTTATTCTGTTACCGAGGTCTGGAATGAAAACAGTTGACCAATATTTATTTCTTATGCTGTATAACACCATTGTTCGAATATCTATTTAAAGAAATTGGGTAATGCTTATTACTGTCGGTACGTTACCAAGCGTTACTTCATAACCTCGCCAACCAGTCCCTACATCACCTCCCTGGCTTTATAGGGGGTGAAAACCTCTAAAATTTCAAATATTCCCAACTCCCCTTCCCCCTTGATTTTGAGGTATGACACCTCACCTAAATTCCTAACTTGAATAAAATTACATTTAAATATTTAGAAAGAGGATTAGTAGATGCTGTGGCATAAGATCATTCAAATCATAACACATTTTATAAGTTACAAAAAGTTTTATCACTAATAACAAATATCTACCACATCCTAAAATTGAACCCCCCCCCCTAACTTGGAAAGCTGGGGAACATACTGTCGCCAACTATAAGGTTTTACAAATACTAAGTTTTTATTCACTATAACAATAGCCGCATATCAAGTATGACTCAGCAGGTAAAACGGTACTAAGTATGTGTACCAGGTTAGGGTTAGGCCATAATTTGATTCCGATTTTCCTTATTTTTGTTCTATTGCGAGTTCGGGGACTGTTTGTGATAGCCAAGTAAAAATATTCTCTGCCCATAGGTTTTAGTCCCTTTACACAACTTGATGTAAAGTGAGCGAACAAAATTAGTTACCTCCATATTGGTACACATAACGGTAATTCTAGAGCGCCGGTAAAACACTGTTGTCACTGTCATTAAACAGACACAACAAAGTTGAAAATAAATTGAATTATGCCAATATAAATGACCAGTGACCACAATTACTACATTCATTCTACAGTCGCCAATTTTGACAAAAAAATTAAAATTTCTGTTAAACTCTTTAGATACTGCTCGAGTATGCAAAAGATTCAAAAAACCTAGTTCTGAATCAATTATTATTGGGCAACATCCTGTTGAAGTTGAATTGTATTTTCATTCACTCTCAAATCTACATAAAAGTGTTGAAAAAAGTGAAAATGGGAAAAGTTCACGAAAAGGTGGCAAAAAAGGTAAAAAATAAGATTGGATTTTTTATGTTTATTTATTTTGTTTGAGAGGAGAAAGACAGTGAAGTGGCTTAATCATATGGCAGACTGAGAGGAAAGAGGGGTAAGCTGGCTCTCATCCAGTTACCAATCTATGTCGGGTATGGTAATAGGTAATCAGTTATTCATTTATCTGTGTGGGCTTCATGGTGGAGGAAGTCATAATTGACCAGCAGTTACATGAACCATCTCACGAAGGTGAGAAGTCTAGCAATCCTATTGTCCATAATTGTTTCTCATGGTACTTTGCCGTCTCGTCCCCTTTAAACATTTAGAATAATGCACCAAACATCAAGTTTCATTATATATTTTCCTCAATGTCCATAGACTACATATGATCCCCATCGGTACTTATCTTTTTTATAACTTTTGTTAGGAACAAGACTCTTTCTGCCCAATGCATTATACCTTCGGTTAGTTGGTGAGCATGGGAGATTTGTAACCTGCGATGCCAACACATCTTAGTTTGTCGCTTCAACTTCTATGCCCATAATTTTTTTCCGAAGCATGACTTTTTAATATTCACTCATTCCTTTTCATTTTAAATTCAGATCCACCCAAGCCTACTCCAAGATCTCAAAAAAATGAAACACTGAGCACTTACATTTACAAACCTGAATGTCATGATAAAATTTTCTTCTTCATTCGACTAACTAAAGCGCAAGTTAACAAAATAAAAGACGTTTTCAAAGATTTGGCCAATGTTGAATTGTGTCATACTGCAAAAGAAGGGAAATTTGTCAAGTTTGTTCCAGAAAAGGTATTAACCAGAAAAAGTTTACATATGTTGTAGCTGACAAACCTGTTTACGTTTAATTGAATCAGAATGCCATGAACTTATCTTTAAATTACCTCGTCTGTCATGTGTGGAGTCGTTTGCTTTCATTGTTATGAACAAGACTCGAATATCCGTCGCCTGTATGTCTTTCATTTCCGGCTTTTCTTAGTATTTAAATGTTTGATTTTTTTCTACAGTATAATTTAATGTTAGACTTCCTCCATAGCTGACGCTGCTAAATAACTATTACTGGTTTATCGAGTCTCCCTTCACAATAGAATGCATTTTTTTTATCTGTCTCTTGTCTGTACGTACAATGCGTATTTTTGGCATGTGTAAAATAATTTACTGATTACTGATTAGTTTCAGTGATCTGTTGGAGTCATTATATGAGTTCATTTAGTCATTCATTTTTTTCAGTCTGTTTTGATTTATCATTTAAGGTCATTGGGGACATTTTTCCTATTGTTCTTTTTACAGGATCCAGGCATGGACACCCAAGATGGATTCGATACTGAATGCAAAACAAGATTTGATGATTTCATTACCAAGTTTTTAACTTTGACTCAAACATTTGACAAAGATAAATTAAGCAAAGCAATATCACTCAACGTTTGTCCTTATTTGAATAAACCAGAAACTAAGAATGATATCAACATCAGGTTAGTGATTATTTCACTTTTCCGTTTTCTTTTTTAAAAACTTTCAGTTTCTATTAAGCAGCCCCACTGTGATGTCACAGAGCTGTGAGCATGTGACATCACAGTGAGAGTTCAATTGCTGCCATTACAAGTTAACTAACTGCAGAGGTGTAGCTGAGGCTGCCCTTTTGCACGTTTGGTGATTTAGGAGGAAGTTACAGTAGGCAATTTATGAAGTTTTGCCAGTCCGCTTCTAAATGCTGTTTTACAATGAAACAATTGCACCCATCTCATTAAACTTTGGCATATACTTTTGTTTGGTTGTATTTTTTTTACTATATGGTGCATTAATTTTATGTTGTGATCTTAATATGTTTTGATGCACAAGGCCGCGCACTAAAAATATCATAAAAAAAATTGCAGGGAGTCTGTCATGAAATTTTTTTCAAGTTTGAGAACCACTGCACTAGACCATCTTACCCACATGTGTTAAATTTTGCATTCAAACAGGGTGATAATCAATGTTGTTCATAATAGATGACATAATATGAATCATTGTTTTCAAATACTTATTCTATTTACGACTGAATTTTTGTTTTCATGTCTTCAATTTATTCAGGTGGCAACCCAATCAACCAATAGTAACTGTAACAGGATTGAAAGAATCTGTTGATAAAATAATGAAAGAAATTGAAACTTCTATCAATTCAACTGTTGCTGAAATGTCAGTTAATGAAGAACAATACAGGTGAATATTCCCTTTTTGTGGAATGCCGATTTATACAGATAACTTTTAATGTTTGTTTGTTTATTTGCTTCATGCCAACATGTGTTGGGATTATTATGCCATTGCCATTATGGACAAACCCATGCAATTTGTAATGAAAGTTTGTTAAAATTCAAAGATAAAACTGATTATTCTTGATTTGAAATAAATCTGTCTTATTGAATAGACTCCATTCCAGAGTTTGGTTAATTAATAAACGTATGACTATGAAAATTTGTTTTATTTTCAAACCTTGACTGCAGAAATCTGAAATTGTGACTTGGTGGAAATTGAAAATTCGACTTAGGAATTAAAAAATATATACCCATGGTTCTGACTCTGGTATTAAAAAAACTGCCCCTGTTTCTAATTATTTGATGGGTAAAGAACTCGTTCTTTTAACAAAAAATATTAATCTTAATGCAATTCTGGTTGAATTGAACAGAAGCGCAAAAGCGGCGAAAAGTATGTAAACAAATTGATATTATTACAGGAGATATATTCAGTTCCTTCCAATGGTTAAATAAAAATGATCTTGGGAAGTTGTAGTGGGGACAATGAATTATAAAGTATTTGAGGTTTCATTTTCCAAGCAAGCATCGCAAAGTCCACCATTCAACCAACTCCTAAACACTCGTTCCTCTTTACGAAGTAACTTTATTAAATTAGGGCTGTTCAATTCTTCTATTTGGGCTGTTTAATCCATTTGCCATGTTATTCTACTCTATTGACAGAATTCTTACAAACTGCGGAATACTGTCCGAACTTCAAGCTAAGCATAAGAAAGTACAATTAAAACTAGATGATGCAAAGCACAGTGTGACATTACAGGGACCTGAAGTGGATGTTTCAAGGATTCAAATTGATGCTTTGACTATATTGAATGTTAGTTATGAATTTTTTAATATTTGTTAGGGTAGCATAACATAATTCTTATTTTTTTCAATTGCTTTGTTGGAATATAATATAATACTTCTTATTAGCCGGAGGAGAATTAGTCTGGGTGATACACACAGTTTGCAATACCAGTAATGTTAATATACTAGAATTTAAATAGGTTTAAATTTGGTTTGAAGTGGACATAGCTACCATTAAAATGAAAAATTTAAAAAGAAGCTGTATCAAACCAATACTTTCAACTGTTCAACTGGCCACAGCACATTGTTCATGGTGCTTTGACATATTGCTCTGCAGCCCTCAAGGTTTACTATCTGTTTTATCCCGTGCATCATTAAATGTAAAAAGTTACTAATTATATGCAAATACAAGTGTCTGATAGTGAAAATAAGACGTTCCTATTGTATCCTCTATTCTGGCTGTAGGCCCATGTTTAGTGAAACTAACAAGTTTGTACCAGTTACTGTTTGGTCCAAATGGCTACTGTTTTGCTCTTCCCTGGATAATATATGAAAATAAACTGTAAAAACATTACTTGAGTTTACGTATATCTGAGTCAAATTTTTAAGCCATAAAAATCACTCATATTCAAATTACAGAAAGAAGGTTTTTAAAAAAACTATACTGGGTTAGGAAGCCCATCAATGCATCTGGAACATTGAAAATGAACTGCGTATTAACATATATAAACTACCATTGTATCAAGACAATAGTTAGTGATTGGATTTCCATACAAATTCTTTTCATCTTTATATATTTACAGGATAAAAATCAATCCAATTCTCTTCTTGACATTTGATTAACCAATAAATTCCTCATTTCATAACAGACTGTTGAAAAAAGAAAATTATCAGATGTAGATGAGAGCATAGTTAGATATTTATTGGAATCAGCATCTCAGTCTAACATCGTTATATCAAAAATACAAGACAAACTGAAGATCGATAACATCAAAGGTATCGGTGGTTATACTGTAAATATAATACTATTAAATTTGGGCGTGTGAAATGTTTTTAAGTGTGCTTTTTTGTCTAGAAGTATATTGAGTGCCCGACATTGCGTTATATTACGCGGATATATGGTATTTTTTTCTGTTCCGGCCATTTCAATTTTTTGCCGGTCGGCGAGTACATTTAGTCTAATTTTACCGGTCCACCAGGGTAGAAAGGTTGGGAACCGCTGGCCTACTTCACATCAAGTTGTATAAAGGGACTGAAACATATGGGCAGGGGGGAAATTCACTTGTCTAACACAGGGAGGTCCTGAACTCGTAATAGAACTGAAATAAGGAAAATCGCATTGAAATATTGGCCTAACCCTAACCTGGTACATACACTATGAGAGTATATAAATTTGTTCATTAACACTGACTGTGTTCATATATTAACATAATAGATAAATACAAATAGCTGACACAATGAAATAATTATTCAAATTACAAACAAATGATAATATAATTATAGTACATGTCATATGAAATTGTATACCGTACATGCAGGTATTATAAGGGGCTTCTTCGTAAATAAAATGAAATAATGCTTTGCAAACGTTAGCGAACGCACTTGCCATCAAAGCTCTGATTACGCTGTGTGGGTTCTAGTCCCAATTATGAGGGCGCGGGTATTGTCTTTTCAATTTTGCCCGTTCCCCTCCATGAAACAAACATGAAAATCATATCATGCAACTCGTTTACTTACAGCTTCTCTCGGAATTGATGATGACGAGCTTTGTTTGAGAAGTCGGTCAGATGACGAGTTCAAAAAAACCATTCGTATTATCAAAGAAATGGTTGCCACGGAAACAATAAAAACAGACCAATCTGGATCAAGTCTGGTGAAATCTCCTGCATGGAGAGGATTTCAACAAAATCTTAAAAAATCTGGAATATACGGACTTTATATAAAAGTAGGTGGAAAATACACTGTTGAAAATTTGTATCGAATAATATGCTGGTTAGATGTAGCAGGTTCAAACCCAGTTGTGTTTTCCCATGTTCATGATCTTTACCCTCTTTTAAAGAATCACTTGCCACCTGCTCCTACAAAAATGTATAGTTTTGCTTTTAGTGCATTGTTATTAGTTAATGCATGTGCCACGTTTAATAATAAAAACTAAAAAAAAGCAATAGAATGAATGTTTTACAGTTGAAGTATCGAACAAACCACAGTCAATTCTTTTGAAATTAATTTAGACCATAAATCAGTTAATTTTGTGCAAGAGGATGCTGTGGTTCGCCATATAATTAAGCTGTTTTATCACTTTCCTCTCCCCTGGGATAAATATGTAAATCTTATCCAGTTCTCCGAAGGCTATATCGAAAGAAGTCAGTAGGTTTCATTCTCAATCACTACATTTATTGACTATGATTATTACAAATATTTCACCATAATGCATTTATTCTTTCACAATAATTTGTTGGCTTTTCATTATTAACGTATGGGATAAAATAACCGAAAAGAAAACTAGGTATTTTGATAGAAGAGCAGAGGGCTATAAGCAATGGCAATCTTTGGAAACATGCCATAAATGACGAAAGTTGAGAAGCAGTGACCTAGAATTTCTATTAAAATGATTTTTATGTTCTTTTTTCAGCCCAATCAAAGTCTCATATTAGTATCAGAACTTTCAGAATTAAGAATTTTGAAGAACAAAGTCAACTCATTTCTGGATGAAAATTCAATCAAGTGCATTTATATTACAATGAAATATGGACAAGCAAAATTTATCGTGGAAAGATCTGAAGAATATTCTATGGAGAAATGCAAACAGAAATCAATAAAATGTAGTTTGACTCCTGAAAATGGAGGTGGATTATGTATTGAAGGAAAAAGGAAACCACTTGAAGATGGTAAGATTTTTTTGCAGGAGGAAAAGAGAGGGAAGTTTTAAGTGGTGGCGATGGCCAGAGGGTTAATGTGCTATAATTAACTGTGTTAGCAACGCAATTACACATCTCGGCTTTAAGTCTCATGCCCCCACTTCACCCAAGTTGTAATAAATTGGGTTGGCAATGCCAAACTGCGAAAATTTTGGTCCTTCTAAGTAATAGTAGGATGATAGGATTTACATATTCACCCCGCAGAAAAGGGAAAGCAGATTAAATGGCTTAATCATACGGCGAACCACGGCCTCTCCTCCGGTTACCAGTTTATGTTGGTATGGGATTCGTTAGCCTCTTATTTTTTTTCAGAGGAACGGACTAGATAATGAAGTATCCATTTCTGACCAGCAGTCCACGTGATTCACCCTATGGTGGGGAGGAGTCCCCCCTTGCACATAATTATACCCCACAGGTTTGCAGGTTTCGAACCCAAGAACTCGTATAGAGTAATCAGAGTTGTGATGACAAGCACATTCATAATGTATGGCGTGATGCGTCATGTGTCGAGCCATATTATTAGGCTTCTTCTCAACTTTTTATTTTCAGCTTGTCAGCACTCTTTTTCACAAAAATAAATATAAAAACATCTTATTGTGCTATTTTAACTTTTTATGTACGATATTATTACAGCACATTCGGCACTAACACTTCTCCAAAACCAAGTGATTGAACAGACAACCAATCTAAACATTGCTGGAATTAAGGAATATTATCAAACTAAAGGCAAAAAGTTTTTATCAACAACTGAAAAAATGAATGATTGTATCATTTTAATGTCGCCCCTCTGTGAGGACTGGGTTAAATTCAACCCAGAGGCGAGGCAGCAAGCTCCTGTTCCAAGGTCGAGAAGTAGAAGGCCTGCTTCTTCGGTGAGTGTGTAAAAATCGGCTATGTTAATGTATAGTTAATCAGCGACAGCAGTTTATCCATTTACTACCGGTAGTACTTCTATCTGTAAACAATCTGTAAACTATCATCCATAACCTTGGAAAGACCAGCAAACAACCTCATTCATTTTTTTTTCATTAGATATCACTGGCAAAGTACTCTATTCAGTAATAGACGATGACTGGAGAAATAACTAAGTGGTTGTGAATAGGGCTGTCCGAGCGAACCGAATATTCGAAATCGAATCGCAAACTATTCGAAGCGTTTTTCGGCCAATTTACAAATTACTAAAATTTGGTACATAATGCGCCTCACGACCACCTTTGCACCGCGTTTTTCACCGGGCAAGCAAAAACATGTTTCTATCGCTTTCTTTGCTGTAAAAAGGTCTCTCCTATTGCCCAGTGACATGTACCTAATTATCCATTCCATGCATGGTCATAAATGAAAAGTTATCGGTAATGTTGACAATGATTTAAAGATGACGTTTTTTGAGAGAACACAAGGAGAAAAAAGCAAATTTTGTGTCAGCCAAAAACGCCAGTTCTATCGATTTGTAGCTGTTGAGTCAGTAATCATAGGAGGAACATGGTACAGGACTGAAACACGTTTTGGAGGTCCAATATCTTTTTCCAATAGAATTTGTAATTTCTTCTAATGGCAGTACTTTGTTTCAAATATTAATGTCATCAAACTAGCTCTGAATTTGTGAGTTACCGAAATGCAATTTTGAATTTTTTGGGCAACAGTTATATCTATATTAATAGTTGTTTATCATTTTACTGAAGATTACACAAAAAATATTGAGTTAATAATACTGATGATAATAGGACTAAAATAGCAACTATGAGCATTAAAAGAGTCTGTGCAACTTCCAACTCTTAAAACTTGATAGTTTTTAAAACCCTAATTTTTTGACCAGTTCAAGGAGGCTTGTGATCTCCTTTTATAACTCTGGAAACATAGTTATGCAAAATATTTGCAATAATTTAGATATAACTGCACATACGTTATCACAATATTGAAGAAGAAGTTTTTATTGTACATTAGAGACAAATTTAGGATTGCGCAATAATATTCGATTATTCGGTTCGATTCGAGAAAAATATTTGGTTCAATTCGAAGCAAAAAAATATTCGATTTTGGACAGCCCTAGTTGTGAATTCCGTATATCAAAAAATACTTTTCTTCTGGCTGTGGGCAGTGACATGCACCTCACTATGACGATGAAGAAGTCTATCAATTCTCTTGCACAGAATTATATTCTGCAAGATTCAAACTTGTAGGCTTAGGATGGGTGCTCGATAATGAGAACACATACCTAATACAATGCTACTTTACATTACTTTGTTTAACTTCTTATTTTCTTGTCACATAGAATACAAGGGCACAACAATTGGCTTCTGTGACCTTGGCAAATTCATCAGTGACCTTGACTGTTTGGAAAGTTGACATCACAAAGCATACCTGTGATGTCATAGTAAACACATCAAATCCAGAATTAAAGTTGTTGGCAGGTGGAGTGTCTGGTGTCATCAAAAACTTAGGTAATGATTTGGATTTCATAATAATTATTTGGTACACCTGAAATATGGGTACCAAGAGGCAAGGCAGCAATATGCGGACATCGGAGCGTAGTATGTGTACCAGGTTAGGGTTAGGCCATAATTTTATTCCAATTTTTTTCCCCTATTTTAGTTCTATTATGAGTTTTGGGACTAACCAAGTGACTACCGTAGTATTTGTAGCTAAAATTATGGCCTAACCCTAACTTGGTACACATACTTCAGGAGCGCCAGTTATTTTAAAGCATTCTCCACTTAGTAGGTAGGTCCAACATGGTAACCACTAGTACTAAGCCAGAGGTTTCATCTGATTTCAATCGATGTTCACAATTTTCATCTTTATTGAAACATTAGCTAAGTATATGCACAACACAAACTTTTGGACAGTTAAAAGACTATATTGTGCACATAAATATTTGGTTTACAATACTACTAAGTAGGTAAAAAACATTAGTAATACTACACACAAACACAAAGTTGAATTCCTCAACTAGAACTGTTGAATTCCCTGTTTAGGCAATCATGCTCAGTTGCTCACTGCCGCGCCCTATTTTTAGCATTTGTCTCGCCCCCTCCTCAAATACAACTACCGGTATCTAACAATAAGCTACAAATAGCATATATTTTATTCAAAAGCACGTTGAAAATATGTGGATGGAATCGCAATCTCTCAACAATGAATAAATGTAAATATCCAAGAAAAGACCGTCAAAATCAAATCTAACTAATATTTTTATTTTCAATTAGTTTCATGCCGCCGCAAAAATTTGTCTATGCCCCCTTTGACAAAACTGTCTCAGCAGCAAATAAATTCCTTAGTTGCACTATTGCTAGATGCAGTGACAATATCGGTCCCACATCTGTTTTGCAATGGATGATGCCAAATAGTCTCTACCTTGGGTGTCGTTGCTAAATAACCAGCTTTGGTTCCCCGCGCCTTTCAGTGGAATTTGTATTCAATATTATTTCTTTGAACTTTGCTTTTACTTTACTGGATGGGAAAAATAAACTTGACTATGACTGTATAATATGCAACAATGAATAAACTGCTCGGTATAAAAAATTGAAATTTATTTTATTTTTACATCCTATATCAAGATGTCAAAAATGGAAATCAAATTCAAACAGAAATGAACAGAATTATAGGTAGTAACCGTGGAAACCTTCTGCCTGGTGATGCAGTTTTAACTGGGGCTGGAAATTTACCTTCTTGCAAAAAGATTGTCCATGCGGTTGGTCCAAGGTATGTGGATATTGTTATTTTGGAAATTCGCTCAAACCAGATTGAGATACCCCCGTAGAAGTAAATGGAATGCACAAAAGTAAAGTGAATATAGAATATCATTTTCATTGTTATTCTTGGCAGAGAGAAGTCAAGAAGGTGGCTTAATCATATGACAAACCATGGTCCCTCATCCAGTTACTATTTCATGCTAGTTGTCACATAATTGTGACTTCAAACAAGGCTCTGTACATGCAGTCAATAATTTCTGAAAAGCTACTGTTTTGTTGCTCACAGTCTGCTCTGTTGTTTGTTTTAGATCAGTGGTTCTCAAACATTTTAAGTCGTGCACCATTTTTAGAATTTGTCAAGTCCTGTGCCCCACATCAAAAAAAAGGCGCACAAGATCAAATCTAACATTTATTTTTATTTTTAAATATCTACACAACCCATAAAAAAATCCACGGTTTTAGATGCATTCACCTGATAATGGAGGGGGAAGCTGTAAGTGACCAGCAATTACCTAAACCACCCCACAGCATAGAAGTGTCCAGCAATTCTCTTGCACATAATTATCCCCCAAGGGATTTGAACTTACGCATGGTAATCAGAGGTGCAATGAAAAGTGTATTCCTAATGATTAGCACAATGCACCAACCGCCAAGCTAAAATTTGTTCAACAAAATGAATGTCCTTTTATTTTCCACACTTAGATGGGATTCTCAGTCAGATAGAAGTGATCCGTCTCTCTTGTTGAAAGCCTGTGTTTCAAAATCCCTTGAAGAAGTTGAAAACCATCAACTAAAGTCAATAGCCATGCCAGCAATTAGTTGTGGAGTTTTTGGTGGAAATGCAAGAACCTGCATTCCGTTAATTTTAGAAGCAATAGCAGAGTATTTTAAAGATACCGCTAGTTCTGTGATAACAAAGGTAAGTTTGATGAGTAAAATAGAATCAATATTAGAAAAAAAGGCAACGAAAGAGCGTACATTGGTGCATAGGTGACGCATATAGTGAGTATATAATACAAAACGATAGAAAAAGCTTGTTGAACCTATAAAATATGGTATAACATGATTGTGTTATCTTAACAGTCCTGCTAAAATAGATATCAAATTATAATATAGGCCCTATCAGATGCGTTTACACGAAACTAAATCGCTATTCTTTCTCTATACTTTTGCACTAAAAGATCCGTTCATAATGTAACATTACTGTAGTAGGAATGAAAATGACCATTCTCTTCAATTAAAGAGTATTGCCACAAAATACAAATGTATATTTCAGTAAGATTTCATCTGACAATTAGATTATTAACTTATTTTTAGATCGACCTTGTTGAAAACAGCAAACAAGATATTCTTGATGAGTTAGTGAGGAATATAAAGAAACATGGGACGAATTCTTCCCCTTCAAATTCTACGGCCCAGTCTAACCAAAATACTCAACCTCAGGTTGCAAGTTTAAATATTTCATGCAATGTCTCATTGGTGCAAGGAGATATCACAACACGTAATGTAAGTATTATTTTAATATAAGAATATGATGCACAAATATATAGCTATAACATTTTTGAGCGCTCCAATACCGCTCCTTGTACCAATATGGAGGTAACTAATTTTGTTTGCCTATTTTACATCAAGTTGTATCAAGGAACTGAACTCCTATGGGCAAGGGGTATATTCACTAACACAGACAGTCCCCAAATTCGTAAGAGAATTAAAAGGAGAAAAATCGGAATAAAATTATGGCCTTATCCTAACCTGGTATACATACTATGGGATAATCGATTTTTGTATTAGGTAAACTCGTTTTCAAACTTCTCCATCTGGCTCAGAATTTGATAGTTTGGATGTCATTGCATTGCTCAGTATAGCATTTTCATATTTATTCCAGGGAAGGGGAAATCATGAGAAGACTCCAATAATATGGCAAACCACGGCCTATCATTCAATTACCAGTCCATGGGATTAGTTAACCAGTTATTTGTTTTAGACTTGATGGGGGAAGAAGTCAAGAAGTCACCAACCAGAGGTTACGTGAACCACCCTACCGTGGATTAGAGTCTAGCAATCTTGCAATTATTAATCCCCCACAGAAAACAATCTTTGAACTCGTACAGGAGGACACAGCAAATAATGCTACTTGTATAGATCCTTGTTTTGAGCGCAGAGTGTGAATATGCGCACAGGGGTCACCAAAAAAGTAGCAACTACATTAATAAGGACATTTATAAAAGGTTCGCCACCAAAATTCATTAATTAATGAACCAACAACAACCTGTTTGTATCTCACAGGACGATGTAATTGTTAGTATAAGTCCTCCAAAACACATTGCTGACATGAGCGGATCTGCTGTATCAAAGGCTCTGTTGAAAAAAGCTGGACAGAGAATACTCGTAAGTTTTAATATCGATTCTACAAAGGGATCATTTGGAACATAATTCTAGAGCAGTGGCACTCATAAGCCGCTCCCCTTTTTTAGAATTTGTCAAGTCTCATGCCAACCTCAAAAACAACTACCGGTAGCTACAAACAACAGATAGTACGGGGAAAGTATGTTTTTATTGAAAAACACGTTGAAATACGTGGATGGAACCTAAATATCCAAAATGAAGAAACACTGTTTTAGATAGAACTTAAGTTTTGTGCAAAGCGTCCTAATTACTGTAACTTTTGGGTACAATTATACACAAGCTAAAGTGTTAAATAAATTTCTTTATTTTCATAGAATTAATTAACCAATATATGGGTTCTGTTATTTTTATTTGCAACTTGTTGTATGAGTCTTGTTCCCAACATGTCAAATACTTTTATAAACATTCAGCAAGAGTGCGCTCAAATAAATTCTCCATCCATGGGACAAGTGTTTGAAACCAGCGGAGGTGGACTAGGATGTCAGAAATTGTATCACGGAATTGTTGGTCATTATTCTGCAAATACATCGGAAGCAATTGTAAAATCGGTAGTGAAAAACTCATTGAACATGGCAGACAGGGCTGGATACAGGTTTATACATTTACCTACCTTATTTATTATAATTTCTTTACATATATAATAATTTTTGATACACCTTATTTTCTGGCTGATAATTCTTCCCCCTAAATCAGGCCAAAAAACTTGTTCTAGAAAAGCGACTTAATAGCTGAAATATATGGTATCTTGAATATTTAGCGGTTAAAGGAAAACGTTAGACTTGACTATTTTGCAGTCTTCAAATTTCTTGAACCTTACCCAGGGTGTTATAAATTTGGTACGCAATGCACAACTGGTAAGATTCCGATCATTTCTGAATCTTCACTGTTTGGGATTATTTATTCAATACAAACTGTATCAGGTGCATGGGATTTGAACCTGAGATAATTACCTCGTGACGCTAACATAGTCATGCTCTTACCCACTAGGCTGTTGCGCCCATATTTAAAAAGTTAAGTTCACCCAGCATGTTGTTTTAAATGATTATTGACGGTTACTATAATTCCATCTCTAGAGCTTTCACAAAATAGCATAAATAATTTTTTTACGATTATTTGCTTATGGCCCTGTACAGAGGCGAATGGATATTATAAATGAATTATAATATAATAAATAATAATAATTAATACTTTGGAATTCAAAGATGGGGTTTGACCTGTGGCAGTTCAGAAGAATAAAGAATAGATAGAATAGATAATATAAGTATTCAAAAACTTTCAATTTACAGGTCGATTGTTTTCCCTGCAATTGCAACAGGAGGATTTAAACATCCACCACAATTAGTAGCTAAATGGATGAAATCACAAATATCTAAATTTAATGCAACGAATATTCAGAATATAACTATTCTACTTTATCCTGGGAACCAAGCTGTAATAAATGTAAGTAATGTTTTTTTTTTAAATCAAAGTGGATCGTTTTGGGTATCGGTAATTCATCCCTGAACAAACAAGGTCCTGTATAAGCCTCCACTTATGTCTTACAATATGTACAAGCTATTGCATTTGTAAGGACTGGGTTCGGCATTTCTCATCGTGGTAAACCATGCAGAACATGCAAAAATCGTGAAAAACACCCAAGAACCTTGCAAAAATCGTGTAAAACACCCAAAAACCGTGAAAATCCATTTCTATTGACTCATAATCTTCATTTGTTGAATTACTATCCACTGATAATCACTTGCTGAGGGGAAGGTAAATGCTCTCTCAGACACTCACTCAACAAATTTATGGGTGGCCCTTAAATTGCTTAGAGTTAGTTAGATAGTTTAGATATGAATCTGAATCTACAATCTGAAAATACAAACAAATTAAAAATGGAGAATTCTGGAAGGCGAGCAAAGCGAGTTACTGAAACTATAAGTGGCTTAGCCATATGCCGAACCATGGCCTCTCATCCGTTACATGTCGAGTATAGGATTAGTTAGTTATTTATTTTTGGAAGCATGGACTCAGTGATGCAGGAAGCCGTAATCAACCAGCAGTCATGTGAACCACCCTATGGAGGCGAGGAGTCCAGCAACCCTCTTGCACATAACGAGGCAGCGGCGAGCGTAATTCTAACACTTATCACGATGAGCCGCACCTGCAAGTTTCATTCAAAACCGAGAGTCAATATTAAAAATTGTTTTTTGTTCATATATAACCAAACGCTTATAAGGTTTGCCACTATTTTAAACTTACTACACCTTGAATATCATTTTTTACCAGTATAAGGCTTGCTTTATATATATTTATAGCTTATACAATTCAGACAATAAAACACAATTTTACAATTGCACAGTGGTTCCTCGATCTTCTATATGTTTCATTGGGGTTCTGCTCCACCAAAATAGTTGATAACCACTGCTATAAGGAATTATAGCATAGAACTGAACTATGAACTGTTTTATACAGGCTTTCACAACTGGATTCAACCAGCAATCGGCTTTTACTGCTTTTCCATCATATTCCAATCCACCCACTTCTTCAAGCACTTCGTTCCATCAGAAAATAAATTCTACTTCAGCCAAATTTGGCTCTGTTGTTGTGTCAGTTTATCAAGGAGATATAACAATACAGAATTGTGATGTTATCGTCAACAGCGTACATTCAGGCTTTGACCTTACTAAAGGTGAGGAGCAGAAATAGCTTAAACAAGTTGTTTTCAAACTTTCATCTTTTGTAGACCACTTTCAGAGACTCTAAACACTTGTGGTCTCAATACACATGGATGCCTTTGCTCATGGCCCCCTTAGGGGTTGTATTCTGTGTTATTGCTTCTATTGTTCCATGATTGAGTGGCTTTGGTTTTCTCTCTTGCTCTCCTTCTTTTGATGCTTAAGTCAAAAGACATTTTGCTTATCTATAAACATTGTCTATTATCCGAGTTGACGAAACATCAATTAGATCCATGGCACTTCAGAAGGACAGAAAGCCCAAGCTGAGTATACTTGGCTTGAGCCTATCAAAATCGACTCTTGGAGTATTTTTATATTTATATTTCAGGAATGATTTCATCCAAAATTTTACAAATGGGCGGCCAACAAATCCAAACTGAAGCTTCTACTGGGAAAGGTTCTTATGTTATTACCTCTAGTGGTAACTTACCTTGCGGAAATATCATACACTTGGTGGTACCAACAGATGCTAAAGATCTTGAAAAGAAACTTGTTGAGGTTTTTGATGCTGTGGAGAAAAGCCAATATTCTTCTGTTTGCGTACCTGCTTTAGGAACAGGTGTGCTAAGAAACTCATAATAAGTATACCAGAGGCTTTGTACTAGTAAATATTTCTTTACATCAATGTGTCGGGTAGCAAAAAGGTCACATCAGCGAGGAGTCAAGTAAGTCACTTACTTAGAATCATCTTCACCTTTGACCAGCAAGGAGTCCATCATTTCTCTAACACATAATCCATTTTGAACTAGTAAAAACCAAACTTCACCAACTGTCTATTTTTTCTTTGTACAGGAAATCTCAACATGGACAGCATCACAGTTAGTTCAGTGATGCGAGCTTCGATTGAAAAGTTTGTTCGATCAAATCCGAGATATCTTCAACAAATAAACATTGTGATTTATGATCGAATTATGCTGCAAGACTTTATCGACGCAATTGTAAATGACAGCACAAAGAAAAAGGGCTTTTTCACAGGAATATATGAGAGTAAATTATGGTTGATTTTTTGTCATTATTTTAATGTTGAATCTATCTGATTTGAATGCTTCTCAACATCAAATATGAAGTATACTTAAAATTTTTAAGCTTTCAAGTTGTGTGGTATTTATCATCTAACAGCTGTTGTGCTAATCTTATTAATCTGAACTGATTCAAATCTCGAGTCGATCAATATTCACGAACGTGTATTCCACCTTCTTTATAGGTAGGGCTGGGCATTTTTGAATACCTTATGATTTCAGAGTCAATCGAATGTTTTTTTTAATCGAATCAATTATGAAATACTTGAAAAATAACTAAATATATCTAGTGTTTTTTTCCATATTGTATTTGGTCCTCCAGGCACAAAATTATTGACAGACAGTTCACAGTTCGCAGCAAAATGCATGAATACACCTACCTATAAGAGCACCGTACTATTTGTGGATTTTCTGACTGAGAATTAGCCCAGTAGAAAACTATGTGTATTTTCAGCTATTTCTGGTTATTTTACATCTTCATCATCAGCTCCATCAGAAGCCAAAGGATGGATACCTCCTCAACGACAACAACATAAAGATGAATCCTTGAATTTGTACTTTTATTCAACCAGTGAAACAAAGATACAGCAGGTTGGTTCATTGCGCTATGCCATGATTTCCCAAACTTTCTGTTTATACACTTTACCATTTATACCCTATCTATCATAATCACTTCGGCCTAGTCAATAGTGTTAATCAAAATCTTCCGTGTTCAGCGTTGCCCAAACCCTTGAAAGGGACTGTGGATTCTTAGAATGCCACTGCCATCAAGCTTATTCTTATGTAGAAGTAAATAAACTACTGGTACACTTATCATCGGTTACTTGTTTCAGGCTATTAAAAGTGTCACTGAGGAAACTAACAAGGTTGTACAGAAACAAACGATTGATGATGATGCAATTGGTAGACTATCGTCATGGGAACGATTCGAAATTTACGAGGTTGCCAAGAGAAACAAGGTCACTATTTCAGATGAGTCAAACAGGTGAGTGTACTGATATTACATAGGATTTGCGTATTTATTCCAGAAGAGAGTCACCTTGAAAAGATGGCATAATCATACGACAAACCACGTCCTCTCGTCCGGTTACCAGTCTATGTCAAATTTGGGAACAGTTTAACAGTTATTTGTTTTAAATGCATGGACATGCGAATCTTTTAATTGAACATTCGTGTTTGTTCATAGGATCAATATCTTAGATAGATAGATATATTTTTAAACTCTGCATACACACAAATAAAAATGGAGGAATTCTGGAATTGAAGTAAAACTTTTAAAAAAGTTTGAAACATGAGTCATGTCAACTAACACATACCAGAAATAAGTTTTTTTCAATTTTGATTTTCATATCAAAATTTAGATACATAAAAAGATTGTCAATCGAAGGCATGACGGCGAAGGTTTTCAAATCTTGTGATGAAATTAAAACTGTTCTAAAAGACTTTGTATCTGCTGAAACCTCATCACAGTATGTTACATGGCAGAGACAAACTTCTTCAAATAGATGGGATAACTTTCAACCTCGGTCTGCTCACGTCTTAGAAGTTGCTTACAAGGTATATAGAAAGATATATGATAAAACCTGATCAAACTGGTATCTTAAAATTGCCAGATTGCACTCATACTATCTGGATAAATCCCACTTCTTATGCTAACCCTCCTAATCATTTGCCACAAGTATCTTTTTGTAGGTACAAGTTTCTGAATAAAACACTGATAATGAATACTGAAATCTCAAATTGTGGTGTCTTAATAGTATGAATTCTATTCTAGCATATTCTTACTCTAACTCTTCGCCTAATGTTTCATATCTATCCTAAACCAGCATAAAGCATGAATCGTATGACGATTAATGATGTATGAAGTTTTTATATATCTATCTCAACCCAGAACAGTGTTACAAATAGGACAAATGCTGCACATGAGGGTGAAACGTTGTAAGTGGGACATGAATTTTTGGCTGGTTCATAATACAGTTAGTTACAGCTACCTCCACCAATAAGTCTATGCATCTGAAATGAATAAATGGCGAACTAATACCAAACCTGACATAGACTGATTACCGGACGAAAGGACGGCTTTGGTATGCCTCATGATTGGGCCATCTTATCAAGTTTTCTCTCCCACAGAATAAATTTAAATATCCTATTTCAACCATCATCACAAAAACAAAAATATTATTCATTTTTTTTCAAACTAGGCTCACAATGGCAACAAAACTGATCCAACATTGAACAGGATAAACGTTCCTTACTACAAAAACAATGCACTGCACAGGACTATCGTTGACCTTTCTACGTTAGAGAATGACTTGCATGGCAGAAATCCACCAAAAGTTCGAAGAAAAATAAATGAAAAAAGTGCTGACGGTTAGTGAAAGTTTAAACAATCATATGTATAGGCTTTAGCACAAGAATGGAAAAAGTTTTTTTGTAGGGGTCGCATTGAGAAAATTACCTAGTTAACTCTTAACTGTGATAGTGTCAATATAAATTTCATATATCATTTAAAAATATATCTTAATGTTGTATGTAGCGGTAAGAAATTTTCTTCAAGGACAGGAGGTCACACAAAATGCTTTGGCTTGCTGCATGCAGTTCGTAGTTTGCCCATCTCTGCTTAAGCCTAATATCTATGTAAATAATTTATGTGGTTGCATTACGCTTGCACAAATTTTATACTGTAGTGTCTTCTTCCTGCTAGAATTATCAATATTCTTTCATCAAGTCCATGCATCTGAAAACTAATAACTGCTCAACTAATTCCATACCCAACACGGACTGTTAACCGGACGAGAGGCCATTGTTCGCCCTATGATTAAGCTGCCTTATTGGCTTTTTCTGTTCCATGGGATAAATATGTGAATCCTATCTTATCTTTCTTAAGATGTTTTACCTGACTATTGGTCTGACATGAAAGGACAACAACTGATAAAAGTTAAGTTGAGTTCAACATCTGCAGAATATCAAACAGTTCTCACAAAATTCATAGCATCGGGCCAATTTCATCAGACTATTATTCATGTGAGTTCAAATATATATTTTGGATTTGTAAATATTTGAGTTTAACAAAGCTAGGTTCCTACTTTCAAGGTGCAATGGTCTTGATGCAGGGTTCCTCCAACTGACCCTCAGCCAACCTAGAAGGGGAATAGAGTGATTCTTTGAAAGTTATGACTATGAACAAAAGCCTCATCTAGTTATATGATCATAATTAATTCAATTTGTTGACTGTAAAGAGCATGGGGGACATAAAATAACCGATGGAACCGCTTCATATGCAAAACTAGGTTTTTTTTTTTTTAAAAAGGCAAGGAGCCACAAGTCTACAAGTCTTGAGTCTCCAGAAATGGGCCACAAAGCATACAAGTTTGATAAACACTTTATTTTTAGTATTTCCATTTTATATCCTGAGGAAAAGTAATAGGAATATTGCTAAGATGACTTAATCTTATGGCAAACCATGGCTTCTTATCCGACTAGGAGCACAGAAAATAGTTAACCGGTCATATGTTTCAAAGCAGCAACTTGGGTCTTGACTCTTGAGCAAGCCATACCGGATCATAGTTGTATGAACTGCTCGATGATGGCAAGGATTCCAGCAATCCTCTCGCACATATTAAACATGAGATTTAAATCCACGATCCCATGGTGGGTTGTTGGTGTAGTGATGATAGGAGTTTTCCTAATATTCAGAAAGATGCACAGTCACCACCAATCCTGAAAGACCTAATATTTGTAAACATTTCACTACCAGATTGAAAGAATACAGCATATATCCTTGTATAAGCAATATGCTGCCAAAAAGGCAGAAGTAACAGGGAATCTCCAAGGATCAGGAGTTCAAGTTGAGAGAGAATTATTCCACGGAACGACTGACGAGGATAAAATAATTCAAAATGGATTTGACAGAAGCTATGCTGGAAAAAATGGTAGGTAGATGCATGATGTCGAAATTTTATTAGATAAATTTCAAATTTCATTCTTCGTCTGATATTTCTGTCGCAAGAGTAGATTTATGTGAATAACCCTATATCGTGCTCTCATTTCGATGACGTCCTTAGTGCTTTAGCTAACATTCAATATAGTTGTTATGGTGCCATCCTGTTCAGTGCCAGTTGATTATTTTTATCCGGCTTTGAAAAATGCAAATCAAATTTTAAAACTTACATTGGAAATTGAAGCAGATTTATATATTTATTTTTAAAATTATATTCATAAATGAAAAGGTTGAAAAAATAAAACACATTTATAACTGGTATACTTTATTTTAATTTTGTTTATTAGGACTAATTTATTTGGCCCTCAAAAAGCTCTCAAAAATCATCAAATGGGCTGATGCATAAACGACAGTGCGAAATTTTTGTGATTAGATTTTCGATTTGCACAATAAAATCTATAGTATTGAAATATGAATGTTCTTAGAAATTAATTTGTAGACTGGTGATAAAACTTCAATACCATCGTGTAGAACAGTATTTTTATAAAGATATTCAGTTATGTGAGACCACTACTATCTTTCCTAATCACGCTGACATGAACAGCTTCGAGTGTCATGTCAATCGGCTTTATAGTCTCAGTAGCTCAGTTGGGCTCGGCAGTGTGGCGCATCGTGCTAAGCGTTAGGAATACGCTTGTCACCGCATCTCTGATTACCCTGCGTAGGTTCGCAGGTTGGAATTTAATGCAGGGGTGATTATTAGCAAGAGGATTGCTGAATTCCTCGCCGCTGTAGGGTGGTTCACGTATCCGCTGTACGGTTACGGCTTACTCCACCATCAAGTCCATGCTTTCAAAAACAAACAACTGGCTGCCTAATCATACCTGACATGGACTGGTGACCGGACGTGAGGCCATGGTTTACCATATGATTAAGCCATCTTATTGGATTTCCTCTCCACCAGGATAAATGTCCTAGCTCTCTGTTTTATTTCACGATGTACGTATGGCCTTGCTTTGAGCAAGTTTCTTCATAAAAATAAATTGTAATGCGATGAATTTATTAACAGCTACTGCTTATGGAAAGGGTGTTTATTTTGCTCTGAATGCAACCTATTCTCAACGTTATGCTCATCCAAATAGTAGAGGAGAAAAAAGAATGTTCCTAGCCAATGTCGTTACAGGATATTACTGTAAGGGAGATTCAAGTATGGTCGCACCACCTCCGAGAACAAACAGTAACATTGATCTGCATGACAGTGTAGTAGATAGCATCTCTGCTCCTACTATATGGGTGATATTTAAAGATGCAAGTGCTTATCCTACATATCTAATCACATTTCAATAGTTTTTTTTAAATAGTTAAATAGCTTAGACATGTATCTAATCATTTTTCATGCGTTAAATACTAGGATATCTGACTTACCTGTGAAGACGTCTGAAATATATTCGTTGTCGCACAGTTGTATGCTTCATATGTTTGCTCTGCCATTTGCCTAAAGTTTTATTTTATATCTAACCTAACCCAGAAGTGTGGGCTTATCTATGTAGCTAGAGCAGAATTTGTCACTTATGAGTCGTGGATTTGCTATTTTTATTCTTTCCATTATATTCCAATAATTATGTAGATATGTATAATGCTAGACTTTGTGTCTAATAATGGACAATCTCATCAGACTGTTTTATATTAATAATGGCTAATTAGTGTATCAACATCTGGTAATTCACAGTACTTAGTGATAATTTTCGGTTTCAAAATTTTAAAAAATATCACGAATTTTGCAAGCTGTGTGTATATATATATATTTTTTTATTAATTGCTCATTTCAGCCTGATTTGTGCATAAAAAAGCTGTTTTAATTTATGCGATGGGACCAAGGCTATTATGCATTTAATGGTTCAGGAGGAGCCTGGAATCAGCACTTTCATTTCCCCATTTGCATGGAAGTGATTTTAGAGAAAACTAAAAATGGTAATTACATGAAATACTCCGTGATGGTTCATCAATATTCTGTGTATATTTAAACAGTTGAAACTTGTTTCTAAAAATTTTCCTTTCCCCATACCTAGCATGGCCTGATAACTGGACAAGAGGCCGTGGTTCGCCATGTGACTAAGTCGTCTTGTTTCCTTTCCTCTTCCAAAAGAGAAAAATATAAGCTTCTTATCCTAATCAGAATGAACGAATTGAGAAGACCCTGTTTTTTTCTATAAAACATGAAAGGTCTTTACGAGTCAATGTATGTCCGCGAAAGTTTTTTTTTTAGTAATGAGTATATACAAGCATTCCATATGAAATTAACATATACCAGTTTGTATATCACATTCGACTTGTCTATTGAAATTTTGCAAAGATTACTGAATAATATTATTCACATATTCTTCCATCCAGAAGTTCAGTTTTATCAGATTATTTTTTATAGGTTGCTGTTGTAAAACATTTTTGTGTAAATTTTCGATTGGCAGGTTGCAATCTCATTTTGTCTGTGAATGAATACTTACGTGCTGTGTGGACCAAAGACAAATAATTTGCTCTTTCTAATAGATGATAGAAAAATATTTTCGAAAAATGGATAAAAAATAAGTAATATAAATTGGGTCATGTTTATCGAAACACAGATTTATTTTGAAATGCAAGAAAGTCGAGATAAACAATGATTTGGTAGGTTTTCTATTTTCATGTTTTTAAAATCCAAATTAGGGCTTTTTTTAATTTTTTAATTTAATTTTTTTTCATTTTAATTAAGCTATTCTAAGTTACTTCTAAATACAAACACAGATATCGAATATAATTAATTTCGTACTGACTCGGACGTTTGACTTCGTTTCGGAAAGGAGCTTACCCATTGTTAAGTATAAATTGGTATATGCAAATATAACCAGGAAAATTAATGATGTATTTCCCAAACTATGCATTCATTAGTTGAAACACTAGGCGTTTTTCAGTCGTATATAGTCGTTGATGTAATATGTGCTAACTTGTTCTTGGAATGCTTTGATAATCAGCAAAACCGTTATTAATTTTCTTTTGTACCCTAAACGACTACTGCAAATGGGTCACATGCACCACATCTAATCGTTACATTTGGCCTTCAAAAGCTATGTATTAGATTTTTGCAAAGCTTTCAATGTTACAGCAATATCTCATTGTGACATGTGAGTAACTTGATTTTAAAATAGTAGTTTTCTGCAATCACATGCATACTTTAATATACTGATTTGATTCATTTTTTGGTCAATTGATGGTTGAAGGGTTGGGCTTCATAGGAATAGCCAATCCGCTGAGGGGCGTATTATGTCAGTATACGAAAAAATGCAGTAATCAACTAAAAAACTGCCTTACTACACTCAGACAGATTACTGAGCGTTCACACACAATCAGAAACACGTTTTATCAACAACGCACTACTAAAAATAATCATATATATGCCAGACTTATCTTTGTTATGCTGGAACTTATATTATGGTTTAAAACTCCGGTTTAAAAATGCTTGGGAAAGATTTGTGGGGGCATGAAACTTTGGGCTATTATTTAGGACGGGGTTTTGCAACAGGTGACTCGCGGGCCACATCCCGGACCACCAAGACATTTAATGTAGTCATCACTCAGATTTTTTCCATCAAACATAAAACTCCAATCAGACAGTTTATGTTCAAAAAGGTGCTCAAATGGGTGAAATTACGTAATGTTTTTTGCTCTTGTCGATGCGTTAAATCTTTCGTTGTTTAGCCCAGTACCTGTTTGTGTAAGGCTAAGCTATGGCCACATTCTCTCCGTTTGCCTTTCCCGCGCCACTCTGGTTATCGCAGGTGTATTTCGTCAGTTGAGGGTTGCTACAATTTTTGCTAAAGCTGATGTTAACAAACAATGCAAGCACTTAAATTTTGAGTGTCCCGCTAAAATGTTAAACAAATAAAATTTCGCATTTTGAGAATTTTTAATTCGTTGTTTACTTGGAAAAACTAAATCTTTTGTGTGGCTCAGCTAGATTTCCGAAGTTGCTTATATGGCCCGGCTGCAAAAAATGGTTTCACACCCCTGATTTAAGATAAGCACACAGTTTATAAATTATGTTGTCGCCGATGGGTGGTTGGGTTGGCTGAGGGTTAAATTGTAATTAAATTTATATGTCATTTTATCTATTCTTTAGCTAACTGATCTAATTCCACAACTAACTAGCACTCATTGAGACTTCAAACCACAAACAACCTTTTATATATTGAAAGTTCAATCATGATAAACATACACATTACGATTTTAAAGACCGAAAACAAAAATTATTTGAAACGGCCTCTTTGCCAGATTGTTTGAATAGCACCAAGTGTTAACATACAAGTAAAAAGCGATCGTACACAATTTACAGGATGATAATACACAGTTTTACTATAGAGGGGAAGCGGCGGGAACCAAAGCTGGTTATCGAGCAGCGATACCTAAGTTTCCAAGAGATTAAGGAAACTTTTCAATTCAGGACTATCTGCGGATAAGTAAGTTACACAACCAAGAAATAAAAATACCGTTAAATAAATATAAAATTCATATCCGAATTGTTTTCTGGTGAAATGTCTCAAGTTAATATTCTGTTTCTCTCCGACAAATATTTCAATCTGTTTTTGGATTCGAAATATGTGGATTGTTTTGCTAAATCATTGTTGTTGTTGGTATAATTATTGTTGCTTTCGCCCGCAACTAATGGACCACCTAGTACTTAAAGATGGAAGAAATCGCTCGTAGGCAATTATTCTCTGAGTGCTATGAAACCCGATATATCTACAAAAATATTTTTATTATGATTAATTAAAAAAACAATTCATTGCCGGTTTTTATTTGGGGAACTTGGATATTGTGTATTGAACTGCAGGTCCTTTCTCCTTGTTTACTTTCTACTTTGGATCCGTATGTGGTACTCACCACAAGGATGCTAGATGATGATAGATTATATGGATTAAATTACCATAGCATCTAAATCAGTTATAGAAAACTTAATTTCAAAATAAATTAAATTCTTGTGATCTTTATATTTACAGTTATATCTTATATTGTTTGAAGAAGTTAGACCATGATCTAACGAAAGCTCACAAATATACTTACTATTTCGTTGAAAGAGATCATGTTATTTTTACTTGTTTTTATTTGATTGAGCAAAGCTCTCTTGCATTCGATTCTGTTTGTCGTCGGCTGGATTAGGACGTGCCCTTACTTCCTAAAATTGGCAGCGGGGCAATTTTTTCCGAGTGCTATGGAATCCTCAAAAATGTAGTTTTATCATAATTAAATAGAAAAACTTGTCACATCTGGTCTCCAATTCTTTGAGCATAGCTGTCTTGTCGTTGATTTTATTTATCTTCGGCTATATTAGGACATGCCCTAACTTTCCGAATTGGCGGAGTGGCATGATAGAATGATTCCATAATCTTTTGTTCTTTCAGTCAAAATTCAAACTGAGACGGATCATGCTGCTGTAACTTTTGTGCTTATTCTTTGACTAACTTCTCTCTCTGATTGATTCCTTTTGCGAAATGCACTTATACAACACGGCAACATCAGTCTTTCCCAATCTGGGAACGACACAACATACATGATAAGATTTACCAACACGCTAATGTACATCGCTAAAGGAAGCGTTATCCCGTCTTTAAAAACTGCTGATGCGGCCATGATTACCGACACAGTGTCGGTAATGGAGGATATGAGTCCTGTAATAAACGCTCTCTTCGTGATAGCTCTGATTTTCGCTTGGCTGCTACTGGAACTCCCTCCGTGTGGCGCGTTAGCGCTGTGTTTGTACAAAGGTAGTACAAAGAGCCATAATAACAAGCATTGCATTAATAGCGAATTCAAACCAACGGCAAACCACATCGCTTGTGGGTTGACAGTAGAAGCAACAATTGAACATCCAGTATCTACGACAGAAAATGTGTAGGCAGAAACGAAAATTACATAACTGCTTATCGGAGTCACGGCCACAAGAAAAAGCACAACAAAACTCAAAGTTCGAGTTACTTTCGTAGTGAGATGCTTCATCGCAGGGTCGTTATAAATTGATCTTTGACGAAGCCACAGATTAAGATAATTAAATAGAACACTAGAACTTCCACCGAAACCGCGAATTCCTCTCGAAATCGGACAAATTTGTGGAAAATAAATATCAACAAGAATTTTTTCAGTAGCAGGAGTGTTCATCAATGCAGCAGATGCATTTATGAGCAAACATATTTCCATAACCGCTCTGTATCTCTTTGATCCATTTTCTTTGAGGCTCTTCTTTAAATTTTTCAATTTTGATAAATAGATTATCATAGCGATAATAACGTAAACGTTGATAACGAATCCACAACCTGACACAATCACAATCGTCAACCAATTTCGATAATGTTTTTCACTTTTCCACATTGCATTGCTGGCAAGCGGGGTCGTAATTGTGTTGGTCTCCGTAGCATGGAAATAAGAAGTATTCTCCATTTTATCTAAGTGCGCAACAGTCAATCACTTCTCTGAAAAATATACCCGACTGACAATTCTCACATAAGAAAATGCTTTTATATCCCGTGAAATGAGTTATGGGCATTATGACTAATCAATCCGTATTTTTGAACTAAATTGTGCCCCTAGTAGTAAAGTAGCAAGCAGATTACTTATTGGCATACTTATAATTATTCACTTTCGCCTCGCATCATTTATGTATAATGGACATCTTCTTTAGATTAATTCAAAACTATTTATTATAAAGAGCCTCTTATGTACATAATTATTTAATAGGCCCGAATCGAGAACGGGATTGAACGAAGAAACTCGGAATGTCCAATTAATTATCACAAATGCTTAGCGAAGGGATTCCTAGCCTGGCCAGGAACCCAGAAGGTCCGCAAAAGAATTTCGATGGTTCAATAAGCTTTGTAGGAATAATATAAAATCAAAACAGAGAAAACGATCTTTGTCGCACAAGGGTAACTATACCAAAGGTTTCCAATCTTTTTGGTGGAGCGAAACCACAATTTTCTGAAGACTTTGTATATTCTTGTTTATACCAGCAGTTTTCAACCTATTTAGAGTAGTGGAATCCCAATGAAACATTCCAGAGGCTTAATAAACCCCTGTGCAATAGTTGCAAGACTAATTATATAAACCAGTGGTTTGCAAACTTCTTTGTGTTGTGACGCCCTTCAAAAAATATGTTCAAATTGCGACTCCCCAAGAAACACATCTTGATACCCTTCCTCAAAAGACCTTTTCCGAAAAAGTTTCTTCAAACGTTCTCACAAAACATAACGAAAGTCAGTGAAATGGCATTTAATGAGATGGGTGCACTTTTTTTTACAAATGTCACTGAATTGTGTGAGCGAATTGTGAAAGAGCCGCAAGCATTAACCTCTCAACATTTGCTCGAGATCGATATTTCGTCTAGGTTACAACAAATGGTAGAGAAGCCTGCTTCGCATAAATACGAAGTCACAAAGGGTGTGAGAGTGCGCGATGATTTTCTTTATCTAAAGAAATCCAAAAACTACTTGCGAATCTTCTTTTTAGAATTTATTGTACAGTATAATTTTTTACGCAGCGCAGAACAGGTACAATTCCGCAAAAGGAGAAAGGGTTTTGCGACGTCCTAGCAAAATTGAAACGACGCACTTGTGCGTCGCGACGCGACGCCCATTTTGAGAACCACGGGTATAGACCATAAATAACAAGCACATGTAATACTAGCAAAACAGAATGGTCTCTTCTCTTTTTTTCCGTATGACGAATATATTCGTACTCCGCCATCCTTGGTCATAATATGGCAATAATAGTTATTTTCGTGCTATTTTACGTTTATGTTTATGTTTTGTGAAATATTCCCGCACTAACTAAAACCATTTTAGGCATCCAACTATGATCCATGCTTGATCCGTCAACATTTTTTTTTTTGTAAATTTTTTATTTTACTACTAAGTGAATTTTATTTGCGTAGGTATTTCAAAGCTTAGAGATACATGAAAGAATTTGTCATTACTTCAAAGATAAGTCATTTAAACGAGCGGGAAACAATCCCGCGCACATAATAAAAAACAAAGATTCCAGACAACTATCGTAAGCATGCTCTCACATAACATTGAATATTTCGCGTTTCGCTTCACTTGCGAAGCTCAGTCTGGTTTTTGTGCATAGGTTACGTATCGCTCGTTCAAAAGAGCTCTCGAAATTTCGTTTTGTGTAGCACATGTTAACCGCAGCGATAAGAGAGAGAAACTCATTTTCAAAATATTTTGAAATTTCTCTCTTCTTACCGGCGTATGGTCGGACGGTTTGCCCAACGTCATTCGGGTAGGGAGACGCGAAAATAAGCTTTTTAAAGAGATATTGGGGGCGTTTCTTGCACGTTTGGTTAACTAGTCATTACATATTATAAAATGGTAGAAAAAGTCGATTGTAACCAGCGGAAATAAGGGTTTTAAGTGTAACAAGTCTGATAATAGTGGCAAGTCTAATAGGCATTTGATTATATTTAAACAATATATATAATAATATAGACTCACAGAATTGAATGAAAAACCTGTGGAACCTCTGGATTCTATCAGCGCAACCGTGGTTGAAGATTGCTGATTTATATGTTCAGTATAAACATTGAAATGTCTTTTTGAATTGAATCATTCGCTTGTACTTGCTTGCTCTGAGCTTTAAAATGATATATGCAATTATACCTTATGTGATTAGCTATTTTCAAACTGCATTTTTAAGTTCAAACACTTCATTTTCATTATCTAATTCAATTGTGTAGTTTACCGTCATAGCTACTCTTATAGCTTCTGAAAACATTTATTTTGTTTTCACTGTGACTGACAAATTTCAATCCGCTCATACAGCCCTTTGTAATATAATCAACGATTTGTGACCAACGTTCGTGAATTCGGAACAAAAAACTTGTTCTAATACATATCTTGAACAATTTTTAACATACATTTTGCAATCAATACCTTTGTCCATCGGAAGAGTCGCAGCAGATGAGTTTTGGTGGCATTTCTGAGACATATATGCCAAAACCTGGAACAACATGCAAAAATTTTGCATTCCTTATCGTTACATCCATATTTCCCGATGTTATGAAATGTCGTTTAAAAACGGAAGCTTTGCTTATTAGAAGATTTGCAGCAAACGCTTTCTGCCATTTCATAACAACCGATGATGCCATGAAATATGACGTCATCGAAACGTAATCTTATAAACAACACCGTCGTAATATAGCACAAATCATAGTGTCATTGTGGTGATCTTGATTTTAAAATTATTGTTTCTTCAATCACATGCTTTATTCAATATACCTATTTAACTCATTTTTGTTCAAGTTGTGTCAGGGTTTGACTTAATAATGTTGGCATTGGAGGTTGGGAATTCTGGAATCTAAGCCAATGATTCTCAAACGCGATTCTCCACTATTCCTCAGCGGTTCTCATTATCCTTATAAAAATGATGATTTTCAGTGAAAACTGTTCATTGAAAATTAATCAATGACTTGAAATCGAGAGACTGGAGAACTGCGACGTTTAGGTATTTTAGAGAGCCCACCCCTTCGGTATTATATATACTAGAACTTGTATTACAATCTTCGGGTTGGAAATGCGTCGCTTGGGAAAGATTTGTGGGGGAGATTTGTGTGGGCATAAAACTACAGGCTATTATTTGAGACTGGGTTGTGCAACAGCGGCGCTCGGGACACATCCAGGCCCGCCAAGACATTTAGTGTTGCCCTTGTCAACAACTGATTTTTCCCATCGAGCATAAAATTATAATTCGACAGTGTATGTTTGAGAAGGCGCTCTGATGGGTAAAATTATATAATGTTTTTCCGTTTTTACTGATGTGTTAAATCTTTCGCCGTTTTGCCCGGTGCCTTTATTAGTGTAAGACTAAGAGATGGTCGAACTTTTTTTAAAGCTGATGTTAACAAACAATGGAAGAACTCAAAATTCCCCAAGTGTCCCGCTAAAATGTTAAACAAATAAAATTTCGCATTTTGAGAATTTTTAATTCGTTGTTTACATGGAAAAATTAAATCTTTAATGTGGTCCAGCTAGACGTCCGAAGTATGGCCCGCCGACAAAGAATGTTGCACACCATTGATTTCAAATAGGCAAACCTGCTATTCACAGGTTTTCCAGACCACAAACAATATTTTATATATATTGGCAATTCAATCATGATAAATATACACATTACGATTTCAAAGACTGAAAACAAAAACTTCTTCAAAATAGCATTTTCGCAATACTGCCAGGATAACCTAGTGTTAAGATAAATATTTAAAAGTTTATATATATATATCTGAAAAAAAATTTTCTCAATCAATCAATCGAGCAAAAATTACGAGATAAAAGATGAACACATAGTTATACTAGGGAAGGTAAGCGGCGGGAATCAAAGCTGGCCCGGTTGCCAGTCCATGTCGGTTATGGGATTAGCTAACCAGTTACTTGTTTTCAGATGCGTGGACAGGATGGTGGCGGAAGCCGAGAGGCAAGTGTATTCCAAACGCTTAACACGATGGACCACACCTCCAAGTCGAAAAATAAAAATCCAACGAAATAAATATAAAATTCTATTTATTCCAAAATGTTTTCTGGTGGAATGTCTCCGGTTACCACCCGTTTCTCCGTCGAATTTTCCAATCTGGTCTTGGATTCTAAGTAGATGAATTGTTTTGCTTAATCAATGTTGTTGTTTGTATGATTGTGCTTTTCTCCGCTACTACTGCTGGACCGCTTAGTACACTGGTTCTCAACCAGTGGGCCATGGAAACACTTTGAGGTGGGCCACAGAATTATTAAAATTTGCTAGTTTCAATAGTGTCACTATCGTTAGTTTTTATTGTAGTACCAGTGATTGATGATGCTGTATTCTGTTAATGAATGGTAAATTTCATTCTATTATTAAGGAGAAAATGTCCATTTTCGCTGAAATGTTTTAATTTTCCCTTGCAATAAAAATTGAATGGGCCACAAGAATTTTTGTGCAACAAAAATGGGCCACAAAAAAGGTCGAGTGCCACTGACCTAGTGCTCAAAGATGGCAAAAAATCGCTCGTAGGCAATTATTCTCTGCTATGGAACTCCGAAATTTTAGTTTTATTATAGTTAAATAGGATAACTTGTCATTGCTTGTCTCCATGTCTTTGAGCATAGCTCTCTCGACTTTTATCTCTTTTGACTGTTTATATTCGGCTAGATTAGGTTGTGCCCTAACTTCCTAAATTGGTGGAGGGGTTAACAGGATGATTCCTGTTTGCTTTGTTCTTTTAGTCGAAATTCAACCCGATACTGATCATGCTTCTGTTACTTTGGTGCTTCTTCTATGACTGACTTCTCTCTCTGATTGATACTTGTTGCGAAACGCACTTATGCAACAAGGCAGCATCAACCTTTCCCAGTCGGGAAATGACAAAACACACATGGCAAGATTTACCATCAAGCTAATGTACATCGCTAAAGGAAGCGTTATCCCATCTTTAAAAACTGCAGACCCGACCATGGTGACTGATACTGTGTCGGTGATGGAGCATACGAGCCCCGTAATGAACGCTCTTTTTGTAATCGCTTTGATTTTTGCTTGGCTGCTACTGGAACTCCCCCTTGTGGTGCATTAGCGCTGTGCTTGTACAAGGGGAGCACAAAGAGCCATAATAACAAGCATTGCATTAAGCGTTTTAGCGGGGTTATTGGTGTTTTTGACGGTTTTTCACTGTTTTTAAGCGTTTTAGCGGGGTTAATAGGGAATTCAAGCCAAGGACAATCCACATTGCTTGTGGGTTGATGGTAGAAGCAACGATTGAACATCCAATTGAATCAACGGCAACAAAGGTGTACACAGAAACGTAAATTAGGTAAGGGATTAACGGAACTATGACCAAAAGAAAAACCACAACGAAACTAATAACTCGAGTCACCTTCGTAGTAAGATGTTTCATTGCAGGGTCGTTGTAAATCGATCTTTGTCAGAGCCACAAGTTCAAATATATGAATAGAGTACTCATACTTCCTCCGAAACTGCGAATACGTCTCGAAATTGGACAAATTTGCGGGAAATAAATATCAACAAGAATTTTTTCTGTGGCAGGAGTGTTCACCAGTGTCATACATGCAGTTATGAGCAAACATATCTCCATGACCGCTCTGTATCTTTTCGACCCGCTTTCCTTGAGGCTCTTCTTTAAATTTTTCAATTTTGATAAATATATTATCATAGCGATAATAACGTAAACGTTGATAACAAATCCACAACCTGACACAATCACAATTGTCAACCAATTTTGATAATGTTTTTCACTTTTCCACATTGCATTGCTGGCAAGCGGGGTCGTAATTGTGTTGGTCTCCGTAGCATTGAAATACGAAGAATTCTCCATGTTCTAAAAAAGTGCGCAACAGACAATCAATTTCCCGACAAATATACCCAACTGACAATTTTCATGTAAGAACATGCTTTTATATCCCGAAAAATGAAAAAATTATGAGCATTATGACTAATCAATTCGTATTTTTGAACTAATTTGGGTCTTACTACTAAAGTAGCAAGCAGATTATTTCTTGGCATACTTATAATTATTCGTTCTCGCCTCGAATCATTGATGTGCACTGGACATCTTCTCTCGATGAATTTAAATTATTAATTTTAAAGAGGCTCTTGTGCATCTAATTACAGAATAATCTCGAATCGAGAACGAGATGGAATGAATAAACTCACAATGTTCAATTTATTATCACAAGTGCTTAGCGATGTGATTCCTTGCCTGGCCAGAAACCCATAAGGTCCGCAAAAGAATTTCGATGGTTTAATAAGCTTTGTATGACTAATATGAAATCAAAACAGGGAAAACAATCATTCTCGCGCAAAGGTACCTACAACGTGGTCGCTAGAAAAACATAAAACAGCTTTTTATTTTTGCAAAGAATAACTTTTACATAAGTTTTTTTAAATGCATATGTTTTTAGATGCTCAAAATGTCGTTCGTGCAATTCAGAGTAGTGTCTTAACCTAGAAGTCCAAACTTGTGTAGCGTTTTGAAGGTTATATGTGGGATATCGTTCCAAGCTTTCCCCAAGCTGTTTGTCAAATTATCATTTGGTTTTCAATCTTTCTGGTAAAGTGGAACCACAATCAAACATTCTAGAAGTCAAAGGAACCCCCGTGCAAAGTATATTTGTTATCATTAATTAGGGCAATCCAGAAAAAATGTTAAGCGACAGTTTGATACAGAACAAGTTTAATATGTGATTATATTATGTGTACCTGTGTATTTGATTATATATAAAAATATGGCGCTCTAGAAGTATGTGCACCAAGATGGCGCACCCTAACCTGGTACACACACTATGTTCAGGTTGTGCGCCATTTTGGTGCATATTGCTTTCATCTTACCTGTCTCGGGTCACATCTGTTTGATGTGCTGACACCCTCCACCCCTTGTCATTGTCAGCTCAACACTTGACTTCATCCACAGTCCACAGTAACTGAAATAGATAGAGACTCTGTGAATATTGAACTTGTTATTTTCCCCACCATGTCAGTGCATAGCCATGTGCCACTCATACAATAACCAAACTATTCATCTTGCCAACATCAGGCTCAGACGGGTTATCTTGGATCTAAACCACATACCGAAACCAGTGAGTCACTATCCTTTGTGTCTTTGTAAAGTGCCAGTATACTCACCAATTTCAAAATTTTAATAAGATTCCAACTTACTAAATTGATGTCTCTTCCATATGCTGTTTGCTTGGGTACCTGTACCGTACAGTGTTTACTTCATTCCTGTTTTCAATGATGGACTAAATTTTTCTAATATACTAGTTTCTTTATGTACATATTTTGTCTAACTAGCAATAGTATTTATTGCCACATTTATTTATTTTGTCGATTATTTTCAATCGCCAATTAAATTTTATTATTTTTCACCTGTTAACGTCAGGTTAGGTCCTTAGGCTTTCACACTCTCGTATCCCTAACTGCGACAAACAAAAATATTTTATAAAAATATAAATATGCCAAGTTATCGGCTTCCACTCGCGGGATGAATATGAACTCAGGCTGTGTCTGTATCCCGCTGTATAAGATTTCGCCGTCGTTGGCATGGTTACTCACAAGACGGTGCTCGGAGTCGTTATCCGTTACTCCTTGGATCTGGCGTCTTTTGGGCATCCAGGTCGCCTCGACTCACTTTAACGTAAACCTGTTCTAATATTTATTGTTTGTTTGATTTATATATTACTGGTATTTATCTATTACTGTTAGACTTGTCATGGGTGTCGCTGCTCGATCACCAGTCTTGGTGTCTCGCCCTTCACCCTAAAGTAGCATATTTCCTATTTCTCGTATTGTGTATTCACATTGTGTGCTTCGGAATGGTGGAAAAATAAATTACTGATTACTGATTGATTTATTTTTAAACCTAATTTAAAATATTTCAACTATGAATTGTTAAAAAATATTAAACTGTTTGCTCATTTCTGGTTTAACAATGTTAGTAAAGCCTCCGCCAAAAAAACAACCCCACCAATGCTCAAAATAGAAGAATCAGTAATTATCCAGTTAGGGTTAGAAATGCAGATTGCGATGGAAATTCAAATGTTTAAATCATTACATAATTATCAATTTGTTATTTGAAAATGTGGCGGGGATGTTTTTCTCAAATCTCCAATTTTTGCCATAGTGGCGGGGCCTTTATACAAAGAATCGCGGCGGTGTGGCTCAACGGGCTAAGCGTTAGGAATACGCTCGCCACCGCCGCACCTCTAATTACTCTGCGTGGGTTCGTAAGTTCGAATCCCATGCAGGGTTGGTTATGTGCGAGAGGATTGCTGGACTCCTCGCCGTCGTTGGGTGGTTCACGTAACCGCTGGTTGGTTACGGCTTCCTCCACCACCAAGTCCATGCCTTCGAAAACAAACAATATAACTAATCCCATACCCGACTTGGAATAGTAACCGGACGAGAGGCCGTGGTTCGCCATATGGATAAGCCGTCTTATCGGCTTTCCTCTCCCCCGGGATAGATATATGTAAATCCTATCCTATCCCAATATTTTATCAAAATAATAATAATAATACGACACACGATTATTTCAAAACTAAAATAAGTAGCGGCAAGATGGTGTCTTTCATTGTTTATAAAATTTAGTTTTGTGCGCAACAGGAATTGTCAATAACAATACAGAATAGGAATAAGTTGTTCAATTTTAACCCTGTATTTAGGTGTCCCAGATTCTGAGCCCGCGAACAGCTGTTATTGTTGTTGTCGGGAATCCCGTCGAGACGAGTTATTTCGTTGTTGAAGTTACGACGCTTGTATAATATACAAATGAGGAAATTGAAGATTTTTGTCGTGTATTTACTGGTGGACATCGCCCATGGATATCTATATTGTAAGCTTATTTACCTAGAAGTTATTCATAACCTGTTTGTGTAGATAAAACTGGGTGTAGTTATCGTAGGCAGATAAAAGAGCTTATCATACACTGTCGTAGCAGAAAATGTGAAAATGCCATAAAAGCTCTTTTGCCAAGAAAAAAAGAAAACGCTCCAGTGTGGGATGAGTTGAGAAGTGTGAAAGAGATATTAATGGGATTTAATGAATAATTATGAAAGCATTTCTTCACTGTCTCTTTGAACAAGTCTCTGTGCAAGCAACTACTGATATGTCTGTAGTATGTAGGAGGCTAATAACATGTTTTGGTAAAAATCCATTAAGATTTTTACATTTATCTCACGGGAGGGGTAAGCCGATAAGATGGCTTAATCATATGGTGAACTACGGCCTCTCTTCCGGTTCCCAATCCATGTCGGGTATGGAATTAGTTAGCCAGTTATTTGTTTCATATGCATGGACTTGATGGTTGGTGTAGTAAGCTGTAACCCACCAGCGATTACAAGAACCATGCTACAATGACAGGGAGTCTAGAAATCCTCTCAGCACATAATCATCCTCCACAGGATTCAAACCTGCTAAATGCTGACCCATTCACAGTAGTCATAGGTGCGATGGCAAGCATATCCCTAACACTCGGCACATTTCATGCTTGATGGGAAAATATCTACAGGTCACTCTAAGAAGCCCTGTTGCACGCCCCTGATCTACCCTATTCATTACACTATATGCTTTCTCAGAACCTGATCTCACTAATATCAAGATTTATTACTTCAGCATATCCAGTGTTTCAACAATTTCCAGCCGTAAAACGAAGCAGAGTCGGAAAGTCACTAGAATTCAATTGCGAAGTTGATGAGCCTCACGCAAGACTATATTGGTAAATTTTTGAAGCGTTTTAAATAGAGTTGTTTTATACATTACGACTTTCTTCACTATCAAGTCTATGCATCTAATACTAATAACTACCTACTTAAAATACCTGGTTAACTGATCCTACATCCGAAATTAACTAAGCTCCTGTATATATAACAATAGCATGGACAATATCTCAATTTTAGATTTCCTCAAATAGAGATTCGTAGGAATGCGATTTTTGGGAAGTTATTATTTTAACATTAAAAAAATAGTTTTTCCAACTACTAACTTTCCCAAATGTGGACAAAACCTGTTTAAGATTTCAGAAATAAGTATTTTTTACTTTTCCAAGTATTTCAATGAAACGTAACGAGAGTATCAAAAGTATAATGTTGTTTCATGTTCTCAGAACAGCTTTTTCACGTTTTGATGATTTGGCTTAAATCCCTCAAACTTTTATTTCTTCAACTCTATCACTTTATAGCTATAATTACAGGGAATTCAACGGTCAACGAATAGAAAACAATGATTCATTCCACATCATTCCAGTTGGCAGGACAAGTACTTTATTTATTATAAAAGTGTTGCCAGAATTGGAAGGAGTTTACTGCTGTAATTATTTTGATGGAGTCAAAATCTTTACTGAATGTGGTCAACTCATTGTAAAAAGAGGTTAGTGTGAAATTACTATATTACGAGGATGGGATTTACATATTTATTCATGGGGAGAGGAAAGCTGATACAACGGCTCAATCATATGGCAAAACCATGGCCTCTCGTCTCAGTCTCCAGGTTGGGTATGGGATCAAATAGTTATTTGTTTTCGAAAGCATGGACTTAATGGTGGAGGAAGCTGTAATCGACCATTGATTACGTGAACCGCCCTATGGTGGCAAGGAGTCCAGCGATCCTTACGTACATGACTATCCTTGCATGGGATTCGAACCCACGAACTTACGCAGGTTAATCATAGATACGATGGCGGGCGAATTCCTAATGCTTCAGCTCGTTCACTATAACATGGCAATAAGAAAAAATTTTGCTCATGTCACATTTAAAGGATTTGAGAAGTCAAGATTATTGTAATTTTCAGATTTGTACAGCCAAACCTAAAAATGAGGCACATGAGGCGCAACCTAAATTAAAAACTAAAATAGGTACAGTTTCGAAACCCAAATCTAAAGATGACCCCTGGTCCATAATGACATAAGAAAATTCTACTTCCTACAAATGCTCTACTTTTTCTACAGCCAGTAGTTTACTACAAGGCCCTTAACCTCGGGTTAAGTAACAGACTATCTGAATCTAGAGCAGGGGTGGGCAAGGTTTATAGACCAGGGGCCAAAAATTTGGCCCACCGAGATTGGTGAGCCATATATGTGTGGCATGAAAGTGTTACAAAGGCAAAATGTGGATAACAATTAGTCTCGTGCCAAAACTCAATTTAATCGCAATCGCGACAAATTCCTTGAGCTTTTTTTTTATCTAAAACATCAAAATTTGGATTTGTTTGGTTGTGGCAGCATCAGGCGGGCCAGATTAAATTGCTCAATGGGCTAGTTTGCCCATGTCAGGTCTAGAGTCAAGTTTAAGTCAAAGCAGCATTTACAATTTTAGTCCCAAGTTGAGTTACTGCAATTCTAAGTCACAGGTCAAGACGCCGATCTTTTATTCAAGTTTTTTTTCAAACAATGTCATACAAACAGTGTGATGACATTTTGCTTTTAATATTACTTTGAACTGTGGTACCATGATACAGAGCATTAAAATTTTGATTTTTAATACAGCATGAATATACGTGTTACATTGAATTTGGACATTTTTTGCTATTTCAAAGGTTCATAATTATCTTTGAGTCCTAAGTTAAGCCTCTCTGGAGGTTAGACCAGTCGAGTGATCGAGTCTTTTCACTTATATGAATTGAGTCATTATCTTTGATCAAGTATATGCATCATTTCTATCAAAGTTGGGTTTGGGTTTTGGGTTGGGTTTTCCTACCGGTAGTATTAGGTTCAATCAATTGGCGCGGCGGTGGGGCTCAACGGGCTAAGCGTTAGGAATACGCTCGCCACCGCACCTCTAATCACTCTGCGTGGGTTCGCAGGTTCGAATCCCATGCAGAGATGGTTATGTGCGAGAGGATTGCTGGACTTCTCGCCGTCGTTGGGTGGTTCACGTAACCGCTGGTCAGTTACGGCTTCCTCCACCACCAAGCCCATGCTTCCGAAAACAAACAATATAACTAATCCCATACCCGACTTGGAATGGTAACCGGACGAGAGGCCATAGTTCGCCATATGGATAAGCCGTCTTATCGGCTTTCCTCTCCCCCAGGATAAATATGTAAATCCTATCCAATCAATCATCAATCACTTTATTTCGGCTCTCTGACTAAAACGGAACAATACAAAAAAGTAAACAGACAACAAATACAGAGATACCTGAAGTTACTTTCCATTTTCTGTTGTCACTGAAATTATAATCTAATTCCTTCACACAGGGCCCACTATAAGCAAAGAGCCATCGAGTCGATCTGCCTATTTTAAAGATGATGTAACTTTCAACTGCACAGTAGATTCCTACCCAAGATCCAATATAGCTTGGCTGCATAATGGAACCATAGTTTGTAGAGAAAAGGTAAGAATAATTTATTGAACACAAAGTAGTCATTTTGTTAAATTATTTAGAAAAAACTAATGGACCAATTTCAAATTTTCATTGATTGATATGGAAGAAGCCGCTTTTTCTTTTCTACTTTTCTCTGACACCTAAGGGACCTGGTATTTCACAAAAAATTTGGCTTTTGATTTATTTTACGGAAATATATTTTGTATGGGGTAAAGAAACACTTTTTTCCATCGTGATCCGTTGATCTTGCTTAGCTAATTATTTACTGATATCCATGCTTGAACTTCATATACATTTGGTTGTATTAGTTTCTAAAGTGTAAGCTCTAGTGAGACAAATAGTAAGTTGACACGCAATACTTTATATTATTTATTTTTAGTTTATTTTTTTGATTCATACTACTAGAAATTAAAAATGGAGAATTTTGGAGCGAGCAAAACTTTAGGAATAATTTAAAACATGTGTTCACTCACCCTTACACGAATACAAAGAAACCAAAAACACAAACCTAGGCAAACAAGGCAAGAAATAATTAAACAAAAACAGTTTCTCATATTGAGATTTTTTATTTCCCTTATTTCCAGACTAATAAAGAATGTCGACAAAATCCCAAAGACGTAGGACCTCAAGTAGGATTCTTGAAGATCAAAAATATTACACACCATGATGCAGGATTGTATCAGTGCAAAGCGATGAATAATCTGAGCACTACGTACTCAAACTTTGCCGTTTTGATTGTTGAAGGTATAAGAAGCATTTTCAATTAATCGAATATTAACTTGCGAGAAGTACTAGGAATTTCATTTGTTATGAATGTTCCAATAATTTTTTATATATTGCTCATTCATTTTGCCTCAGATTAGGCCCTGTATAGGCGTTCACTAATATCTAACATTGTGTTAGGAGCAATTGATTTAGGATGGGCATGAATCTGTTTGGTCTCTTTATTACCCTGAGTGATGAATTGGTGGACGTGATACTTCTTTATTAATATGTAAACTGAATCACAAAAATATTAAATTCTATTCTATCCAATTATTCTCTGAATGAAAATTTGTTTTCACATACATTTCAATCTGGAATGATTGCCTTTTCAATATAGTAATACATGTTTTATATGAACCTCTCACCAAATAGAGGCATATGAACAGAGCCACAGCATAATTCCACCTTAAACTATTACTTTTAGTTGTAACTCTTCAATCAGTACTTTAGTCACTTTTGCTTGAAGGCACCAGAAACTTTCTTTGAGCAAAATGGTAGAGGTGCATTCATTCTTTTCACACATTATTTCCATGCTTATCAGAAGTTTTTCTCATATATTCATGTTTTGCCATTTTTAGATCGTGTGGATGTTATGGAGCCAATGACGTAAGTACGGTACTTCATGAATTCATCAAGTCATTAAATTTGGTTAGAAAATTGGAAAATTAGCCAATGTCAATGTTTTTTTTAATGATTTCTTCGGTTATCTTTTACATTTCAAAAAGAATGTCATGTTTTGTACTTTTATTGTAATAGAAAGGTTGTGTTAGTTGTATTTTTTGTGTCACGCACAAGATATGTGATTGTCATGTATTATGAAATCATTTTTCCTAATTGGCACGTAACTCAAGGATTAGTCTACTATTGACGATACGTTTGACGATATCTGCGTATGTCTTAATGAAAAGTATGACACCATTAATGTGTAGCATTGAAGATCATAATACTAATTTGTAATGAATATATAAGATCATAATACCGCACCATTACAAAACCCTACCTGAACACACAACCGGGTAGCTCAAATTCTTGGGTTGTAATCGTAACTGACTAACTAATTTACAATTACAGAAGAATTGCTCCTGCAGAAATTCAAGAGATTTCTACAGGTATGTTCTTTATTGTTTATAAATTCCAGGTTACTTTCAATAAACAAAATTTTCAATTACACTCACATTTAAATTTAATTTGACGTAGCAGAATCTAAACATCTTCAAAACACCACACACAAACTCTGTTCAAAATATATTTAAACTCATACGGCCATCTATTCTCAATTTCAAAAATCATCGAATTTTTACAGTTAAGTTTAAATATTTATATTTTGAAGTCTTTATTTTAAATCTTGGATTTCATGTTTCAAATGTATGAAAACTTCATATGTGCACGCGTGTAAAATGAAAATTCAAAATTGAAAGATGTTTCTTTGTTAAAAAAGCTATTGGTTATTTAAAAATGATTTTTACCTTTTTTTTTCTCTTCTATTATTCTTAAGGTTGTGCCCCCAGTGATTTAATTAGGTCTTTGGGGGCTGCCGTAGGTGATGTGATTATCTTTCTTGTACAATCTCTTTGTTTCTCTCTCAATCTTTTATCTACCTTCTTCCTTTCTATCTTCCAGGCTTCACAGAAGAAGCAAAGTCTGTTTCGTATGTTCTCTCCTTTTTTATATTTCTTATTCTCTCTTTGCTTTCTATGCTTTTGAATATTTATTTGATGAAATTTTATTTTCTGATTTGGTTAATTATAGTTTATTTAATTTATAGCGAGATTCATATTTTGAGTAATGAGTAACCATAGAATTATATAGTTTTAGTAGCTTGGCATTTTATTGGTTGGCCATAGCTTGGCTCAGAGATAAGTCTCATTTATATCCGAGCGCATGGGTGTGATATTACATTGAACAATTTCTCCCAATAGAATACGAGGCCATGTTATCTCTGAATATTCCAAATGTACTATTAATAATTCGCTGTATTAAGTTTCTGGAGTTTATAACTCTCAAACTGACCAAGATTCATGTCACCTTTTTAGACTAGCTGAAACTAGATTACTGCCTCTTCCTCAATTTTCAATGCAAGCTAATACTGTCATTTATAATTCCTTTCAATAGCACTTAACCAAAATTGATAACAAACTCTGAAACAGTCTTAGCTTTGAAATAACATAATTTATTTTGATAAATGTTAACAAGTTATCACATTCAATGTATGAAAACATTAATATTGTGGACAAATTTGGGAGGCACAGTTCTTACCACTTCCTGGCAGCTCCTGCTCCTGCGATGTCTTTTGTCATGGTTCTGTGGCATTATTATTGGTATATTCACAAAGTCATGTACCAGATTGTGGTTTATCATGTTGAATTATATCCTCCTAAACCTGAAACCTAACCCCAAATCTATCAAAACTGTATTAATAATAAAAATATTCTAATAACTTACCCAAAGTTTGTCATCAACCAAGGCACCAACATGCCTTGGCTTGTGGCAGCCAAATTTTACCCGCCATTGGTTTTCAATTTGCTGTCATGTTACCTACCCTCCTTACGCCATGGTTTTTGGCAGCTTCAGATGCCACAAAATACTTAAAACTGCACTTGAAATTTGTAGACATTAGATTCAGATAATTAAAATTCTTAGCTTTATACTACCTATATCGATCAGAATTGTTGATGTTCATTCAAGAAATCTTCAGTAAACCTTCTAATGTTGCTATTCTTTATCCTTTCATAGTTTTTCGTTAGAAATTGGTTGATGCTATTACCATATATGTCAATGTCAATTTTCAATTCTTTTTAGAATCACAACAATCGAAATATCCACAAGCTTATCAACCACAACTGGTATGTCAAAATTTTCTTAGAATCAAAACAGAATATATATTGATATTCAATGTTCGTAAGTGATTCAATAGAAGAAGGATAAGTAGTTAATCATCCAGAAACCAAGTCCTTAGCACAAGTATTATTTAATGTTCTTTACTTTTAAATTATCGTAGGTTCATAGTTAGTATACATGTTTGATGTAGCGGAAAAATGTCAAAAATTACTCCACGCAATTTGGGTTTTAAAATTAGCTTGTCAAAGCGCTGCTCATTATTCTAAACGGGTTTCCTAGTTCTGTATATGCGAAGAATCATAATAGGATAGCCAGAGTGATGGCTGTCATTAAGTGGTTCACAAATCACTGGCATTTGAAAGAATGTTGAATTGGCACCCAACTACAGATTGATGAGAATTTTGACTCTGACTCAAGCAACAGTCTTCCATGAAAACCAAATTTTGATATCAAGAACTGTGGCTTGAACAAGTCTTTATTATTAGACAGTTGTGACTGCTTAGTCAACTAGATTTTTTTCAAGTTTTGGGGAAATTTTTCGATTATTATCAAAAAAAATCGGAAATTTCATCTTAGACTTCCGACTTTGAGCAGTTCGCAATTATATCTCTCACCAGGAAGTCTTTGCGTAACTGCAACTGACAGTTATAATTATTTTCTTACTTATTAATTTAACTATTTGATGCATTGCCTACCGAATTTATTACACCTGTGTTATGATGGTTGACATGTGATTTCAATCCTATCATAGTTAAGTTTCAACCACTAGCCCATAGCACTCAATCAATTTCATCAAGTTGATGCATTGCTTAGTATGACAATTATCAACGAATGACATTTTGTTGTCAGATAAATGTTTCCCAACATCAGATTGTAGCTTTCCTGTATTTTCCGAACAGATGTGCAACAAGTGTGTGTTTTGTTCCAAGCGTTAGATTATATTTACTAAGGAGAAACAAATGATTATTTACATTATTGATCTGAATTGTTCAAGTTTAAATTACATTGTGTCTGCTCCAGCAAGCAATTACTGACCTATTATGGTCAGAATTATGCTCATTCAAGCATGACTTTATACATATGGTTTACTTAAGATACTTCAGACATGTGGGCTTTATATTGACGTGTTCAACCAAATGAACTAAGAAACGGTCTCTAGGGACACTCAGGTGCTGGTGTAAGGCATTTGAACAATGTTAATAGGATTAGGATTATTTATCTATTAGTTTGAGTCATGAAAGACTTACTGACAATCCTACTTCTATGTCTTTGCAATAGTGTATTCGAATTTGTATAATGCAAATGCTGTAGCAGGAATAAAAATGAGGGTTCCTGAAGTATGCGAACCAAGATGGCGGACATCGGAATGTAATATGTGTACTAGGTTAAGGTTAGGCCATAATTTTAGGTACAAATACTACGAGAGGCACTTGGCTAGTCTTCGAACTCATAGTAGGACTAAAATAAGGGAAATTGGAATAAAATTATGGCCTAACCCTAACCTGTTACCCATGCTACGTTTCGATGTCCGCCATCTTGGTTCGCATACTTCAGGAGCACCTAAAAATGACTATTCTATGAGGCCAATGGTATTAATTTCAAAGTTAGATAAGCGTAGGTCTTATCGTATATTGTTCATGCTTTTCTGTTCTTACCTTTCTCAGGCTAGTTTTGTTCAGTAGAAGAGATTATTAACATTCATTTATTTGAAATCCTATAAGAGTAAGATGAGTATGGGAACAGTGATATTCTGACTCTTATGCTAGCTTAGGTTTTTAACAACCTTATGGAATACTTTTAAATATCGTTGACTATTATATAGAGATTGAGAAGCATAAAAATACCTTGTTTTTATAAAATAAAAGTAAAACAACATATAGCAAACTTGTAGCATCGAGATATATACCCAAGTTAATGTGAGAATAGTGATATGCACTATTTACAGTACGTATTTTAAAAAAAAAGAAGATATAAACTACATTTTCAATATCTGCAATGTAATCCTATCATGCAATGGCAAAAAAACTATTTGTTTTATCAACCGCTAAAAAGCAAAAAAAAATAAAATAGATTTTTTATATCAAAAACAAGTTAAACTAGCATGTAGAATTAAGGTATATGCCAATAATTTTCAAGTTCGCTATGAGGCATGGGTCATATTTTTCACTCTATAGAATCTGGGCAAGCATGACTTTTGATAGCTAGGATTTAAATTTGGCTGAAATGTTGCCGTAAGTCAGAAAGCATCTTTGATAGAAAACATACTTAAGACTCCTGAATTGTTTTTACAGTGCAACTGCAGAATTGTTTAGAAAAAATTGAATAATCAAGTACATTTAAAATTAGTTATATGCGATATTTTATGCAATACTTAAATTTTGGAATTATTAAGTATATTTTCATTTCAACATTTGGTATTTCCTTTAAAATATGTAACATTAGTCAAGCCAATCAAATCAAAAATTTCTCTAAGTTGCTTAAAAATTTGTTTTAATATCGCCTTCAAAATTCGTCTCTTGGAAGATAAGCAAATTGTATGATTCCTATTCTTGCACATTTCCTAACATTAGAATACATCTCACATCCTATACATTCAATATTATTTTTGTAAATGTTTTTCATATTGTTCAATTCTGGTTAATTATGGCACAAGAACAGCAAAATATATTTTTCGATATTATATTGTTTAACTCTGGTTATTCAGTACAATTTCAGTAATTCAACTTTGGACAACTTTTGAAATACAACAATTTTTCTTTTTAGTAAATCCAATAACCAGTTCAACTCAGCTAACTGGTACCATGGATTATTATCACTTGTCAGCGATGAATGATACTTCACACAAAGTGTTTTCTTATTCTGATGAAGATTACCATGATCGTTTACCGAGTCCTAACAGCACTATTCTGATAGTTTTGTTTCTTGGGTTGGCTCTTATAGTAATGCTTGCTGTGTTTATATTCTGCGTTTCGAGGAACAAACTCAGGCATAAAAAGGCAGATGAAAGAATGAAGATTGCTCGGATGTGAGTATGAGATACCAGTAATTGAATAGTCGATGTTTTGAGAATTAGTAATATGGTGTACAGTAGTACACCAAGCTCAAATCTGATTCAAGTTAGGTAAAAATCATTTTAAAATGTCTTATGGTGTGGTTATTTATTATTTCCTGAATATAAGCGTCAAATATATTTGGAAGGATATATTTATTCAAATGCTAGTGCATATTTTAAGCTATTTTGAAATAATAAACATGCCTAATACAACAATGTGATATGCACTTTTTGTTCATTTTGACTTTTGTTGAAATCATAAGCAATTATCTGATTTTGTTTGTCATGTAAGGTTCGATATTTTGCAGTTCAGAGAAAGATCTTCAATTGTTTTCTTTGTTTCTAAAACTTATAGATTTTATTTGCTAATTTATACGGTTTATCTATTGGCTTCGTAATTAGTTTAGTTGTGCCTTTTCTTTCTAAAGATAACTAAAGTTAAATTCAAAGCTTTTATGAATTATATCCATTGATATTGTAATTATTTTCCTTTTAGCATGTCGCAAAAAAGACTTGCACAGTTGAATGAGCAAAATATGTTACGGGAACTGCGTTATCCTGTTGATGATTTAGAAGTCATACAAGAATTGGGAGAAGGTGTATTCGGTCTTGTTTTTAAAGCCAAGTAGGTTTTGTTAATTGCTTTACAACTTTCTGTGTTAATATCAGTATTCAGTGGAACAATTGTGACTGCTTTTCTATATGGTGCCTATTCACACACGTGTCGCTCCAAATGAGCAGCTATACTATCAGACACAACCAAGAAATAAATGTTTTTAAACAATTGGAGAAGATAGTTGCTGGACAGGTGTTGATTACCTAGCCTGCTGAAACCATGTGGAACAAGTTAACACAACCCTATCATATTTAAATTGCTTTCTTCATATTGCTTTTTTTTTAAATGTTTTTTTTATTGATAAAATGTGATATTTCATTTAATTTGGATCTCTCATTGAAATATTAAATATTCCACTATCCATCAATAGGTTTGGGCACCAATCTGACTAATTTACAAACAATATATTGAATAACCAATGGAGAAGTGTCTTAATACCAATGCAATGTTGAAATATATGACTATTTTAAATGCATAACAAAAAATATGGAAACTGAATTTAAAAAAAATGTTGGCTATTTTGTGTTGGATAATTTATTTCTAATTAAATTGATTATATTACTAGGATTATATTACTAAGTTATATGAGTAGACCAGTGCTCTTCAAATAGCGGGTTCCCACCCCTCGGTGGGTTACAAAAGGGCTCATTGTTGTCAGAACTAGCCATACTCACTCTTCTTCTTCTTGCCTCCACTTATCTGTATGTTTTTTAGTATTTTGGCCCATTTTTTTTATTTGTTCCCTCTTTTAAAACTTTTCATATTCTATATTACAGTATTTTATGAACTCGAAATCAACCTGAAACCCATGTTTCATTTGATTCATAGATTAGACACTTAGTTTCATTTTTCAAATGTTTATTGTCTTTTTCAAAACCTTTTTACCTCTTTGTTCATACTGGGTGGCCCCAAACACAGGAGCCATAAATTTCTTAAACACCTCTACAAAAATTGAAAAAAATCATTCAATTGAACTTGTGTTTGCATATACTCATAAGTTTCAGAAATTTCATTGTCCAAAAGTAATGTTCTCTATAGAATATGTTCCAAATTATCGCTTGGGCATTGAGACAAACCTAAATCCGTTTGCCAAAATCGTGTATTTCATTGTTAAAATCATTTCATCAAATCCCACAGAGCACCTGGCCTGTTGTCTCCAACAGAAACAACTACAGTCGCAGTGAAAACAATCCGATCCACAGATGCAACAGAGTATTCAAAAGTTGAGGATTTTAACAGAGAAGCAGAAATGCTGGCAACATTCCAGCATAAAAATATTGTACAACTGCTTGGTGTCTGTGTAGATAATGGTCAGTACTTTTAAAATTTTCTCTGCTCGAGTTTATCAAATGAAAAATTTTTTTCAGTCTTCATCGTTGAAGGAAGTATTTGGATAAGAATTTTAATGTCGATTCAAATCTAAATAGGTGATTTGATCTTATGAATTTAAATGAATTAATTTAATTTGATGGAATGCTTGAGTTTGAAAAACAACTGTGATTTTGTTTGGTACCCCTGTGATGTTTTGTTCATATTTTCCCGAATTATCAGTCAGGCATTGGTCATAATGCAGTTTTGACCAAGATTCAATATTTTTCACATTGACAATACTCAATCACCGGCGCTCCAGAAGTATGTGTACCAATATGGAGGTAACTAATTTTGTTCACCTACTTTACATCAAGTTGTGTAAATAGATTGAATCCTATGGGCAGGGGGTATATTCACTTGGCTAATACAGACAGCCCCTGTAATCGAACTAAAGTAAGGAGAATCCGAATAAAATTATAGCCTAACCCTAATCTGGTACACGCACTACGGGAGTACCGAATCACTTTTTATTCAGAAAACAAAAGCAGATTCACAACTAGATTGGTCATGTTCATAGTATAGTATAAATTTCCACATTCTACTTGTACCTAATAACGCTCAACTAGGTAAATTGAGATGAATAGTGTATTTTATGTGAATTTAGAAAGAAATAGTTAGAATATCTGTTAATTGGAGTCAAACAAATTTCAACTATGGATCAATATATACACTCTGATTAATTTTTAATTGTTAGAAAATGTTTCGATTCAGAACCAATTATTAATATTTGGAGATAAAATTATCTGTTTTACCTCAGAAATGACCAAACAGGATTTCTAAATGTGCCTATTTTTTTATTTTATTTTATTCGATGACTGTTTGTGTTTCTAGATTCACAATCTGATCTGAACAATATATCTTGCTTGCTATTCGAATATGTTGATGGAGGAGATTTATGTGCTTATCTGAGGAACAGAGGGCCCAATCAAGCTTTATTCCATTCTCGTAGGTAAGTTAGCATGACATATAACCTGTACAACTTATTTCTCAATAAACAGCTGCTGTGGCAGGTTACTTCTAGTACAGTGATATACCTTGTTGATAGATTTCTCTCTTTAATTTTTTTTTTTTGGATCTTTTTATTCTTCCCTCAATATGCATAAGAACTCTCTGATTCCATTATTTGTTTGGGAATTTAATTGAAATTTTCTTACATTCCGAGATGAACATTTTTCATTAAAATATTTGGACATATCCATTACAAATCCTATTAGAAAAATTAATAGAATTCATGACATATTCATTACTATATTGCATTCACGGTAGAACATGTTATAAAATCTTTTTACTTTACATACAATTCATTTATGATAAGCTATCCATCATTTGTTGTCTTAGAAAAAGTAATTTAATTTAGATTTCGATTGAAGTCAATTCCCAGGAGGAAAGCTTGTAGGTTTAGCTTCCCTTGATACCATTGGCAATTTGTTCAGGCTTATTACAGAAACGTCGCAACAACATGGTTTTTAACTTCGATGTGACGTGCTATCTAGTCTTTTAGGCCTAGTTAAAACAAGACATAATAAATGACCAATAGCTGGGATTAAATTATACATTTTGAATTACCAGAATAAAATTATTGGCTTGACAAGCACTCTATCCAGATCCTATCCTATAGTGAAATTTTCGATATATATTTTATAGTTTTATTTATAACATGGCACCCATTTTCGGCATCTGAAATAAAAGTATTTTTATATGACATAAAAAATAGATATACAATTGTTTGCTGACTAAAATAATACTTTCGTGTTATTTAATTATTGTTTTAATACTTTCAGTAATAATTTCAATCATATTTATTAGAGTCAGATGAAATTTCATTTAAATATATTTGCAAAACTATTTTTATTAGTTGTTCATATATAATATACTTTTTAATTATAAAATAACAAAATGTCTTTATACCTTATGTTTTTTTGCTAATGCTTTGTGAATAGGTGTGCTAAAATCATTGAAAACAATTATTATTTTATTTTTCAGTAAAGAAATGAATGGAACAATTTCTGATGAAGACAAATTGTTGATTTGTACACATATTGCATGTGGAATGCAGTATCTGTCGGAGAGGAATTTCATTCATAGGTATGTACTACTTGGCACTTTTATACTGTGTGCATTGAAGGCTAAAAGAAGGCATAGACATACATGATTTTTTTTTCGTTTTCCAAAATTAAAATTACAGAAGAGTGAGATTTAACATGTTCTGCTTCTAAATTTTTTTTTCGTTCTTCTTATATATATATTTTTAATATGGCAATTAAATTAATTTACCCAAGTATTGTTGTGCCTTGAAATTTGACACATTTAACACATGAAGTGCAAAAATGTAGTTGTGATATCTTTCCTAATATTGTCACTGGCATTATATTCACTAAAATATTTTTACTAAATTCAGAACAGAAAATTTGCATCAATTTCTTTAAGGTTTAATTCATATTGGATTTTTCATCACTAAAAGACTAGTTTTGAAATTTAAATCACTCTCAGATTTTCTAGGTTCAGCCTTGGGCATAGCCGTGAGTCATATGACTGGTTTTTGTATGCAATATTGCAAATTAGATTTTCATATTTTTCGCTTATTAAATAATCCATGTCGAGTATGGGAATAATTAACCAGCAATCCTTTACCGCATATTTACTTCCACGGGATACAAACCTGTGTATCCTTGCAGAATAATGAGAGTTGCAATGGCAAGCGTGTTATTAAGCCAACCACCACCTAACCGACTAGCAAATCACATTCAGCAATCTTCTCGCACATAACTATCTCCCACAGAATGCTAACCTGCATAGCCGGAAAGTGTATTTAGAAGTGTGAAGGCAAGCGTATTTCTAATGAATTATTTTTTGCAGAGATCTGGCGACAAGAAACTGTTTGATATCAGAAAGAGATCTGAATATTAAAATCTCAGATTTTGGTTTGTCGAGGAGAACGTATGAGAGTGATTATTATAAAGCAGGAGAAACTGAATCTGTGCCGATAAGGTATATGAATAAGGATTGATAGTTTGCGGCTTTTCCATATTTATCCCAGTCGATGGGACAGCAAAGACGGCTTAATCATATAGAACAGTGGTTCTCAAACTTTTTAAGCCATGCACCCTTTTTGGAATTCGTCAGGTCTCGTGCCTCAACTTAAAAATACCTAGCTAACAATTAGATACAAATAACAGATAGTAAGGCAAAAGTATGTTTTATGCAAAAAAACACGTGGATGCAACTTAAATACTGTGATGAAATATGTCCAAAATAAGGCGGGCAAGATTAAATATAACAAATATCGTTATTTTCAATTAGCTTCCCGCCCCTTAAAAAAATTGTCTGCGCCCCACCGTTTGAGAACCACTGATATAGGAGTTGTGCATGTGTTACTTTACGTTTACCTGAATATTTACTCTGGTTTATTATGATATTGAAATTGGAGCAAAAATTCCAACCAGTGCATTAGAGACTAATATAAATGAATAATAATTAGGTATTTACTGTACATTCGAAGAAATCAAAATTCGATGCATGAAGTGGAAATGACTTTTATCAGTGTCATTGAACTTTCATATCATTTATATTGACACTTCTGAAGTAAGGTGATAATTATTGCCTCTAATGTTATACTGGTTTATCTTTATTGAATAACTACATTCTGTTTTAAACGTGTTTCCATTTTCTATTCTGCCCTTGGTCCATTGCATTAAGCTCTGCTTTGCTATTATTGCACCACCGATGACCCTGGGTGGACTTGGCAATGGTAGCAGCTGGAAAATTCCTTAACTGCCCTGACAAAAACACTGTTTGATTACAGATTTCTTCACAATCCTCGTTCCTTTGCTATTCCCATGTCTGGATTATACTAAAATTGATTTCCCATATGATTTTTCACTCTGAGTCTTTCACTCTGAACAAGATTAGGCACAAACCTACCGTAAACCTGTAGGTAATGAGCTAATCTTCTTGATTTGGTATTGCCTACACCAGCGGTTCTAAACGTTTGTCCATGCGCACCGAATTATCAGGTAAAAAACTCACGGCGCACGTACACGAAAAACTTGCTTCTTTTGAATAATACTCAATTTTGTGATCGTTAACAAGGTGATCGCACTTAGCAACTAGCCATGACGCACCTTTTGGGAACCGCTGGCTTACGCAATTTACTACACCCTAGATGAGTTGGTGGACATGGGATTCAAGATTTCAACCGGCCATGCCATCATAGTCTAATGTAGTGGTTCTCAAACTTTGTAAACTACGCACCCTTTTTAAATTTTGTATGTTTGTATTTTCTGTATGTTTTATTGAAAAACACATTGAAAATACAAGGATGGAACGTAAATATTCAAAATAAAGAAATGTATATAGTCAAATTAGGGCGGGCAAGATTAAATCTAACAAATATTTTTATTTTTAATTAGCTTCGCGCCCCCTTAAAAAATTGTCTACGGCCCATCATTTGAAAACCACTGGACTAATGCATAAACCACTGGACCACCATGAGCAAGCTAATATATCTTGAAGTCTCTGATGTTAAAATCTCATCCATCTTTTCCGATTACAGATGGATGTCTCCAGAAGCCATTTTGTATGGCAAGTATAGTTCACAATCTGATGTCTGGGCCTATGGTATTACGTTATGGGAGATTTATTCATATGCTTTGCAACCCTACTTTTCATTAACTAATGAAGATGTTATCTGCTGTGTATGTAAGGTATGTTAACAAGATTATTTTATAATATATTGAGGTCCTTCGTTCTTTGGTTAGAATGCAATATAGTATATCACTACTTTCTTTTATATTATGGTTTGATTGAAGTGAATATTGACTTTTGGGTTGTTTCCACCAGTGTTGCAGAAACTCGAGTGATTGACTCAGAGGAAAGTACCCAGGAGGATTGCCCCCGACTCCTACTCAACCAAAACTGGGGTTTACTCAAATTGTAACATTACTTTTTGTTGGTGCATTTACTAACTACAAATTTTTTTTTTAGAATCAAATTCTTCCATGTCCATCAGACACACCAACATGGATTTACAACTTGATGAAGTTATGCTGGCAGAATGTTCCGGATGAGCGACCGAATTTCACAACAATACATTCTGTATTGCAAGCAATTGGTGCAAACGATGGAAAATTGCCAATGTCAGATATCTTACTCCCTGTAAAGACTTCGGAAACAACGTTTGGAAATGTACCTCCTAATATAGTCAACTCTACAGAGTACGCTATGCCAGCATCTAGCTCTGATTTATCTGTTTTAACTATTCCCCCGCCTATGGAGTTCGACTCTTCAGGATCAACAGGTTGCCAAGATCCATTGTCATCGATCAAAACGAGATCTAAATCTATGTGTGGTCTTGCCAGCAAAAGATCGACTTTATCAGCATTGAATGATAAATTTGACTCCTTTCCTCCACACACCAGGTCAATTTCAGTATTAAATCCTCCGGTGTTTCACTATTCCACTTCAAACCATGGTACCCTGAGAAATAATAAAAACTTTTTTTACCCGATCAATTTAGTCACTGATGCCAGGTCTGACTCATGTTTGCCGGAATCCCCAACCTCATCTTTAAATTATGGATCTGATAAGGAATCCGTAGTATAGTGATACCAACAAAATGGACTTTTGTCAGATACAGAGGGTGTTAGGATATGTGTATTGGACTGTGTCACGGCCTTACAAGACAGCAGCGTCTTTCACACCACTTGTTACTTGCCAGGCGCCTTGTTTAGGGTGAATCACGAAACAGCCTCAATAAAAATTGTCTCATTGAAAACCTTGGTGGTTTTGTAACAACCACAAAATGAACTTTTATGAGTTACAGGGCATGTGGATATTGTGTATTGAATTGTAGGTCCTTTCCCTTGTCTACTTCCTTCGGAAAATCTAATAACATATCAAGATGCTTGTTATAGAAACTGTTCTTTTTATGCCACCAACTAATTTGACAATCGGCCATAATCTTCTTACGTACAGTTATTCAATTCAATTGTTTAAGTTTGGCTCAGATAAATGTGCTTCTGGGGTAATGTTTATTGAATTGCATGTCCTTTCTCCTCCACTACTTTCTAGTTATGATACATATGTGGATGTTCCAATGAGTAGTTTTGTTCAGTGATTCAAAAATGAAAGAACTCTGCAGTGAGGGACATACGTTTTTAATTACCATTGTGTTCATTCAACTTAGGAACCTGATGTCATGTGACAACAGTGGTTAAAACTTTTCTCCGGTCGAAACCTTATGTGCATCATCTTACTGATGTTGAAATAAATTTAGGAGACAAGATTGAACTGAAAATACGGTCTTTTTAAAAATAGTAGCTCCTTGCGTATCAGTGGATGCTTGTTCTGAGTGAAAAGACCAAAAAAATGTCAGCATTTGAAAACCTTGTCTACAACTTTAAAATTAAAAACAAGTTCATCCATGACATAAATATCCTCCTTTGGAAGCAAACAACGTCTTCGTCTGAGATTGAATATATTGAAATAGAAATATAAAATTCTATGCTGTACTGTTGTTTCGACGTCTGTGTTTTTGCACGCAGGAACATCTAATACTTTGGACACAGTTTATGAATGATGTACAGAGTTCAGGAAGCAAACAAAATCCGAAAGTAGATAATTTCCCTTCTTTTTGTAATATCTAGAGGGGAAGGGATTTTGTTTGTATAACTTATTGGCGAGTGTGTCGTTATAATTTATTGGTTGTATGATTCACATTTCACATGATTCACTTTTTTCCTGTATGGCGTTAGTGAATCTACATGGATTTTCAAACCTTTTTGAAGCTTTTGTGCAAATAAATTTCTAATTGGAAATGGTGTCATTTGTTGATTTACTCAAAAGTATTGTTTAAAATCTGAAATACGAAGTCTTAGTTGGCAGGTTTTTACCAGATGTGCGCATAACTCTGATCGCACTAGAACGAAATGACACTATGCTAACCTAATTCCAACAGCTACAACTCGAACCATTTGCTGTGATAGCCACGTTTGTCCTGATGCGATTTGTAGGGTTGGATTACAGACGATTTTTTTTTATATAAATTCTCTAGTTCAATGGATCGGCTTATAAGCGAGAATTTATTTTACTGAGCATTTTTAACAGCCTATGGATCTTTTGTACAAAGCCCCGCCACCAATTTGAAAAAAAACACCTCGCCAGGTTTTAAAATAAAAAGTTAGCAATATTTATACAGTTCGGGTTAGGAATGGTTTCAATTTCCAGGAAATCTGCATACTTAACTAGATAATTACCTTTTTTTTTATTTTGAGCCGTGATGGTGTTTTTAGCGGGGACTTCGTCCTAAAGATCCAAGCCTGTTAATAAAGACTTGCATAAGCAAAATTTTGTGTTATCGAAATGGATTCACTCGGAGCTGCAGTCAAATTTAAAAAAATTTAACCTGAGTTTGGGGTTATTGTAAATTTTCCTGACTTCACATACAAACATGTGTCTGTTCTTGGACCAAAGGCAAAATGCCTCAGATCAGTTGTTTTCAACCAAGGTTCCGCCAGTGCAGACGAAAGGTTATGCAAGTTTTCAATCAAATCTGAGGATAATTGGATCTCCGCTCTAGGAGACCCTTTTTCTCAATCGTTCTGTCTGTTTGTCAAAGCTGTAGCCTCTTAACGGCTGGACTGATCTGCATGAAAATTCACACGTGGGTTATCCTGTCATCCTATTTTCATCAAAAATCCGGTTTAAAGTTTCGTTTCTATGGCAACAGCGAAAAACGGCGCCGATCGTTGTGAAATTTCCAATCTCGTAATTTATCGCGCTTTTCTCGTCAACAGGTCGAAAATTGAAATTCCGAGTATGCTACCTTAGGCAGAAGGAAATACTCTTTCGAACAATCCGTCTTTTCAACCAGTTTTTTTTTAATCAGTAATTGTTCAACTATTTTTACATTCAATGGGCCATGGTATCGATAAAATCCCTTTGTAATTTGAAAAATGGCAGACTTTGAGGAGAGACTGTATTGCAGACTTTATGGACATCCTATTTATATGTAGTTACCGGTAATAGTTTATACAATTTAAACAACAAAAGACAATTAGATTATTGTCCAGGAGTTCCTCAATCCTCTGGAGTGTTTCATTGGGATTTCTCAAAAAGGTTCTTTTTATATATTGATTTCGATACCAAAGCTGTACTTGTTGTCCAATGATATCTGGGATTCTCGTTTTTATTTGTGGGAGAAAGAGAGGTAACTATTGCACAGTCGTGCAATTAATTTGAACCTTCATAAAATCTCGAGTGCTGTACGAAATATGACTGGGTGTTCGGGTGTTAAAACCTTGAGTGTCGCTGCTCGATAACTAGCTTTGGTTCCCCGCGACTTCCTTTACCAGGTAAATTTGTGTTATTATCATTTTCTAGTAATTTGTGTTCGCTCGACTATCTACTGGTTGAAAAAATAAACATGATTTGTCTCAAATATAAGATAGAATTTCTTTTACGTTTAACATCCCACGGCCTGAATTACAACGACGGGCGATTCAAAACAATTTAATCGCGTATATATAGGTAAAATTACACCACTTGATATCACGACATTTATTTTCAAATACCGCAGAGTCGACGCCAGATCATTTCTTGTTATTGTGTATTTCACAAAGTACAAATATCATTAAATTACCTCAAAAAGTTATCTGTTTACTTTGGCACCTCGGGATTTTCCCAATTTTTCGTCAAAATGTATTGTTCGTACTGAGCATACCCCGCGCGTGAACAAAGCATGAAAAACAGAAAAGATCTGCGGTCCTAGTTTGAGCGATAAAGCGTTTCTAAATTAAATATTTGACTTCTTTATATGATACTGTAAACGCTCGAATCGGCTAACTAGTATTCGCTCCTGTTAGCATAGTGATGTAGATACCTGTGTATGAGAGATAAAATTGGTTGCCAGGATTTTATTCTTTGTTAACTTTTATGTATACCCATTTATGTGATTTAAAGTTAGAAAATGTAGAACGTTTTAGCCATTCGTTTTACGTTGGCCTTATTGGTCGGAGCTAAAAGTTTCGAACTGTAGTAATTTAATGCCATTACAATGTCTAGTTCAGGGTCTTCTATAAAGTCAGTATTCGGGCGACGACGAAGTAACATAGAACTCGAGCAGCTTTTGGACCATGACAGTATGGATATCGGAAACGGAGAAAATGACCCCTTTCTTCCCGGTTCAAGCGGTGGTGTAGACTCTTACTGTTCAGATACAGTCCTGGGTGATGGGTATATTGAAAAGTTTGAACTGAAAAAGCTCAAAAAAGAAAATACTGGCGACCAACCGGATGAATTAGTTAACGTAGTCCCAGATTATTTGACAGTAAGTTCAGGAAGTAATTCTCATATTGATGGGGAGAATTCCGGTAACACCGAGTCTTACAGCTCAAAGATGGTGGGATTTACGTTAAATGAATCCACGAACAAAGCTTCAGCGACTTCCCCAAAAGAACTCTATGAACCATCAAATTCAGGCGAATCAGGGTTTCGATCATTGGATAATAGCGGACCCGAAAGATATCCTTTCTCAGATACCAACTCTGACTCTATCACCGATACCACTGGTAAGTCCCAAAACGGCTCAGAGACTTTGCCAAAAGAGCCCTATAACGTATCAAGTAACGAACCAGGGTTTGTACCGAGCCACCTAAGCCATAATTTACGGCTAAGAAGCCAAGGTAGAGAAGTTTTTCCATACCCCGAAAATTCAACTACGTCAGTAAAGGAGCCCGTTTCTCCCAATCATTCTCATAATACCCCGACGAATAACATTTCCGATATAGCCAGTCTTCCCCAATCTCAATCAGACCCCAGAATTTCTCTAAGGACACCCAGAACTGCAGCGGCCGTCGACAGTATGCCTAGACCCGAAGGAGAATGGACTTTGACCCGTCAAGTCATGGAAGTCAAAATCACTACTTATATGACGTCAGAGGTTAGTAGAGCATATTTGAAAATTGAGTTTAAATAACTCAGTTATGGCCTCAACGCTTAATTTTCTGGTCTGTCTCTTTGATTCTATTTATCTTTCGGTACTAATATCACCCACCAAAATGTAGAATGGTGGAGCCCAGTATGTTCCCCTGTCTTTTATTTTAGGGAGGAAAGGGGTGCTTCGAAAGTAAGGGGGTAGTAAATATTTTGCTTTTAGCTATAAAGCTAATTGTACCTTATAAAAATGTGTTTTGTTTTTGACAAACCATCTGCACTAATAAATATACCACTTTATTTGCCTTTAGGGGATCTCAGGGGATGTTCACCCCATATAGGAAGGGAGAAGTGGTGTATAATACTTGAGTAAAATTCGTGACATCGTCATGTAAAATGATTTATAGTATCTCTTTGCTCGACAGTGGGCGCCTGGACAAAGCCTTGTTAAGAGCGAAGGCGTATAAATATGCTGTATAAAAAAGTTTTCATTCTGTATTATGACGTCACCACTTATTTAATTTGAACACAGTTTTGCCAAGTATGTTAGTTTCCTATGCTGACTAGGGTTCCCCTCAATTGCAGGCTAAAAGTGCTTCCTAAATCAATCGCTGAGGCCAATTTTAAATATGGCATCTGTGACCTTTATATTGTATCGCTTCTGTAACTCACGTAATATCTAAACATGTTTTGCTGCACATATTGTGAGTTTACATTGATTGGATCATAAAGTCATCAACAACTTAAAATTATAGTGTGACGTCATTTTACTATTAAGCCAACACTTTGTAAACTTGTCTTTCCTCATTGGAGTTCAAGTCAAGTCAGGTTAATTTTTCCCAACCAGTAAAAAATCGATCGAACACATATTACGAGAAAATGATAATTACATAGATTTACTGGAGAAGAGAAGTCACGGGGAAGCAAAGTTGGTTAACGAGCAGCGACACCCAAGGTCCCACGCTTACTAAGATACTTGTAAAAAGCTTTGGGTCGGAAAAATACCAAGTTACAATAATTACTCCTAAATTTTTCAGCGCCACACAATCACTTGCATCGTTCCTGTGGTAAAGTCATGCCCTCAAGAAACTGGAGACGATCTCCACATAGCTATCAACATGACACCGCAGTGTGACGCGTCCTCTGTGCTTCTGGAATGCGCTAAGCAATGTAATATGGAACCTTTGTATGCGAATATGTTCGGGCTATGGAATCCTTCTAACGAATCGTGGATTTTAATTTCGGATTTACTTACTCCAGAAGAACATCAAGAAAGATTAGAATTTAGAGTGAGGTGAGACTGTCAGTAAAATATGATGGAACTTAGTTTTGCACTGTCAAATATATTTTTGAGAAAGTTTGCTCAAAGCAAGATCACACGTACTCACTCAGAAGTAAACAAGGCAGATATTTTAGCAAAGTTATGAGATCTTTTCTACGACGTTCTCGCCAATAAAACACCGTCGCCAACGCTTAAAATAAGAAAATTAGTAAAGTGTTTTTCTCAAATCTCACATATTTGCATTAGGGGTGGGGGCTTAAAATAACAACAATTTTTATACGAGGCTTCATTTTGCTCTATAAAAGGCTCTATACGAGCATTGAAAGCTATATTAACGCATAACGTTGTAAAAAATGCTGACACGAAACTTGAAACAGTTGAAATACGATTCACTTATGGTCAAACGAGTTCAGTGAGATCTCCTTAGAAACTTTCAAAGCGTTAAGACCGGAGCTAACGTATCTACGGCTTGGATTTTTGGAATGAACATTGGATTAAAAGAGTCATTATTGAAAATGACGTCATAATTGATGCGTTACGTTAAACATCATCACGGGAGAATATTTATCCTCGCGATATCATTTATTTCCGACGTCCGATTGTTTTTTTCGGAGTAAGTGAAGTGTACATTCCTTGGGCCAAACCGCTTGCGAACAATAGCTTTCTATTTCTTTGCAGATTCACAGTACGAGCAAGTGGGGAGCAAAACGCCTGCAGAATTCAGAGCATTCGGGGTCAAGATGAACCTCTACCTATGATGAGTAATAATATCATCAAATATCTTTACAATCAAAGACTACACGACTTTCTGAAGGTAAAATATTCGGTACTCCTGTAGTGTGTGTACCAGGTTGGGTAGGCCCATAATTTTAGTTCTATTAAATAATAATTTTAGTTTTATTACGAGTTCGGAGACTGTCCGTGTTAGCCAAGTGAATATACGCCCTGCCCATAGGTTTCATTCCCTTTACAGTTTACAAACTTTCTGTAAAGTAGGCGAGCAAATTTGTTACCTTCATATTGGTACACACACTTCTGGAGCGCCAAATTTTCTATGTTGTCAAAAGGTTCTATGTTGTATTTGTGTTGAGCATATTCGAGGTCAACGAGTTTTTTCTTTATAAAAGTTAAAATATAAATGAAGAAAATTTGACGTTGTATTACCAAAATTACAATTTTATTTTGGTGGATTTTCACTGCATGGTTTTATCGTGCTTTAGGGCTGCCACCAAATCCAACATACCTCTCATAAGCCTTTTAGCCTAAATATTCTGCTGAATGACGTTTCCATTCTATGCCAGCATCGGGTTTTTTAAAAATATCGGGTTGTTCCCAAGCCCACCAACTGGCTCAGGGTGTAATATATTCGGTAGATAATACTCAACGATTTTAGTTTAATCAATAATAGTAGCCACGTATACGTTTTTATAGTTCTCAAATTTAGCTTATATGATAGTCACAATCTTAAAAAGTACTTTTACAAAGTACTTATGTTTGGAAAAGAATCCAAAACGTAACAAAATTTCGTTTACTTTAATCAAAAGTGTGAATTTTCAACACTTGAAAAATTGGTACATTTCAAATAAAACTGTTTGGATTATTTACCTGATTTTTAATTTCTGGAACAATGAAAGATGCTTTCACAATGTTAACATACGTGCCTTTTCGTCTGTCTTATTCATAATAAAAAGGTTACAATGATTTTATTTTACTATACAGTAATATCTAAAACGAAAGCGATTAACATAAAATACTAATATTTATGATAAATTGCGCAAGTCAATAAACGATAAATATTTATAAATAAAATATAAATTCCACATTGGCTAAATTCTGCAATGTAGTGCTGACTAAGCTTTTACCGTTTCCATGGCACCAGAGTTTTTATATAGGTTATTGGTGCGAGGTTGGTTATGCCACATCGCTTCGGTAATGTATTTTTATATTGTACTATGACGCCACTTATTTGTATTATGGCATCATATTTTGTGTTTCCAATTACCAGAGTTACCCCATCAAAAAGGAAAAGGAAAATGACTGGGCAAAGCATATTCTACCGGAGATGAGCGAGGAACCAAATCTACTGGTAATATTATAGTATTGTTTTGTAATAAAGTGAATTGCTTTAATGACTTTATATTCAGTATTTCGCAAATATATGTATTATTCTGTGCAACGGATGTAAATTGTCTCCAATTATCAGAAATTAATTTGGAACAGGTTCTAGGCAGATAATAGCTTTTTTACAAATCGTCTTATATTACTGAAACTTTAGGATACATTCAACACAAACAGAAGATCACATATTAAATATATTTCCTCATTTTTCATCAAAGTAATTAAACAATTTAATGAGTTCTATCTTTAACGGGGAGGGGGGAAGTAGTAATGTATATTGTTGGAGTATTATGCCACAGATTTGACGAAATATGTCAGATTGTCTACTGCCATCGTTTCAGACAATACCATTGTGCATTTGAAGCTTATTTCGTAAAAGTGTAAGTTTCTAACATTTTTCTTATTGTAAATGTACAGGACGACAAAGTCCTCGTTGCGGCCTTGTTTCAAAGAATTGTGAAGGATTACGACAACATTGACGAACATTTTGATTTGGACCAGGAAGACATTCTGGAAACTTTACCTGAGTAAGTCTAATTTCTTTAGAAGTTCAATTACCAAATTTGTTAATTAACGTGCTTTTAATGCAAGTTTCTATGATAAAGACTTTATTCAGGCGTGGAAAATGTGATTGAAACTTGATTTTGGTGATTTCATGATTTGGGATCATTTGGGGGAAATCGGTTTCAAATTTTAAGTGGGACTCAGGACGTCAATTTGAAAAAATAAAAGTAATGACAATTATTTGAGGAGTGTGAAGCTAACTAAAAATAATTGTTTGATTTGACCTTGCCCGCCTTATTTTGGATTGGATTCCATCCACGTATTTCCAACCTTTTTTTTTTTATAATTAAACGTACTTTCGGCTCACTACCAAATATTTGTAGCTTATTGTAGGTAGTCAATATTGAGGGGTTGCCCGAGACTTGAAAAATGCTAAAAAGTGGGTGTTGCTTAATTACAAAGTTTCAAAAACACTGGCTAACGACTGGAAATTGATAGATCCATTGCTTGCGTAGGAAAGCAATTTTCCTCAACAACAGCAACAAGAATTTAACAAAACGTCCATATTCGCATTCGTAGCCTATATTCTCATGCTTCTCAAACTAGGGGTCGCAACCCCAAAGGTGGCACACAACGAATTTTTGGGGTCGCAAAAATGACATTCAACTCCCCACAACGTATTTAATCTATTGTACTTTTTGTGACTTTTGATTCGAAACACAAATATCAAAACTAGTGCAAAGCATATAACTCACGATTTCAAGAGAATACATATCACCAGATAAGCGCCGCATAACAATGCCGACCTAATGGTGGTCGCGAGCTTAAAAAATTTGGAAGCGCTGTTGTATTAGACCCTACAAAAGGGTTACTTCGTTATTGATTTATTCAATTCGTGGCACAGTGCGCGCCTGACCGCAAGTACGTTCAACCTTCATATAACGAGTATTTTACCGTGATAAGGAAATTCGGGAATACACATTAGCTATCAGAGCGCAAATATTTGCATTCGAAATAGTATTGTGACATTATATCACACTATTTAAATATGATTAATATTAAATAACGATTTTTAATATTGTTTTATTGTCGGAACATGTTTGGTTGAGTGGTACTCTCAAATGGACACGATAAATATAAAACAATATAATAAAGTTTTGTTTTAAAGTATTTGGCACAGAAGACTTCGTGAAAACGGCATTTACTTTCATAATAATCCTACACCCTTCAATCCTTTCACATCTTCAGTATTTCAATGTCATGCACAAGCAAAAACCTCATCTTATAATACAGTTCCTTACGAAGTATCCCGATACACAACCTCTTTTCAGGTCAAGCAAGAAAGCTTTGAAAACGTCTGGTTGGTTCAGCTTTTTATACAATTATCCTCATCGCTATATGATAAGAAAGAGATTCCATCAGTACTTGAAGCACATTGACGGTAAGTTTCATGTTTTTAAACAACGTTTCCATACGATTTACCCCCCTAATTAGGCTCTGTACGTTTGTTTATGGAGCTACTTTACTGGTACTCCTGTAGTATATGCACCAGGTTAGGGTTAGGCCATAATTTTTTTTCGATTTTCCTTATTTTAATTCTATTACAAGTTCTGGGACTGTCTGTGTTAGCCAAGTGAATATACTTCCTGCCGATAGGTTCAGTCCCTTTATACAACTTGATGTAAAGTAGGCGAACGAAATTAATTACCTCCATAGTGGTACACATACTTCTGGAGCGCCCTTTTGTCTTGGATGAACCAGAATCTTCACTGTTCGGCATTGCCTGTTCCATTGCTACTGGGTGAGATGGTCGGCATGGGATATTATTCTGGGATATTCAACCTGCCATGTCAACATAGCTAAGCCCAACAATTAGTACCATTTATACATATATTGTTTGTAATATTTATTCCAAGTCTAGTTTTAATTGGTAATTATTAACACTTGAGGTTTTGTTTGCTCTCCCGATTCTATATTCAGTTTTATTTGTTTCGTTTTTATCGATTACTGTATCGTCTATTATGCTGATTATGGAGTCGAAATAAACTTATGATAACCAATACTTATATTGCATCGCCATAATTGTGTATATCCAGTAGGAACTCTTAGCATCTGAATGGTAATCTATAACGTTGCTCCGAGATGATGAATCTGCCTTTCTCCCCGTTAAGTCCGCGTGACCTTGCTTTGGGCAAATTTTCTTCGTATTAACGACTCGAACTAGCTGCTCAGAACCTCAGTATTTGAATGAAACATGCTGATTTTGGTATCTTAACTGGCTTTACAAGCATAGGGTTTCTTCATCGCGCCTGATTAAGGATAAATTTGAAACAATTTAATGTCGCCAGGTTCTTATATTTTATTCCAAACTGTTTCCATGGAAATAGCCCAATGTTTATAAATGACATTTGCTATTCAGGAAAACTCGTCAAGAAACTTTTGGTATCGTATTACCAACAAAAATACATCACACATTTGGACTCTCTGGAGCCGCATTTCAACACCGAAGTATTTTATTTTGCTGGTGGAATCGGTGCGATCTCTGTAAACGGTGACAGCGGTGTGATATTTGCAGTTAAAGATGCAAATTTAATGAAAAACGTCTTAGAAAGGAAACCTGAAGAAGGCGCATCATGCGGTCTAAAAATCATCAAAGTAAGATGTTGTTATTTCTTAAACAGTGTAAGTTAGAGAAGCAGTCGGCACTTAGTCCAAGCGAAATTTCCAAAATGCTCTTCTGTCCATTGGAGACAACTTACATTCGTTGCACAGAGTTATACATCTATTTGTAAAATACTAGATATCAAACCATTAACGGATTACACTTTATGCGTTTCATTTAATTACAAAGCAGTACTATAATATTATCAGAAGATTTGGTTTCTCACTCATCTCCGGTAAAATTTGCTTTACCCAGTCTTTTTTCTCTTTTCTTTGTCGATGGGATACCTCTGTTAATTATGAACACAAAATTGACGCCACAATACAAATAAAGGACGTCATAGTACAATTTACGAGTATTTTAAAATAAAAATAATATAAAGCTTAATTACTTCTACTGATATACTGGCCGACAAATATTTTGTCAACAAAGTAAAAAACACAGAAGTAGTAGGCAAACTCAGATAGGATCACCACCTTGTAAAAATCGCAAAACATCTGTGATTCGCAATTACGCTAAGAAAAATATTCCCCGCGAATATATAACAGGAATGGGTAATGAAAAGTGCTGGAGGTGCAATTCTATCAAAACAGCTTATATTTTCTAGATATAATTTAACAAACAAGAATTTGAACATTTTTTATTACAGCACTTTACTGTACTTTATAGACTTTATAGCGCCCATCTCATTTTTGATTTGTGTACTGGAAAAATTCCATAACGAAAACGCGAGGAACTTTTCATAAAACGGTTTTCTTTACGCAAGCTGGACTAGCTCCTGATATTTATTGTTATTTACGTTCGAGGAAGTTTAGCTTCCACAACTGTCTTACTGAAAGAATAGTTACCTCTTATTTGTCTCGGCATCGAAGTAATGGAAAAATAACTGTTAGTTTGCTGTAAATTCTAATTGTTTTATTGTAAAATAACAGGATAAATAAACGAGAATTTTTATCTTTTTTTATTCTGGCATTAAAGTAATGGTAAATACCTGGTATTAAAATAACGTCTTACTGTGAAAAACTCGCGATATGAATTTTACTGTCACAATTAAAACATATAGAGTGTCCATAAAGTCATTTTTGAATTTTTAAAATTGCAAAAGATTGTTTTGACCCACAACGATGTCCGAAATAAAGTAAAAATACTTGAATTACTGATGAAAAAACAACAAACCTGGTTAAGATATATTGAGAACTGACTTCATAAAAAAAATGAAATTGCAAATGGACTTTGGACACCCTGTATATAAATTGACAACAATACAGCGACGCATTTTTTTTTATTTCGTATCTGTATCATTGTACCGGTAGGGAATGATGACAAAAAACGAAGAAAATATTGTTTATGGAGACAATCACATATACGAATTATATTCATTAGTTTGATAAACCCTTTACTTTTAATAAAACTTTACATATTAAATGTTCGGGTGAACAACTTGCGGTTACTGGGAAATGAGAGATCAGTATTGCTGTGACGAGAGTATTTACGATAATTAACAACATATATTGTATGTAAATTCGGCTGTGATGAAGTAAGTATGTGTTGTGTAATAGTGGATCTCAACTATTTGTATTGTCGCGCCACTATAGTATTTCCATGATCCTTAGATTTTATTTCTATCTGTCAGCGTGAGCTAAATTTAACTTGAAAAATGGGCACAATTAAACGGATGAATCAAGTCGGATTTTTCGCGTTTTTATTATTATTATATATAATATAGCCCCGTCATTAATTGGTGTAATAACCCAAACTAGGATGAGCCAAATAAAAAAAAATACAGATAAAAAATAAGCAATGTGACAATACCAGTGGGTGTTGACTGTCGGTTTATATGAGTAACATCTCAAGTTACCCATTAGTCTTCCTCGACTTTGGACTGCTGTTCTCTATTTGTTCTTATCTACTAACGTACCATCCTGTTATTGCTCAACCGCTAATTTTCTGGTCTGTTCTATCTGATTCGTTTTTTTAGGTAAGACCCCATTATTCTATTATATATTATATTACCCCATCTTTAAACGCATACTAATCTAATCTAAGAAAAACAGTACGACTGCAAGCATATGCTTTTAATTTGGGATTTTGCTATTCGGTTTCCACCTTATGCCTGTAAAGTTTATGACCCCAACCCCAAAAGTTTTAGTTGGGACTCCTGAGCGATCATAAACCCTCTTATGGGAACCCCTGGTTTAAAACTCTGGTGCTATTTGTATTTAGAATGACAGCAAAGAAGATGAAGACGATAAAATTTGTGATCAGCAACCAATAACAACTCTAACCGTAGACTTTAAAGACTTCGGAGATGTGACGCTTATGGATGATGTCGTTCATATGAGCGATATACTTGGACAACAATTGGTGAGAAACACTTTAACTGTCTACCTCAGAATTTCTCAAACAAAGCCCTCCCTTCAAATAACAAAATATTATTCAAAGAATGTAGTACAGTCAAGGAATTGAACAAATTTGTCACTTGTTAATAATTTATAACTTGACTTTTGGTGGCATGCTTTAGTTCGAATATCGTTTTCTAGATTTCTGTTTGGTTAACAAAAAAGGTGGTCCTTATTTTTTGGAAATGTTTTTCCAATGTGTTCTCACGTGATTATTTTGAAATCGCTAAATACAATTGCAACATATTGGTAGCAGCCACAAGCTTATTATATTCAGTATGATCAGCAATGTCAATATTTTTCATTTGTTCGACATTTTCAAGTGCCAGCAATGCAAGGTGAAAAGTACAGTTACTGATTAATATCTTTAGTCATTAGATAAACAGGTTTATAGAGTAGACAAATAAACACGGAAGAATTGTATGTCCGGACAAGCGAGGCAAAGCGTCCTCCAGTCTATTATTTCCTACATAATCTTAAGAAACTCAAGGCTTTCTATGGGTCAGTTGCATTAATTTTTCCCAGTGCCCCAAACAATGTTATTAAGGTCGTTTTCAAGTACGATGCAAACCTAAATGTCGGAAATAGTATTGTCAAGTCACGTTATAATAACTATAATTTGGACCTGCATAGAATATCCATATCGAAATACAACCTGAATCTCCAGATTACGAGTCAATGGTCATAAGCACTGTCTGATTGAAATAGATGTTTTGTCGATTGTCTAAAATTGGGTTATTACTCCACTGTTTAGTAATGAGCAATAACAAAATCACAAAGAAAACCTCTCATTGGGAAAGAAATCATTGTCTGAAACAATTTTATGTATAACGAAGGAAGGGTTGTGAATGCGAATGGTATTCATAGATTCTCCAATTTTTTCAAAGTATTCATCAATACTATAATATACTTTATATAGTTTTTTAGTTCCTACAGGCGTGTTAAATAAAATAAAAACTCAAAGTAAAAACAGATTAAAAGAATGTGGATAGAATATATTACAAACTGAGTTTGTACCAAGATTGAAATTGTAACAGAAATTTATGAACACTTGTATACAGTGTTGAAATTCAGCGGGTGTTGGCGCAAATCCGTTCGTGGAAGGTCTTGATAATCAGATAACTCGTTCTTGATTTTGTCATAAGGGATAGAATACAGCAAATGGGTAACGTGCATCGCTATCGGCATATTTGGCAATTTAAAAGTTATTCATAAGATTTATGTAAAACGTGTCATGATAATGGAGATTAGGTAGTGACGTACATTTTATAAAAGAAAAACCGTTCTTAAAATTTTGAATCTTAGCACTGCCTGTATATCAAACATGAACAAAGTACGGCCCGCGGGCCAAATGAGGCCCGTTAGGTAATTCAATCTGGCCCACCTGATGCTGCCACAATCAAACTGAAACCAAATTTTGATATTTTAGTTAAAAATACCCCAAGGAATTTATTGAGATTGCGGTCAAATTTAGTTTTGGCACGAGGTTTATTGTTTTCCACTGTTGTTTCTGTAATACTCTAAACATTGTTTATAAAATGTAACTCTTTAAGTCATACTTACATGGCCCGTCAACTCAGGTAGGCAAAATATTTGGCCCCTGATCCAAAAACCGTGCCCAACCTTGTATATTTTCTCATTTCTACTGGACTGTTTTATACAACGTAACTAGATCTGATATTTATATTTTCAGACTTTATCATTCGAAGACAACAATTCAGCACGTTCGTTCTTGGAATGTATAGAGGGTTACTATAAATTACTGGTTAACCCGTATTGCTACTTGTCTTCTACCAGCAGTCGGACTTTGTCTAAAATGGTTCACGGACCAGTTACGTAAGTGTTAATGTATCATGCTTTATTGACATTTTAAACAAGGGCCTGCCTACTTACTGTGTGTTTAGCGCGAATATACGATGACGAGAGAGATACGTGCGAGTTCACTATAACCAAGAGTATAGATTTAAAAGAACTTTCTATACTGCGCTACATCAGTGGCTTTTAACCAGAGTTCCGTGGCACGCGAGGTTTCCGTGAGTACAGTCCGTGGGGTTTCTCAAGTTTCAATTCAAATCCGCGAGGTCATATTAATATATGTTACTATTAAACATAATCAAATGCCTATAATATTTGCCACTATTAACAAACTTTCTACACTTCAAAGATCATTTAAAAGCGTGAAATTGTCATGCGAACGTCAAAAATAAATTTATTATAAAAGAAAAAACGAAACAATGCTTGAATATATGGTCACGGAAGTCAAACGACTTCCCCGATGTCATTAAATTTTTCGAATGCCATATGAAGACCCTCTGAGTAGCCCCTTCTATCTTTAAATAGTAAAAATGTTATATCAATTGTGCCTTTATTTTTAGAGATAACGCAATTCGACAAAACGATCCAGAGGTTCATCTTGTGTATAATTATAGTAACTCCCCCAACATTCTAGGATCGTGTCGGTTGGCGATTTTTAAAAGATTGCGTAGTAGAAGCAAAATTTATTTTATAATACTCTTTTAGAGCTTGAAGCGCCCAATGTCTCATTTTCTTGGTCAGAATTGGGAGATTTTAGTCAAATCCATAATTTGATAACATGATTTATATCCACGTTATGGTCTCATTTTTTCTACGCAAGCACCACAAGGCCGACCAGATGCAGCCAAATCGTCATCGCTGTTCAATCCCACACAATAATCAAAATGACACACTATGGTAGAAAATCCCACTCTTTGCAACGCAAAGTGGTGTATTAGTCGTTTTCTAACTTGGACCATTGATCGAAGAAAAAAGGCGCTCCAGAAGTGTATGTACAAATATGGAGGTAACTAATTTTGTTGGCCTACTCTACATCAAGTTGTGTAAAGAGACGGAATCCTATGGGCAGGGGGCATATTCACTTGGTTTACACAGACAGTCCCCAAACTCGTAATAGAACTGGAATAAAAAAAATCGAAACAAAATTATCGCCTAACCCTAACATGGTACACACGCTACGAGATTACCAGGAAAAGTGGATAAATATCAAAGAACACTCCTATATTGATTTCGCGACTGGTTCACATATTTCTAGCCCGCATTACAAAACTAAAATTGAACAAAATATTCAAAAATTCAAAATAAAATGATTAATTTCAAGAGTAAACATCATGGAATATTACGACCCGCTAAGGACAGACGGCTGGCGAGCTCTTTTATCGTACTATTGTTTGTCGAGGTATCTCAACTCTGTTAATATTTAGCTCAGTATGATAAAACTGTATCGGCGTCCAATAAAGAAATCTTATATTTTATATAAACTGTATTATGGGCCATATTAGAGCCATAGCTGACAAGGGAGAAACATAATTGTAAAATTGTATTGGGAAAATTCGCCAGGGAACGCCTTTGGATAACCGTTTTTATGGGCATTCAAACGCAGACTTTTTTATGGATTTGCTCAAAGCAAGGTCACCAACTACAATTTGAAAATAAGAACTGACAAAATAACTTGCTTAGAAAATTAAAAAAAATCTAATTTTATCTGCTCAGAGCCGGTCTTAATTAATCAAACTAGATTCGCGGAACTCAGTTTGGGTAGAAATAATACCTGAAAACATTGCAATGAAAATTCGATTTTCGTTACATCATCATTATCTTTGCGTATCACATCACCCATAAGGTAACTTGACTTCACGAACCTTACGTGCAAAGACTTATCGTCTGACCCACCGTATACATGATTATATTTTATAATGCAAACTGAATAATTTACACTTGGAATTAATGTGGGGCATATGGCGCAATGCATTCCAAGAATAGACTTAACACCCGTCTATATGTTTTATCAGAGCTCTTTCGATTCCACTTTCATTCGAGACCTGCTTATAACCCTGCTTTGAATCAAATCAAAATGGGAAATCGTTTGATCAAATATGAGGTGTTTGTAAAATTTGTTTTATGCTTTCTACCGATGTCGAATGTTATTTACAAATATCTATTTCTCGAGATTAGACCTATATATAGCCAAAATTCGTTCAAATATCTCATCAGTGCTCTTTTGGTTCCATGTTCGGTAGAATGCTGCTTGTAACTTTGCGTCGAAAAAAATAGAAAATGCAAAATCGATTTACTGGAAATAAGCTGTCTGTAAAATGTGTTTTATGCTTTCTACCGATCTCCGTTCAAATAAATTGACAAAATCGATCTTGCTTTATGTCAGATGCTATTTATAAATATCTATTTTCTATGATTAGACCAATATAGAGCTATTTATCGTTTGTGTCTGATCAGTACTTTTTCAGTTCCACTTGCAGTCTAGTTCTGTTCATGGCCACGTTTTGTTCGTTTGATCGGATGTAAGAGCTGTTTTTAAAATTTTTGGAATTTGTTTAATGCTCTCTACTGATACCTCTTCCTAAGAATAGACCTATATACTGTATAGCTAATATTGTTTTATCTGATATATCAGTCCTCTTTCAATTCCACTTTCAGTCGGGTGCTGCTCATGACCTTTCTCTGAACAAACTGAAAGTCAGAAATCGTTTTATTTGAATTAACTTAAAAAATTAAATTTAAGTAACATAGAACTCATTTTAGAGGAAATGTTATCTACTGTTGTCTTTATCGCAAAGATGAACCTATTCGGAGCTCAGAACTGATATAGCAGTGTGTTTTTTACACTTAATTGAGTGGTTGTTTTTGCTTCTTTCACGGCCTTATTTGAAATATCTATGCATTGTTATCTTGCTATTATCTTTGAAATCTCTGGTTGAACGATGCCAGCCATATTGAAATTCATGGTATGGTCATTTAAAAAATTTGAAAAAAGAAAGTACTCGGCACTCCCGTAATATGTGAAACCGGTCAGGGTATAAATTTATTCCGATTTTCCTATTTTATTTCTGTTACGAGTCGGGGACAATCTGTGTTAGCCAAGTGAATATACCCACTGCCCATAGGTTTCAGTCCTTTTACACAACTTGATGTAAAGTAGGCGAAACAAAATTAGTTACCTTCATATTGGTACACATACTTCTGGAGCGTCCTTTTTCAATGCGGCTATTGCAAAAAAAAAAACTTCCTTCAACTAGCCTTGTTCCAATGTATTTTTCGATGATGAACAGGTAATCTCGCGGAACTCTAAACGATTCTATAGTTTACTCTTAACTTCTTTTCTGCAGGGAAAAATACCTCCGGAACAAACTTGCCTCTGATGAAAGAACTCATGTGTGCGGATATCGACAGACATCGTATGATGATTACGAAATGGTTATCAAGATACCAAAGGTTTGAACATTTTTCACCAGCAGAAAACTATGATTTTTAACATAGGAATGGTAGTTCCAGTAAATTTATATCCAGTATATTCCAGTGGTACCACCGCACCACCATAATTTGTCGGCAGCTCATTTCAATACGGCGATATGCACAAGCAGTCTCTGCATGGTGAGGACGTCTGGGAATAGCCTTTTAGGCGGCAATCCATTTGGGGCGACTTCAGCCTTTTTGGTGGTAAATGAACCCGTATAAATGGGCTAAAGTACGAAGAATTATAAATTAGCAATAATTTGTCTTATATTGTTAGGTATGCTTTCTTACTCGATGGCTACGTCACTTTTGCAAAGATACAGAGTCTATTGTCACGTTTCCCAGGCTCCACAACCCGGCCCATACCGAAGCATCCAATAGTCATTAATTATAATAGCACTTATTTCGGTATAATTCATGTTTCTCAACGTAGTCTCTAAGAGCCACAAGTAAGCTTTGAGAATTTATTGAATAGACCTGGAGTTTTTATTGGGCCTATAGTAGGTACAGTACAGTAGTAGGTATAGTAGGTGATAACAAAGGATATTTGCGCTTGCGGTTGTATCAAGATTCGGAAGCAACTAGGGAAGCTGATGAATATACGTAAAACAACTCAAGATATCTATTAACATTCCTATCTTTCTAGGATAGCGAGAGCATCTTCAAATGCGAGTCAATCAAACAAGATGGCGATACTGGTGCATTAAAATTGGGCAGTCTTCAGGAAAGTTTCTCGACTATTGATGACGTCATCACATTCTTCCAATCAAATCGATGCAATGCCGCTTATGGTAATGACGTCATACTAGCACTCAGAAATATCGTCAGACCAAAGATGACAGGCTGTGGTTTGTAGATTTATAACTTTTTATATTGTATGTATTATAGATATATATGCTATATCAATCGATTTGAACCCAATTTAACCCAGGTTAGCAAACAGAAATTTAAAATATATATCTTGTGAATAGAATTTCAAATCGTCGTTGTTTTCTCGATATGTAGAAAATATCATGTCCTCTATCAACACACATGTCCCCCTTTTTCCTTTTTGCAAAATTTCTTACGTTTCTAGCACTATTTTACCACACTCGTCTCACTTGTCCTAGAGTGGGACGAGTGTAGGACAAGTGCGGTCGCCATGGAACGAGTGCGACAAAAGTGGTACAAGTAATTGAGATCCTTGCTCAGCTTGTTAGACGCTAAAAACTTAGTTTGTGACTCCAAGCACATTGTCTTACCCAGGATAAAAGTCTGCACCAAATTAGAAAATGAAGTGACTATTTTTTTTTTCTTTTCAAGTTGCTGTTAAAAATCAGCAATAGATACTTCGAAAATCACAATTTTACTTAGTCACTCACTACACTGTGGGATATTTATTGATTGTAATTCAAAGATAACAACATGAAATTGTTTGATTTGACTTTAAATTGTCACTCACTACACTGTGGGATATTTATTATTTGTAATTCAAATTTAGATTCTCTATTGTTATGATACTGTCCCAATCTTAATTATTTCTCTCTATCGAAAACAGACCCAACATTTGATACCATAATTTATGTGCATGCCATTGCGTTTCTTGCCACATTTGTAAAAGGCTTGTCTGAAGAAGTCTGACCTCGGTCAGACAAAACGTTACAGCAATACATTTGTGTTAGTGTGCAGCAAGACTCTTGATTTTACTTAGTATGAACTTATTTTTTCCACAGACAAATCTGGACTGACTGTTCAGCGCTCGAAACCTCCTCCATCTGAGATTGATGAGGATCCTCGACCAAGAACAATACAACTGAAAGATATTTCTTATACACTGGTGAGACTTTTATTAAAATGCCTAACCAAAACAGTTACTCTGGTACTCCTGTAGATGTGTACCAGGTTAGAGTTAAACCATAATTTGATTCCGATTCTCCTCATTTTAGTTCTATTACAAGCTCGGGGACTGTTTGTGTTAGCCAAGTGAATATACTCCCTGCCCATAGGCTTCCGTGCCTTTACACAACTTGTAAATATGTAAATAAGGCAACAAAAAATCAGTTACCGTCACACTGGTACACATACTTCTGAAGCGCCAACAATTTTTCATGTGGAGGCATTGAAAAAATATCAAATTGTTTTCAGATGCGAAAGTGTACATATGGATTGTTTTGCTTACTTGTTGCTGTTGTTGTTGTTCAACTGATGACCCTTTGCTTTTTTATCAAATTTTCTTGAGTCGCATGGGAGCCAATCTTCACCCAAAATTTAGCTGTTTTATTTTATTTTAAGAAAACACTTTCTATGAAATATGGGATCAAGAAAAGACTTTATTGATATAATAACTTAACTGCTTCATGTGCCAATCCACGAGTCAATCGTCATTTTCTGGCGTGTCATCCACCACCATATTTCTGGCATGGGGAAACTACGACCTGCGGGTCAAATCCGGCCCGTTGAGTAATTCAATTTCGCCCGTCTGATGCTGCCACAACTAAACTAAAGCCAAATTTTGATGTTTCAGCTAAACAATAGCTTAAAGAATTTGTTGAGATTGTGATTAAATTCAGTTTTGGCACGAGGCTTATTGTTTTCTACTTTTGCTTTTGTAACACTGTAAATATTTTTCCTAAATGTAACGTTTTACGTTACACTCACATCGGCCCTTAGTCCCAATACCTTGCCCACCCCTGCTCTATATACAGGGTGTTAAAAAAGTTACAAAAGTTAAGGTAAAATTTTTCGTCATGGCAACGTTCAAGAAGTAACTGTCATAAAAAAGTATCGTTATTCGTGAAATGTTTGAATGGCATTTCACCGTAATTCAGTACTGTTAAAATGTGTCAGTCGTCAAATGCATTTCATTTCGACTTCAGTTAATTTTGAGTTACTTTTTAACACCCTGTAGTTGCAGTAGCTTTTGGAATTTAAGTGGCCCCGGTAACTTTTCATAGGAAGTTTTCTTTACTTTTTAGTGAAAGTTCGTAAACAAAACATGCTTTAAGTAAATCTTGTAAAATTTAAGTTATTTTCTTCAGTATCAAACCGAACCAGACCGGTATACTGAATCTTCTGTCAGATACTGGACGGGGTCTTCAAGTTCAACGATGCGTGAAGTGAATAACAATGGCGATATGGAAGACGACCAAGATTGTAGCGACGATAGGAAGGAGAAACGCAAACTTGTTGTCCATTCTAGTATATATTCAAAGGAATATCGAATATTGGATGAACTCAATACGGTTAGTATAACGCTATGACATCCCCGCCCACCCCCGCCACCCAAAAAAACGAGACTTGCCTATGGCTATACATGATACACAATCCAACCTATAGGCCAACATGTGAAATGGCATGTACAAATACCTTTTCGCGAAAATGGACTTATTTAGGGCTAACAAATGATCTTGTTACTTATCGATCTTAAGATAGGTAAGTATGTTGATAGGTATTTGTCTGTTTGTGTGTTTGTCTGTTAGACACTTTAGTATGTTAGTCGATATCTCACGAAAGCGATGTTGAATCTCCTCCAAACTGTGCCTGTGCATTCATCAAATCTCGGACCAGAAGCCTATTAATTTTGGATGAATTATGTCGTATAATTAGCGTTACTAATTAATTAGTTATTAAATATTACAAAGATTTCATGAAAGCTCTGTAAATGGAGTGAATAAAGTAATAAACGAAGTCAACAACATGTTTACACTATAATATTATCGTAGCGTGTGCAGTTCTTTTTTGAAATTGCACCATCGTGGCCCGTGGTATTAGTTTTAGACTTCAATAGGAGTTCTGTAGCATTGGGAACACTTGTCTGTGCGGTGCTCCCGAAGTATTCGTACCAAGATGGCGCACAGCCTGAACATAGAATGGGTACCAGGTAAGGGCTGTTCAGGTTGTGCGTCATCTTGGTACGAATACTTCCGGAGCGCCGTCTGTGCTACAGAATCCTTGATTTGCGCAATATTTACTTTACGAAACTTATCTTCACAGGATACATAATTAAACCTATAAATTATTACAATGGTTCAAATTTACGGTACACATTGCGGCCGCAGGGGATGATGGTGCTGGGTTATGACTTCGGTGGTTTCCAAACCGCGGCCCGATTTAATATGAGTAAAATAGTTTAACACTCTGTTTTGCGTTCTAGATACCGCCGATTGTCACTTCGTTATCACAGTTTAAGCACATGTATATTTGTAACAATTGAAATATACCGATATCGGCACTTGTGGAGGCTCCCCTTTTTTGGCCAGCGAATATCCTTCCGCTTCTAATTTCAGCCTCGGTCCATCAGGTTTGGAAGCCAATGTATTACTTGCCACACTACTTTCAAGAACGAATTTCGTCACTTATATTATGTAAGCTCAAATTACACAATAAAAAATTAATTAAATTTTATTTTACCATATACAGTCCATACAATGTGCAGTGAAGAAGCATTACGTCGTTCGTTATCACTGTAACATTGCTCGACAACTTGGAGCGACAGATTGTGGATCTGTTTTCGAATATTCTGAATCCGGGAATATCGTTGAGTACTTCAAACATCGCATAATGACAAAGGGCTTGGTGAGTATACGTTTTAGATATTTTACTAACGTTTCAACTTCTCCACACCGGCCAAAATTCTTCCACATGGTGGAAATTGCTTTTTGGGGGGAGGGGGGGGATTACTATGTATTTGCACTAAAAAATGTTGAAAAAGGCATATATCATAAGCAAATGTTTCATTACTTTTGTAAGAAGCAAGGCAAATAGAGTTTTCATGCGCTGTGAGGGATGGGGATGTTAATAAATGTATATTGATATAATATTGAATATATATTAGTAAATCTGCGGAAACAACAAAATTCCCCAGTTAAAGAATCCTAGACCCGTTTGGAAACGCTGCCTCAGTGCTTAAAGCGTTTAAATTCACTTAATTTGCATCGATGGTTAAAAATCACGAAATTAAATTCCATGTTCAACATTTCACCTACATTGCGCTAAATTTGGTGGGTAATGAGAATATTTCAGTCTATTTGAAATTGAGTGGTGCGTGCTGACGTCATTTTCTATTTGAAATTGAGTGGTGCGTGCTGACGTCATTTTCCCTCTTATTTCAGGTGAATGACGGAGGAGTAATAGGATATCATCTTATACAGATATTCTACCAATTAGCTCATGCGCTTCGCTACTACGTAAGTAATCACTACATTATTCATAGAATTATTAGTGAGGCACTTGCTTTTTTTAAATTACTTTTATCTATCACTTAGGGCTTAGGCTATTAGTTTAAAAAACTACATATGGCAAAATGAGAATATTTGGAACGGCTTTTTGTCCATTTAAGACCCACACACTGGTTTCTCAAACTAATATAGGGTGTCCATGAAGTCTTGAAATGATATTATAATAAAATTAAAATTGTAAAAGGACTTTATGGACTCGTCTCCTTGTCACAGGAATCAAAGAATCTTGCATATGGAACGTTGAACGCATCTAAAATTATTTTGTTTCGTTGTCCACCTGCAAACCCGTTGATCAAGTTAAATTATTCTGGTATTACATCCAGCACAGTCTCATTGCCAAGAGAGGTAAGCCCGATTATGTTGTTTTCTCAAATTGGACAGATTATCGTAATACGGCATTTTGGATGATCGTTTCCTTACATTGTTGTTCATGTTTTTTTTTGACACGGAGCGGACCTATGGATCGTTTTGTTATTACTTATCGATCTCGATCGGTATGTTGATAGGTATTTGTCTGTTTGTCTGTTAGACACTTTCGTATGTTACGCGATATCTCGCGAAAGCGAGGTTGAATCTGCTACAAATTTTGCATGTGCATTCATCATCTCGCACCAGAAGCCTATCGATTTTGGATGAATTATGTCGTATAATTAGCGAGTTAAAAATTAATTGGTAATGGGACTTGCGGTGTCGCTATTGAGTCCGAGCGAAGAAATCGAAACCGCAACTTCTGTTTTGCGGGATCCCCTGACTTTTGAACTGCTGCGAACGATTGATAAGTCTGCGGTCTCCGATCGCCATACCGTTTTGTTGTCGTTGATCATCATGTCAATATTTCTTATATATATTTTCTCATTACCTAATGGACAAATTGCTTTGAAATTTTCAGTGCCTGAAGATTGTATTTTTTGTTAGAAGACTGTTACTTTTATGTATTTCACAATGTATGTGGCCTGTGTGGGATTCGTTCTTTTTTGTGTGATGACGTCATCAACGTTAAATATTGGGCTACTTGTGGTGGTCCCGCTTTCGCAGAAGTTGGCAAACCCAATTCAGTAAATATAAATATTGATCTCGTAATCATGATTAGCATCGAATGATATGTCAGGCACACACGACTGTTCTAGAAATTAGCTGAAAGTGATCATTTGTCGTTATGCTTAGCTGCAGGTATTTGCAAGGACTTCTAGTATCAAATCCAAACTGATATCTTTACTTTACTATTATAAGGAACGGAGCCCAGAGAATCAAATATTACAAGAATTCGCAACATTAGAGTCACCGTGGGTCGCCCCTGAATATTGTACAAATGATAACTCTGAACCTCGTCAGAAGGAGCCGACAAATGGTGGAGATGTCTGGAGTTTCGCTACCACAATTTGTGAAATTTTACATTTGGCTCAAAAGGGAAGATCATTCGGTAAAAGAAAGATTGCACCAGCATATGAGACGAGTGAAGAATTGGTATGTATACTAGGGAAGAAGTGATGCATGTCGATAGCCCAGACCCGAAAAAAAGACAATTCGACATTTCCTGACTGTTCGCTTATAATTTATGACCTATTTTGCCTAATTTAATAATTCAAAAAAATTTTAGTTTGTCTTCAGATAAATTCCAAGCCAAGAAATTCCCTCAAATTGAATTTTCCATATTTTACTATTAGAGGCATGATCAGAATGAGACAAAACGTTAAATTTGATAAAAAGGTATCATTTTTCACCTGGTAGAAGGTAAGGGAAAGAATGGTTACATAAATATAACCACAAGATATCAAGTCAATCCCGGGGGAGAAGAAAACAGATAAGACGCACCACGGCTTCTCGTTCGTTTACCAGCCTATCAGTTTGCCATGGTCAGATGCGTGGTCTTGTCTATATTGGTGTGAAAGTTTAAAAAAAGGCTCTTGAATCCCTTACAATAGTCATCTTTACTCATGCTACTGCTAATGGAAAAGCGCATTTAACTTTCCGGGCCGGAGTCGAAATTTTAAAATCCCCGGAGCTGGGAGTCAGAGTCAATAAATAATTACCTTACATTCTTGTACTTCTTGCTATCGAATACTTTTCAGGATAATCCTGAAGTATGTGAACCAAGATGGCGGTCACCGGAACGCAGTATGTGTACCAGGTTAGGGTTGGGCCATAATTTCAGGCACAAATACTGTAGGAGACACTTGGCTAGTCTCCGAACTCGTAATAGAACGTAAAAAAGAAAAATTGAAATAAAATTATGTCCTAACCCTGACCTGTTACACACACTACGTTCCGGTGTCCGCAATCTTGGTTCACATACTTCGGGAGTATCTATTCCAGAATCTAAATCATAATATATACCATATCTTATACGGCTTGATATTTCGGATTTGGTATCTTAGCAAAATTTGTTCAAAAAACCTCACTATCTTCCTATAATTGTTACAGATGGCACAACACCAAACAGAAATCCAAGTTATACCAGACTGGCTCGATTGTTCCAGGGCAAGCGGTAAACGGTCTACAGAGCGCTTTAGTGCCATCTTGCGGCAATGCTGGAGCAAAGATCCTGAACAACGACCAAAATTCCACACGATACTACAGTCATTGTCTGAATTGATGCATCACGAAGTGGGAGGGAATAAGTTTTTCCTAACTCCAACCAGTATGTAAAGAATTTGTATTTGGTATAATGGTGAGCCTGATGTCACGACGGAATCGTGTACGTCTGTACGATTTGACGCAGCGGTTGGAACGTTTTGATAAGTATAAGGAACACGCTCGCTGTCGCACATCTGATTATTCAGCTCGGGCCCACAAGTTTGAATACCAAAAGTGATAATTATGTACGAGACGATTGCTGAGCTCTTTACCTCCGTAGGGTGGTTCGGGTACGACTTCCTCCACTATCAAGTTCATACATCTAAAACGACCGGTTGACTAAGAATGCTAAGGTTTCGGTCGCACAGAAATGATCAATCAAAACGTAAGCTTCATCAGATCATACACCCAGGGTTATAGTCTCAGTTTCGGCACCTGTAGCTTTGGGACGATGCTCGATATCTTCCAGGCAAATATGGACTCTGGTTTCCATCCATCCGCTTTTGGAATAACAAAACTGTTATTTTATCTTCGACTTCAGAAGTCTAAAATTGTCTAAGTACTTCTACAACAACAACTTATGTTTGTGTTAGTGTATAATCGTAACCAAAAATTTGGTGCTCCCGTAGTATGTGCACCAACATAGCGCACAACCTGAACACAGTATGTTGCCATATATGCCATCTTGGTACACATACTACGGGAGCACCAATCAATTTATTTATGTTCTCTCTAGAAAATGTTCCAAATAATCTGGGCTCTGTTTTTTAACACTCTATACCGAAAAATATCAACTAATTTATAGGTACTAAGTTGAGCAGCATATTATACCCTATTGAAATTTTTGAAATGTTATCTATTTTTTTTAGGTCGTACAATCTCTCCAGGACAAATACTACAACGATTGAAACGCTATAATCCAAGTGATTTGCATTTTGTGAAGAATTTAGGATCGGTAAAATTATTTTAACACTTCTTCCGATTCTGTTTTGTTGTGACAGACTCTCCTGAGTGTGCATAATGATCGTTATACTAAATCGTAGTTCTTGTTATTTGAAAAAAGGAGAAAACAGTTACCCAATCGATTGAAAATTATCAGTGTTTAAACACGGAAAAGTGGCTTGGAAGCTAATCTTCTATTTTTGTATTTGTTTCAAACATGTAAACCAGTTTATGAGCACCATAACACTAAATCACTCTCGAAATTAGCGTAAAATTATTGGTATTCCCGAAATATGAGAACAAAGATGGCGGACACCGGAACGTAGTATATGTACCAGGTTAGGGTTAGGCCATAATTTTATTATAATTTTCCTTATTTCAGTTCTATTACGGGTTCGGGGACTAGCGAAGTGACTTCCGTAGTATTTGTATATGAAATTATGGCCCAACCCTAACCTGGTACAAAACTATGTTCCGGTGTCCGCCATCTATGTTCACATACTTCGTGAGTACTAATTTTTTTGGTAGTAAAAAATAAGGAGAATGTTTTTAAAGTAAAGGGTTGGATGTTTAAAATGTTCGTTTCAGTTTAGTCTTTTGTGTCTATAAATTAAAGCATAGTCATTTCGTTTGCAGGGGCATTACGGCATGGTTGAACAATACAGATACAAAAACACAGACAAATTTTTTGCAATTAAAAGTATCAAAGGAGATCTCACGCGAGAACAACTTAAAAACTTTCACAGAGAATTACAAACAATGGCAGATCTTAAACATGAAAACATTGTCAAAGTAAAAGGATTCACAACAAGTAAGCTGTATAAATTGTTCATGATAACTTGATTTCATATATTTTTTTTGGCTAAAAATTTGAGCTGCTGATTTAGGCTGTGCTGAATTGCAGTCATTGGTTTTCATTAGTTAGTTTAAGCTGTGGATGTGGAGTCGGAGATTGGCATCTTTTTACCGGAGTTGAAGTAGTGTTATCATTCTCTCTTAAGTCGGGATTCGTCTGACTCGAAATTTCCCACGTTTGACGGGAATCAAAAAAGTCAAAAGTTTGCTCAGAAACTGAATAAACATTGAATTTCCCAAACGTTTTTATCAGTTTCGGGAGTCGGAGATGATTGTAAATGTTCTCCGAATAGTTAGTCAAGCCGATAAAATTAGTAGAAAAGTACCCTCAAGATTAATGACAAAAGTGATCGCGCGGAGATTATTTGGCTTCAACAAATAACAGCTGATGTGTCCAGTGGTGGGATTCAAATTTTTTGTCAGCCGGTTCCTTCACAAAAGTTATATATTTCAGCCGGTTCTGTTACAAACAGAACATTGACAGTAACCAGTAATGCCAACCGGTTCGCTGATCTCATAAAATTTCGTAAGACGGTTCAATAGAACCGGTGCGAACCGGCTGAATCCCACCACTGAATGTGGGTAAGTCTTGTTACGGGCAATCGCAGATGAAAGAAAGGGTCGAATTTCAGTGGTTCGCGCGAAACCGTTCTTGGAATTTCGTAATAATTATGGAACCTGGTCTTATATTTATTTCGAACGTTTGGCAATCATAACAAAAGAGTAAAATACACCGTACCTGACGACTAATTTTATATTTAGTGCTTCAAAAGTTTTTATATCAGATTCATATACAGCGCGTCATGTTGTTTTATTATGTAGTCATATATTGCGCACTTGTACTGTTGTGGAGGACGGCATGGTTTTGTTGAATAAGGAAACATTGTTGTTGTGTGTTCCACACGAAATAGAGCCCGTTATTAAATGTTTGAATCACATTACTAGTCGTTTTATCAACTTGTTATTCGTCTATATTTTATAAGTTTGAGCCAAATAACAAAAATGTCTGTAATTTGCAGGTACAAGACGCCATCAAATCGTTTTAGAATATCTCCCCGGTGGTGACATTAAGAAATTCCTAGACAGGGAAGGTCAATGGAATAATAAATGTCTTCTGATTGGATTTTGCATGGACATCGCAGAGGTATTTTAGTTTCACACCTACAAGCTGTATTTTTAAAGTTATTTTTTATCAGAAGCTAAACTTGACGAATTCAACATTCAGGGCTTAAGGGCATTGCACATTAAAGGAGTTCTGCATCGAGACCTTGCTCCACGCAACGTTCTTGTTGGAACACGAGAAGATGAAAGCTATATCGCAAAAATATCAGATTTCGGTTTGTCCGGACACTTCAAGGAGACTAACATAGATTACTTGTCTCACAATGATCAAAGCTATTTTGATGCATTTCCAATATTATGGTAATTGTTCATGATTCTTATTATTTGCCGAAATCAAGTAAAAAAGATGGGATTATTATATTTATCACGGGGAGAGGAAAGCCGATAATATGTACCACGGCCTCTCGTTTGATTACCAATCCGTGTCGGATAAAAGACTAGTTAGCCATTCATTTGTTCAAGATGCATGACTTGATGGTGGAGGAACCGTAACCGACCTGTGGTTACGTGAACCACCCTTCTCTGGCGAGGAGTCGAGCAATCCTCTTGCTTTAGTTAAGATGCATTTTTCATGTACATCCATGAATTTTTCACGTGATAACAGATTTTTTTCAGGAAAGCTTTGGATTTAACAAGTTTCAATTCACAGAATCGAATTTTCCTAATCCTGTGTATCAGGTCAGGAATGATAACGCCATCTTCCGTCTAACAAATGCAGTCGAGTCAAAAACTTAATTAATTTCTACTTCTTCTAAGTTCTGGCGTTTAATTGATGACGACTGACGAGTATGGCTGGGCATTTCGAATCGAATAGTAAAGTATTCGAATCGGTTCAAACGAGAATTTCAAATTGCCGCAATCTTTTTTTTTTCGTTTGCCCGCGGATCGAGGTGAATACCTCATTTTTTATGTCAAATCTTTAAAATGCAATTCTAACATATGACTTCTTTACTCCGAGTGAGTTATTGATAAAACATGTTACTTACTGCGCGTGAACACTCAGCTGTCTGTGTCTGGGTTAAAAAAAATATGCGTTTTTACTAATTTATGTGCCTGGAGGATCCATTACAATAAATCAGTCAATACAACTGCATATCTTCCAAGTAATCAAGATTCGGTTCGAAAAAAAATGTCAAGATTTGATTCTGAAATAATCAAATATGCCCATCCCTATTGACAAGTCATTTCATTAAGAAGATTCGAGTCTTTGATAAATGCTGACTCGAGTCAAACTAAGGTCAAGTTAATGACTCGACCCAGAACGGCGAGAACTAATACTAAATCTTCCATCCATAGGTATGCACCAGAATGCCTGGACCCAGATCAACCACCAATACCTAAACTAGAAAACTACACTTACAACGCCGACATTTGGAGCTACGGTCTCACCATATGGCAACTTTGGTGTCCCAGGGCGCAAATGATTTGTCCTCGTGACCTATATATGTGGGTGGAAGAATTGAAGAGCGGCAAGAAAATGTGTAAAATGTCTCCACGGCCCCCCAGAGAGGTAGGTTCCACCCAGTGGTAAAATTCTAAATTTCAACAACGGTTTCTATTATAACGGGTTTACTCATATCAGAAACTGGATGTCATTACGTAAGCTGCATTAACCTGAAACGCGTTACATAAATTTAATACATAACTTTTGGAAGCCAAGTATAACGATAATCGTCAACTGCGGCGCAGTCCCTTATTCTGCGGTCGTCTATGTCTAAAACCGAATGTAAGTACAACATTTTTAATACGGATTCGCGCGAATCCGCCGAATACCACTACTGGTCCCACCCTAGCAGATTGGTAAAGAAAACTCTTTCTAGGGGGTTCACATAACCGCTGGTCAGTTACGACTTCCGCCACCATCAAATCCATGCTTTCAAAAACAAATTATCCCATACCTGACCTGGGCTTGTAACGGGCGAGGGGCCGTGCTTCGTCATATCCCTACACCGTCTTATCAGGCTTTTCTCCCCCGGGATTAATATGTAAATCCTATCCTATCCGTTATAGTTACGGTTAATTGAACTCGAAGTAGGCCAATAGAGCGTTTGCTGTATTATTGTTTTGAAAATCGCTTTTCTCCGTCATTTATGGAACAATCATTTTGGATTTATTCAAACATAAAAGCCGTCAGGACCAGTGATCGGATGCGCGCGAACCCATACCTGGAGTGTCCTGATAATTAGCGAACCCGTTCTTGATTTATACTTTAGTTTGACGACCACAGTAACGTTAAGCACAGCTGGCGTCTTATTTTTGGCGTTTAAAAGGTTATGTATTAGATTTATGTGAAACGTGTTATTTTATGAATACATCTTACGTAGTGACATACATCCATTTTCTAAAATGAGAGATACCATTTTTATCAATTTTCTTTTGAGTCCCTAAAGCCCGATATTTTTCCCAAATTTTTCTGTTTTACTTCATATGGTATTCAGCACAATCGTTTTAATTCCGTATTAATTTATTTGAGCACCTAGTACTTGTTTTTAAATCCAATCTGAACATATCAATTCATTCTATTAGATAGAAGAACTGATGTACAAATGCTGGGAACTCAAGCCAGAAGATCGAATCAATTTGGATAATATTGTCGAGCGACTGAAACATTTGAAGCAACTTTACGCTTCTCCAACTAGTCTCAACCTACGTTGAGGCGATCACCACAAAGCGCAATGTTGACTCATCTATCATTTGTGCCTTTGCCCCCATCTAGCGGTCTTGTACTTGCCTCAGTGAAACTTGATAAAAGAGACTGTTTGCAATATATACACTGTCTGTAAGTTTTTTATTCCCGTCCACATTCCGTCGTATGCCCAATTAAATACATAGTACAGGCCCCAGGAAGCCGTTAAGGTTCCGTTCAGAATACAGGCGGATATAACGTTTATTCCGGACCGACCGAAAATCCGAATCCGGGTTCAAAAAATAAACACCTATTACACAACCTATGGTTTTTCTGATGAAAATTTCGACTTTTAAGAAGTATGAAATGCTTTTGACGCTCGATTCCTATTTTGACGGATACGTACCTATAAATATCCCCGTACAATTCCGTTCCAATACGGTCAAATACGAAAAACTCTACTCATTTACGAATCGGCAAATCCTACTAAAATTGACCGCGTTAATGCCTTTTGATTTAAAGGGGAGCCCGAGTTAGAATAGATTCAAATTTTATCGTCCAATGATGCTTTACACAGCTAAGGGCAAGAAACCTTTGCGTAAAACTAACAATATAATCCATGAAATACTCAGATTATTTCTTTTAGCAGAGACTTTTGTTGAAATTAACTTTCTATTAGTATTAGTGGAAATCTGTCTTCGTATATTTTTACTATTTTGTTTATTATTTTTGACCTCATTATGATGGTATAAAAAAAACAATTCTCATGTGCTAAAGAGGAATGACACAAGCATGTTGAATGCAGCCTGTCTCAAAAATATCGCATCTCGCTTGTACGAATCTCAATTCAAATGTATACTTTAACATTTACCCAGAGTTGATCATAATAACCCAAGACAATAATACATGTCATCTTCAAAACATATCTGTATGCATAAGTACGTAGCTTGGTATATTTTGGACACAACATATGTGTAAAAATTTCGAATATCAGTTGTATTCAAAACAATATCCAATTTCGTTTCTATTATTTGTTCGAGTTGATTTGAAGTCAGTACATACCGTTTTTCCCGAAAATCGAAAATGAGACCTAGCCTGAATTTTAAAAATGATTTCAATATAAGCCGCTCCTTAAAATAAGACCTAGTCGACAGCGAATTTATTTTTATCTAGTCGGTAGTAAGAAGGCTTTCCTACTACCTACATAGATTAATAATCTATGGTCAGCAGTTCTTTTAAATAAAAACGTGTTATTTATAACTATATATAAGTAAATAGATATCGGTTTTCATATTTTGTATATTCAAAAACCTCGTAATTCTTTAATTTGTAATTTTGTTTTTGATAAATGAAAATAAAAAGAGCACTCCTGTAGTATGTGAACCAAGATGGCGTACACCGGAACCTAGTAAGTGTACCAGGTTAAACCATAATTTTATTCCAATTTTCCTTATTTTAGTTCTATTGCGAGTTTGGGTACTAGCCAAGTGACTTCTGTAGGATTTGTACCTAAAATTATGGCCTAACCCTAACCTGGTACACATAATACGTTCCGTGTCCGCCATCTTGGTTCACAAACTACGAGAGTGCTCTTTTATTTTCATTTATCAGAAACAAAATTACAAAGTAGAGAATTACGAGGTGTTCAAATGTACTAAATATGAAAACCGATATCCATAAAAGACATCCCCCAAAAATAAGACCTAGTGTTATTTTTCGAAACAAATTGTCTTATTTTCGGGTAACATTGAAAAAGGTATGACTCCTTCTTTCCCCCTATCTTTGCTTTTGTACATTTGTAAAACTTTTGTTCCTGCTTTTGTTATTATCACATGCCGATCAATAACCGTGAAATATATTGAATATGTGTGGGATGTCGCCTATTAATATTCATAGCATTTAAGGAACTACAGGATAAAATATTGAAACACTAGCTGAGGGTCTTTTGAAGATGAAAGAAATAACGAAAACTAACAGTGAGCAGTGAGAAGGAAATAACAATTTTCAAAATAGGCAAGGGGAGGAATATATCGCAAAGGAACTCTATGATTAAATAACGTAACACTAGCTAAGAGTCCTTTGAAGATTGATCATATAAAGTTTTTATGCACAGTGAGAGAGGAATAAAGATATTTAAAATAGTAAAAGGGCACTCCGAAGATTGAACGAATTCCGGAAACAGCGTTTTCATTTATAGTGAAGGAGAAATAAAGATAAATAAAATAAAAGAAGGAAAGAATGTATCAAAATTGTTGCGAAACCACAGACATAGAGTTATCATATCGATAAGGCCTTATGAATTGAAATCAATGCCATTGTGTGTACTTTGACTGTAAGTTGATTTCCCTTTTCACACATTTACTGCCAAGTAATATGAATTGCATAAAGATGGGTTAATAAGATTGCATAAAATTATAGACGAGTTCTGGGGGTGTGATATGGGCGTATGTGCTTTCTGGGTCTTTATCCAATCTTCTGTAAATCTACGACAAGGAAGACATTTTTGCTTATTGATATCCACCTCTAACTGGTGTCAAATATATAGCAAAGCACTAATCCTGGATTAGTCGTCAATATTAACTGCGTTAGAATGTGTGTTTGACATGTAGCAAACAGCACAGGCTGAATATTGGATGTTCGATAAAATAACAAGCAATACCACGTTTCCCAATCGGGGGGAAATTTTGTCTTCCCCAGTAAAGAATTTTGCTTTGTATTTGCTGTAAAATTACCAATGTCCTTTAGTTCTTCAAAACACTGCCAAATGAAGCGTCTAAAATTTTGCAATGGTATAGGGGTATAAAATGAATTTTCCATAGGTCCAGGCTAGTCGGGAAAACGTCTATATGCATAATAACTGTTAGAAATAGGACTGGTTTTCTTTATGCTAAAAACGTACATAAATTCATTCGCACTTCTCCATTTTGTAAACTGTATTTTCAACCTCGTCGTTGTAAGTATGCCAGAAGGTATTGGTTGTGAAGTTTGAAGGGGTTGTGCAAGCCAAGAAATCTGTAATAGTTGTGTATTTTCAACACACAGTTAATCGATTTTGCATAGCTCAATATTGATGAAGTAAACAATTAATTAAGATTTTACGTGTGTTATGTAAACGTTTGGGCAGAAAATACATTAAAGCGCAAATAAGATAAGTTTATTGCGTTTAATGATAGGTAAAATTCAGTTTGTATTTACAGAGTATCGCATAATGACCGGAAAAGGGAGAATGTATGATGATCTCAAGTATGGCTTTATACATACGGTAGTGAATGGCAAAGTTGTACTCCGATGCGTTTTATGCCTTTACAAATTTTAGCAATTACGCTATGAGACCAACTCGCTTACAGCGCCATCATTAAACAAAGTAACCTGCCCATCACATAGGCATTTGACTTTTTTCAAAGCAAAAAGGGGGGGGGGCGCGAAGTTTGTAAGATTTTTCAAAGGGGGACGCGGCTTAAAAAGTTTAAGAACCACTGCACTAAACTGATGCATGAATTATAATATGCTCGATTAAAGGGCTGCAGATTCGGGAACAAGAACGAGTTCAGACGTTAACTGCAAGTTAATTCTCGATTTCAATTCCTGCTTCCGACTCCTGCTGCGGAAAAATGACTCTTGCTCCATAGGTCAGTACCCAGAGATTTCGTAGTTTTTTCTGATAACTCAAAAATTTGAAAGTCTGGACGGGTTTCAGGTAAAAATGTCGACTTCGACTTTTGGGAGTGTGAATTCCAAAAAGTTGAAACTTTGACTTTTTTTAAAATATTATGCCAAACTTATGCGACGTATTTTTTGAACGGAAATCTTTGATCTGACACTACGTACAGCGATATCGTGTATTCTCATGACTGCGAATCCATTTCATACGCACTATTGTCTCAAACAAAACTAACCAACACAGAAGAAACTGGTATCATAATATTAGAGTCAATTGTTAGCGTGTCGATCAATTATTTTGACTTTTACAAATACTTCCTTGACGTATATCGAATTCTTCCATCAAAATGTAATGAGGCATGAATGTAATGCATTTTAATGAGTTTTCTATGCTACAATATTGGAATTTTCTATTTTTTATATGAAAAGATTGTTTTGATATATATAATTAAGAATTTGGATTAATGAAATCAATCTATCGTAAAAATTTTTGATAGTCATTTTTTGGCGCTCCATAAGTGTGTCCCAATATGAAGGTAACTAATTTTTTTTCGCTTATTTTACATCAAGTTGTGTAAAGGGACTGAAACCTATGGGCAGGGGGTATATTCACTTTGCTTACACAGACAGTCTCCGAACTCGTAATAGAACTAAAATAAGGAAAATCGGAATAAACTTATGGCCTAACCCTAATCTGGTACATACACTACGGGAGTATCATTTTGATGGTGCGATGGTGTAAAATGGCTACTATTGCTTCAGAAAGGATATCCGAAAAATTATTGTTATTTTGCAAGTCAGATTATGTCGAACCCGAAAAATATCGGTCCTGAATGTTAGCGGATGATTGTCCCGTGAACTGTCATTACATTTTGAAGACAGTATTCGATATACGTCAAGGAAGTGCTTGTTAAAGTCAAAATAATTGATCGGCACGCTTACAATTGTCTTTAGTATTATGATACCATTTTCTTCTGTGTTGGCTAGTTTGGTTTTGGCCAATAGTACGTATGAAATGGATTCGCAGCCATGAGAAAACACGATATCAATGTACGTAGTGTCAGATCAAATATTCCCGTTAAGCCACTCAAGTGTAATATTTTCAAGGGAGTCGATGTTTCAAACTGGTGCCTTGATCGACATGAGGGGAAGAAAGCATTCGAACAAAATGGGCAAAAATTTAAGTATAAAAGTATTCCAGCAGATTGGTCAACGACCAATCAGTCTCAAGCAAAGTTGTAACTTTTTTTAAAGTAAAGAATCAATATTCCAAGACGGAAGTTTATTTTCAACATTTCAACAAGGTTAGTCACAAGGGACAACGCTGACGTAATCCGCGTCAAATATGTCAATTAAAAATATGTCAAACTTGGCATCGTGTGCTTGTTGTTAATTAAATATGGAGAGGGGATTCCAAATAACAATTGGGATCATATATTTATCCCTATTCTTAACTTTGCCCCGTGCATTGTAAGACGTAGTATCGTCTATCAGACCTGCTAATTCAACCTTTGCGTGCCCAAGTAATCAGCGTTCGATTGTCAAATCCCTATGTATTCAACTTTCAAAAATAGCATTGAATGACTAATTAAAGATGACGCTACCAATTGTACTCCAAAAATGCTACAGACAAGCGTTGGGGGATCCCAAAGAACTTAATGAACAAAAAATTCTAAATATGAAGTGATTTCTATGAGCCAAGTTACATGAACCCTAATGTGGATTAGGTGTGAGTTGGGAAATGTGAGTTTTTCACACATTTAAGACCCGCCTTTAATTTTCGACTCAAATCTATCAAAAATAAAATGATTTGTAGAAAATAAATAAACAAATTAAACTCTATCTTGGAAGCTCCGAGTCGCATTGAGTATTTACACTACGAGGCCCAGGATATCGCCTCCTTCCACTCCCTGAACTTGCCTACATTAACTTGAAGGCGTCTTTCAATATTTATTCATTTATCCCACATACTACAGAATCGAACTTTGACTCTGTTTCTTCCAGACAAATTTCTACCGTTCGTATCAGAGCATGATCTTGGAAAATCCGGATGAAATTGCTCTGATATCTTAAATGTCTCGAGTAGAAAGAAGTTTGTGAAACAATAGAACATATTGAACAACTTCCTGCTATGCTTACGTCGCATGCATGAGATCAAAGCCGCCAATATAAACTAGTAATGTAAGCATATGTTTGGAATGCCAGGTCAGATCAAGTAAAATTTTTATTATGATGGAGATTGAACGGTGCATTTGCTATATGTTTACCTATGTCATAGCAGGCTAGTAGAATTGTTGTATGGAAAGAGTGTAGGCAATGACGTATCTACGTAAAATAGCGCACCATTGATAGTTGGCTGGCAATTTTTACGACTATTGTTGTATTGAAATACGTGTACGTTGAATACTTTTTGGTAAAATTACGAATTTTAAATTAATCCTGACCTGACCAATTACCAAACCTGACCTGACGTCACTACGACTACATCTTCATATGATCTGTACAGTATTCAGTAGGTACGAACAAACATTGCATAAAGGTTGTCAGAGCAGGCTGGTGGAATTTTTGTATAGTTATGGAGATTAGTATAGCCCAGGGCTACTC